ATGGTGTGGGTGGTGAAGGCATTCCCTAGTGAGAAGCCAGCACATTAAACTTCTGCTTAGGGCTCACTTCCCAGAGAAGGCACCTGTGACAGGCATGATTTTCTCCTAGAGGCGGACTGATTTCTGGGTCTTTGAGGCCAGCCTGGTCTAGATAGTATGTTGCAGGATATTATTTTAAGATGTATCACATGTGTTTATGCTGTGAAACATTTGTTTTAAGGATGCAAAGATGTTTTGTATTCTTTTATGTTGCATTCGTTTAACCCTGTGCTGCTGTGATTCTTGGCCTGTCTAAAACACCTATCGAGGCAGGAGAGAGGATATGCGGGACTGGCAGGCAGAGAGGACAAACAGAAGGAGACATTTGAGAGGAGGGAAGGAAGAGCAGGAGGGAACAAGGAGAGGAGAACACTAAGGGCCAGCCACCCAGTCACACAGTCAGCTTTGGAGTAAGAATGAAAGTAAGATATATAGAAGTAAGAAAAGGGCCAGGCATTGGTGGCGCACGCCTTTAATCCCAGCACTCGGGAGACAGAGACAGGCAGATCTCTGTGAGTTCAAGGCCAGCCTGGTCTACTGAGCGAGTTCCAGGACAGCATCCAAAACAATACAGAGAAACCCTGTCTCAAAAAAAAAAGTTGGTTAGAAATAAGCCAAGCTAAGGCTAGGCATTCGTAAATAATAATAAGTCTCTGTGTGTATCTATTCAGGAGCTGGGTGACAGGCCCCCAAAGAGGAAAGAATAAAAACAATCAACTACAATAGTGAGTTACAGGACAGTCAGAGCTACATAGTCACACCCTGCTTCCAAAACAAAGCAAGCAAACAAAGACAATTTTCTGGGGCTGCAGAGCTGGCTCAGTAGTTAAGGACACTTGACACTCGTTAGAAGGACAGCAGCTTGGTTCCAGCATGCATGTCAGATAGCTTACAACCATCTGTAACTCCATCTCCAGAGGGTCCAATACATAAAAATAAAAAAAATCTGGCTCAGTAGTTAAGGACACTTGACACTCGTTAGAAGGACAGCAGCTTGGTTCCAGCATGCATGTCAGATAGCTTACAACCATCTGTAACTCCATCTCCAGAGGGTCCAATACATAAAAATAAAAAAAATCTTCAAAACAATTTTTTTCCTAAATGCTCAATTTGGCCAAGACTGTACACTTAAGCATGAATTTAGAATTGTATTACATCATTTTTTCAACTATGGTACTAAGTTCATGCAATAATAAAAGATAATGTACAATCTTTTGTAATAATAATTTATGATAATGTATAAAGCAAGTCTGTGCGGACAAAGTTGTGATTAGTGGTTGCCAGGAGCTGGAAAAGGTACTTGATAGTAGGCAGAGAGTGATAAAAAAATTAGGCAATCAGAAAATGTGGATGGTGACTCAATGTTTTGAATATTCTAATTGCTAGATTGTGCAATAGGTAGAGTTTGGGCTGGAGAGAAGGCTCAGCAGTAAAGAACTCTTGTTGCTCTTGCAGAGGACTTGGATTTGGTTCCTAGCACCCACATGGTGGCTCACAACCATCCATAAGTCTAGTTCCAGGGGATCTGATGCCCTCTTCTGACCTCCAAGGGCACCATGTATGCATTTGGTATGCATACACTCAGGCAAGACAATCAAACATATAAAATAAATGTTGGCTTTTGATATGTGAATTATATCTCCATTAAAAAAATTAAACACATTACCTTTAGTATTTTCTATTCTTAGAGGCAGGGTCTCATTTTTTGTTGTTGTTTTTTTGTTTTTACGAGACAGGGTTTCTCTGTATTGTTTCGGAGGCTGTCGGTCCAGCCTGGCCTCGAACTCACAGAGATCCGCCTGCCTCTGCCTCCCGAGTGCTGGGATTAAAGGTGTGCGCCACCACCGCCCGGCCAGGGTCTCATTTTATAGCTGTCAATTGCTTCCAACCTGCAGTTGTCTTGTTTCAGCTTCCAGACTGCTAGGATTACAGTGTGTGCCTCCATGCATAGCTCTCTAGCACACATATGTATTTTTCCTACTTATTTTTTTGTGGGTACATATGTTGGTGGCCCAAGGTTCATGTTAGGAATTGTCCTTAATTGCTTTTTAATCTTATTCATTGAGAGAGGGTCTCTCAATAACTTAAAGTCTTCATAGCCAGGACTGGAGAGATGGCTCAGTGGTTAAGAGCCCTGGCTGTTCTTCCTGATGAACCCAGGTTCAATTCCCAGCACCCACATGGCAGCTCACACCTATCTGTACCTGCAAGATCTGACACCCTCACACAGACATACCTGCAGGCAAAATACCAATGCAAATGAAATAAAAGTAAATTTACTTTAGAAAAAAAGTCTTCATAGCCATTTTGCTCTCGGGATCCTCTGTCTTTCCTGCTAGGCCTACCTGGCATTTCTGTGAGTTCTGGGGAATCTGAACCCTGGTCCTCACACTTACAAGGCAAATACTTCCAACCACTGAACCATTTCCTCCCAACCAGTAGCATAAAATTTTTGACATAGTTCTTGTGAATATTATACAACTGACATTTATCAAGCACCATCTAGGCCAGATCTAATCGAAAGGAGCTGGGAGGTAGAGAACGCAAAGTCAGCAGTAGTACATGGACCTTCTCGGCATTACAGATTAATGAGAGACAGGTGTGGTTTTTGTCTCCTATTTGGGTATGCTGTTTCTTTAGAGCATATGTTTGGGTTTGCATTTGTGTCATTATGAACAATTATCACTTCCTTGAAAATGTATTTGTTTAGCATCAAATTATCTGATGCATGGAGTGCTATGTATCAAGCAGGTTGGAAACACTTTAATTCTTTCTCCTGAGTAATCTGCAATCTGGAAGGGATGACTACACAGGAAGTCAAATGAGGTCATTTTAATAAAAAAAACACAATTAGTGAATGAAAATATAAACACATCAGACTAAGTGTTTATGTTTATTACTAATGCTTGAGTGACACAATTATTACCATAGTCACTGTGCGGTAGGATGAGGTGAGAAATGTTGACACTACCCTTTAGTGAAGTCTGGAAAATATTTATCTCCAGAATTGGGTACATGATGAAGGGACAGCACAAAGACCTATGGAGAAGGAAAAGGGAATTCCGAACGCCCAGCAAGTGTAGAAAAAAGAATTAGGTATTTGGTCTCATTTGGGGACTTGTTCCTTTACTTATTAGTTACCTAGCGCTAAACTGATAACCTCCATTTCCACATTAGCGAAATGGGACTGACAGTAATACAGTAACCTTGAAAGTAAAATCAAAGCCAGTGGTGGAGGCCTGTGCCTTTAATCTCAGGACTCTGAAGGAAGACACAGGTGGATCGCTGTATGTTCAAGGCCAGCCTGGTTTACATAATGAGTTCAGGACAGAGGAGGTCTATTTAGGGTCATCCTGATGCAAAAAAAGGAAGCATGAAAATTAAATCAAAAAAGGAAAAAAAGTCGTATCACACTTGGTATTGATCCAAGTTAAACATCACACAAATGACAGCAATCCTAAGAGATAATCTAGACAGGGAAAAACAAGTGAGAATATACCGGAATGCCTCCATTTATTGTTTTAAACCTCTAGGACATGGAACTCATTCTAGAAGAAATGAGAACCTCACATCAAGAGCTCAAACCAGGTTTCTTCTCTCTGAGTCTACCTGTATTTTCTACTACCAGTTTTATTCTGTTCGAGCATTTCCTTTTTCTCCTGCTCACTCGTCCGACCACTGAGAGATCAGGACCTGCTGGGAGGTATCCATAAAGTGGTACCATTCTTCTAGCCCTTTCCTGAGGTTTTTCACACGAAGTTGCAGTTATTTGATGGCTGAGCATTCTCTGGTTGATACTCATTTTTCAGCTACTCTTTGTTTTTTCTTCGAGACAGAATTCTCTGTGTAGCCGAGGATGCCCTGAAACTCTCTCTGTAGACCATGCTGGCCTCGAATTCACAGAGCTCCACTTGCCTCTGCCTCTGGGACCAAAGGCGTGCGCCACCCACCGCCCGGCTCAACTACTTACTCTTCAGACCAGCATTAGAGCTCTGCCTTTAGCTCTTGCTGGGATACAGTGATTCCTACATCCGCCTAATTGAGAACTGTCTGTTAGGGTTTGCAGCTCCTGGAGACCCAAAGTCATCCTGGAAACAAGCCCGGTTTAATCCAGTTCAGTTTATGAAAAGGGACTTAATGGCTGAACTGAGAAATCAATACACGTTCGGTGCAGTGTGCGTGCGTGCAAAACTCCAGAACTATCCATAACCGGCTAGAAGACGGAACCACTTCCTCAAGGGACTAGTCCAGTGTTTATCAACCTATGGGTCGTGACCCCTTCGGGGTCCAATGACAAGCACAGATATTTACACTGCGGTTCATAACAGTAGCAAAACTACAGTTACGGAGTAGCAATGAAATGATTTTATGGTTGGGGGTCACCACACCATGAGGAACTGTGCTAGTGTTGCAGCGTTAGGAAGGTTGAGAACCGCTGCTCCGGTCCTCTCGGCCGGTTCCCCACCTACAAAACGAGGGTTAGGCTTGACGGTACCTGTCACTGTAAGACCTCAACCTAAGGCTCAGAGAGAGCAAGAGTAAAATTCCTCCTAGGGGCTGGGCAGTAGGTGAGTGGCAGGGCGCCTGACTCAGGACCGGGTTCGTCTCTGGGGGAGCGAGGAGGACACCCACCCGGGACTCGACGAGAAGTCGCAGGTCAAAGTTCAGCGTTTGCTCCCCGGGTCCAGGCGGCGGGGGCAGCCACGGGACACCAGCGGGCGCCAGCTTATGTATACTCCCCGCCTAGACTAGCAACGCGTCACGTGTTTCTTCCACCTCTCCCCGACTTTGGGAACGCTGGGATCTCGGCTAAACTTCAAAGTCCCCGCCCCCCAGAGGGGGCGAGCCAGGTTTAGTCCTGCGCTTGCGTAGTGTGGTTTTAGGGCTAAGGTCGCCGCCAGCCGGCCCCTCGCTGCTCACCAAATCCCGCGAGATCTGCAGCGGACAGACGCACGGTGGGTCACTGCATCGGGCGCCGCTGGAGGCTGGTTGACGCCGGCAGAGAAGGGGACAACTCCCAACTAGAGTACCTTGCGAGCGTCCTCACCGAGCTCCTGGCGACACCAGCGGTACAGCCTGGGACTCTAGACTAGCGAATGCCCAATAAGCAGGTGCTCTTCGTTTTTGAGAATTGTCAGGGTAAAACAGCATGAAGTCTGGGCATGATTGTTTGAGTTGCCACAGATTTGAACACCTAAGGAGCACCTACTGTGTGCATAAAGAGCTATACCTAAATCATGTAAAAAACCTGACGCATCTTTATACTCTTGGTGCTGAGGATCTAGGCAGTCGTGTTGAAATTCTGGTCAGGTTGTTAGTTACTTCTAGGAAAGTGGTTGTGTTTCCGAGGAAGGCGAGAACCACGTAGGAGTCTGCAGTGGCAGACTGGTTCAACAGGATACGGCCGAACGCAAGGCGTGCTTTATTCAAAGATGCCGGGTCCGGATTCGATCCCACAGCAGCGTGTTAGGAAGCGCCTGTTGTAAAGTGGTCTGTTAGAATGGGCTCAAGTGGGAATTGTGCAACCTTGGGCAAATCGGTCAGCCTCCTTATATCTTCTGGGAAGAGGAGACAGCATTTTCAACTTCATCGTGGTGACGTTTGAGGAGCGAGTTGTATTTAAGCAAGCAATTATTAATTTAGTTTCTGTGCTGGGGATTGAACCTAGGACTCCCCCTCACGCCATGCATGTTAAACAAATGTTGTCGTTGTTTTTACTACTGGGCTGTATCTCCAGTTTGTTTTTCATTTTCATTATGAGACAGGTTCTCATGAATTCACCCAGACTGGCCTTGAACTCGCCATCCCAATTCTGCCCAGTAACCGGGATTTCAAATTTACAGTACTATGTCCAGGGCAAGCAAAACTCACTCACCCAGTTTTTGGGCAGTTGGAAACATTTGGGAACTAAGCTGAAAGAAGACTTTTCCAAGGTTCTGCTTGTCCAGAAACAGAATATGTTCTCAGCTCTTGTGAATCCCTTACATTGGGCTGCTACATAGAGACACTCAGGACATTTTGTTTTTTTTAATGACTAACCAGTGGTATTATTTTGGAATAGTAACACCAGTTACAAACCCACTTACTTTAGCAGGCAAATGGGATTTGCTGAGGTCTACCCTCCCCCACCTCCACCTGGTATGTGATGACTCTTAACCCACTGCCCTTCAGATCTTGAATTTGGTCTGTCTTACTTTAGATGGAAAGTCTGTGAGTAAATCAAGGGTTTTTGTTTGTGGGTAATTTGAGAGTGTCGATTGTTGCGCTTTGAGAGATATTGCAGTTATCTTTCATTAATTGTATTTGGCACATGAAGATTCTGATTTGAAACAAAAAGAAGGAACTATAATACCCTTTTCATGATGACAAGCAGTGTTTAGGCAAACCTGCCATATCATACTCATTTCTTTATGTGGTGCCGAGTTAGTGGAATGCTTTGCATGAGTTCGGAGAGGCTTCACCACTGAGCTACACGCCAGGCCATAGATTCTCTTTTGTAGATAGGATCTCTTATGTAGTCTAGGCAGCCTTCAACTTGGATCTTCAGGCCTCAGTCTCTGGAGTCCTGGGATTGCAAACATACTGTATTATGTTGTTTTCTTGAGACAGGGTCTCTTGTAGTCCTCAAATTTTGTTATGTAGCTGAGGCTGGCTTTGAACTTGATTCTCTTGCCTCCACCTCCCAGGTGCTGGGATTTCAGGAGGAAGGCATCCCCGTTGGCTCTGTTATGCATATTTTAGAGAAATAAAGCTTAATGCTGACAGTAGAGAGTGAATAGGAAAGTGCACTGTGTGTCAGTTAACACTGATTGTCAGGATCAGGAGTCACTGGAGAGAGAGGCTTCAGTGCACACCTGTGAGGAATTAGTGAGGTTCTAAATCAGGAAGACTTAGATTGGTGGCGTCATTTCCTTTGTTGGGTCCGGGATTGACTAAAAGAACAAAGCTAGTTGGACACCAGCATCCGCTGTCTCTGGTTCTTTGTCTTGTCACCAGCTTCCTCAAGCACCTGCTGTGTCTCCCTTCGATGGACGGCGCCCTGGAATAAACCTTCCCCTCCTAAGTTGATTCTGTCAGGGGTTTCATCACAGCCACAGGGAAAGAGGCTGAGACCACTTGGAAACACACCTTTGACAATTCAGCTATCACAGTCAGACCGACTGTATTGGAATAAACTTGCTTTTCAGTTTTTATGTGAGTTCTGTACCTGGTGATTGCCCCTGGTCGTGATGAAGTGCACTTGCAGTCAGGGCTAGTCAGGAGGCTGAGGCAAGGGAAACCCTGGAATGGAGCTCAGGAAATTGAACACCTAGCAGCCTCATCTCAAAGAGAAAATCCCCACAGACTAAATGATGTGGTGAATAAGATGGACAGCACCGCCTTGAAGATTCCTGTGCCCGCCCCCCAGACAGAAGCAGAAGCACTTGCCTCCTGCCTGCCAGGAGCGGGTACAATTGATAGTAGTGGAGGGAGAGAGAGGAGTCTCACCAGGCCTCTAAGTGAGGGAAGAAAATAGAAGAAAAAGTCACGGAACGCTGAGGAACCGGTCAAGACACTCTTCAGTCAAGAGAGCGAAGCCACAAAGCAGCAACGACATAAAATAGGGATGTGAGCCCCATATGCAGTGTGCGAGCCTTGAGTCCTGATTCTGGTCCTCAGCTGTAAAAACATCCACCAGGCGTCTGGGCAGTTTGACTGAGATGTTAGGGGGCCAGAGGTTACCAGTGCTGCTGATTCTGCTAGTAATGGTGCAGTATTAGTGTTGCAGAGGAACAGCTGAAGGAGTTTTGAGTGAAACAGGATGGTGATAGGATTTGCTTTAAGGGAAAGCTGGAAGGTATCCCAAAGGAAAGAGTGAATTTGAGAGCAGCCAGCCATTTCTGCCAGCACTGGTGAGATTGTCAGTATGTACATTAGAGAAATGAAAAGGGTAGTATTTGTTTCTGTATTCACCATCCTACCTTACTGAATGTTACCAACATCAGACATTTAGTCTTTTTTTTCACTTTGGGTCCTGGGTTTCAGGCCTAGGTCCTCATACTACTCCACCACTCAGCAGTGTCTCCAGGCCTAAACACATCGTTTTTAAAAATGTACTATGAGGTTTGCCTGCATGGATGTGCATCAAGTGTGTGTCTTGTCCCCAAGGAGGTCATAAGAGGGTACTGCGTCCTCTGGAACTGGAGTTATAAATATTTGTGAGCTGCCATGTGGGTGTTAGGAACTGGACCCATGTCCTGGGCAAGAGCAGCAAGTGCTCTTACCCACTGAGCCATATTTCCAGTGCTGACATTTCGTTGGAGGAAGAGAATGGACTCTTCCAAATTGTCCTCTGACCACCATGTATACACCACAGTGTATGTGTCCCCCCATAAGAATGTAAAAAAATAAAAAAAACCAGCAAAAACCAAGCCTAAACTCATGAAAGCTCATTTGTAATCCAGGCACTGAGAAGGTGGATCTCTGGGGCTCCCGGCCATCGGCAGGGAATGGATGAGCTGCACTTCAATGAAGAGGGTCTGTCTTGGTAAACAAGATGGATGGCTCCTAGGGAACACCACCAGAGGTTAGCCTCTGTCTCCCAATATGTCTGTACACATGCATCTGCATACACACACATACACAAAAGAACCTTTGGGAAGTTGGAGTTGAAGAAGGATTTTTTTTTTTGTAATTTTGAGACAGGGTTTCTCTGTGTAGCTCTGGCTGTCCTAGAACTAACTGTAGACCAGGCTGACCTTGAACCTGTTGATCCACAAGCCCCTGCCTCTTAAGTGCTTGGATTAAAGGTGTGCACCATTATGTCTAACTAAACAGTTGTTTAAATTTTTTTAAAATTTATTTTGTGTGGGTGTCAGGACCGTCTGTATGCCTTGGCACATGTGGAGATCAAAGGTTAACTTCAGAAGTCATGTGTGTCCTGGAGATGAAACTCAGGTTGTTAAGCTTGGCATCAGGAGCCTTTAGCCACTGAGCCATCTTGCTGGTCCACGGGGTTAGTTTTTTGTCTGTGGTATCTGGGATCCCATCCTGGCTGTATATGTTAGGCGGGCGCTCTACTGCTGAGCTCTGTGTCCAGTTCCTGTGTTAGTGCTTTTTGTATATACAGCTTGACCAACTGCCTAGTTCTGGTGGAACAGGAAACGGTTGTGGATGCTTGTTTGTAATCAAGTATTAGTTAAAATACTTAACCCTGATGATATGAAGACAGATCTCCCAGAATTAACCAAGACCAAGCCACTTTTTTTTTCTCTTTCAATCTTCAGTGAACTTGATCCTATTAGCTAAGAATTCTAATTGGACTTGGTTGTTTTTCTCCATATATTTATGTTAGGATGCAAACTGACAGGAGAGTATTATATAACTTTTTAGCTTCTGCTCTTTTTAGTTCATGCGTATTAGTGGTTTGCAATGTGTATGTCTGTACACCACACACATGTAATACCTGAGGAGAACAGAAGAGGATGTCAGATCCCCAGTGCAGGAGCTGTGAGCTGCCATGTGGGTGTTGGGAACTGAAGAACCTTGAAGGTTCCTTTGGAAGAGCAGTCAGTGCTCTTAACCACTGAGCCATCTCTCTAGCTCTTTTTTAGATTCTAAATATGACTTTTTCCTCTCCACTCAGAAGCACATATGGAGTTTTAAGTTTTCTTTCCTTGGTTTTTCGAAACAGGGTTTCTCTGTATAACCCTGGCTGGCCTGGAACTCACTCTGTAGATCAGGCTAGCTTTGAACTCAGAGTTTTAAATATTTTTAATTTATTACTTCATATTTTTCTAATAATTTTTTTTCTAATTATAGGATTTATTTTATGTTGAAGTCTTGTGAGACCACTGCACAAATAGAGTGATGATTATACAAAGAGTGGTATTGAATTCCCGGCCTGGTATGTATTATTGTGTGGTAAATGAACAATTTTGGGCTCTGGTAATTATTACTTGAAATGGAAGAATAAAAACCAGCATGATATCAGTGAGGTAAACTAAGATAGTAAATTAAGATTAGTAAATTTCAGATCTCTCAGTTTGAGACCAGCCTGGTCTACAGAGCGAGTTCCAGGACAGCCAAGGCTATACAGAGAAACCCTGCCTCAAAAAATAAAAAAACAAAAAAAGTCTAGTAAATGTATTAGAGGAAACTTTTTAAACAATGCCATATTCATTTTTCAGATATTAACTTGGCAAGGCCATTTGAATCATTGTATTTGAAAGGTTATATTGAAAGTGTATAATTTTGGGTTTTTTTTCCTTGTGGTAGGTATAACTGACTATTAAACAGCCCTTGGAGAAGGCAGAGACAGGTGGATATCTGTGAGTTCGAGGCCAGCCTGGTCTACAGAGCAAGTTCTAGGACAGCCTCCAAAACAATACAGAGAAACCCTATCTCAAAAAAACCAAAACCAAAAAAAAAAAAAAAAAAACCAACCCTGACTATTAAAATTTGTTTTTCTGTTTTATGTGACATATGCCATATTATGTCAATACTGATAATCTACCTGATCATAGAAACAGAGGTGTGGAAGTAATCCAAGAAGTGTGGGCCCACTCTTCTGTGGCCCTGTTTTGTTGCTCACCTGCTGTGTTCTCTGCCCTTGGCTTTTGTGTTGAGAACAGTTAGTCTGAGACCTTTTCATTGGATCCCATCTTGGAGATCTAATGGTTCTTAAAAGGAAGTTTGTGCATATTAAACATAATTCAAGATGAATACACTTTAGTGATGATAGCTTTTGCTTAAACATTTTTCTTACACCTGGAACTCACCCTGGAGACCTTGCTGGCCTCAAATGCAGAGTAGAGGCCTCTGCCTCCAGTGCTGATATTAAAAATCTGCCCCACCACCTGACCACACAAGAGAGTGAGATTTTTTTTCTTTTCAGAGTCCTATCATTTTGAAACAGAATATGTTATTTACCTGTAGTTATTTTTAAAAAACAAAATTAGCTTACAAGAGTATTTATGAATTCAAATTCAGAAGTGATAGGAATTATTTGAAACTTTATGCTGAGTTACTCTTGTTTGAATTAAAAGGGAGTACTTTAAATCCTAGGGGTAACACTAGAAAATAATAGGTGTATGAAAAGGTAACTTTCGCCGGGCGGTGGTGGCGCACACCTTTAGTCCCAGCACTGGGGAGGCAGAGGCAGGCGGATCTCTGTGAGTTCGAGGCCAGCCAGGCTGGACCAATAACCTCCAAAACAATACAGAGAAACCCTGTCTCATAAAACCAAAAAAAAAAAAAAGAAAGAAAAAAGAAAAGAAAAGGTAACTTTCTTTTCCTGGGCATGGTGGTGCGTACCTTTGATCCCAGCACGAGATGAAGAAGCTAGTAGATCTCTCTGAGTTGGAGAACTCAGCTAAGACTACAGAGTGAGACTGTCTGAAGAAAAGGAAAAAAGCAATGCTTTAACTTCATATTTTTGCTTGAAATTTTAGGGAAAAATGGTAATCCAGTGGCAGAGAATTTCAGGATGGAAGAAGTCAGTTTACCGGATATTATCAAGGAAGGACAAGTTCAAGTCAGAACTCTCTATCTCTCTGTGGACCCCTACATGGTAAGAAGCAGGGTGTGCAAACTGATGAAAATAATTCTGTTCTTGTATTTTACCGTTGTTGCATCAGAATTTTATTGTGCTTTCTGTATGACTAATAAATATTTGAGAAATCATGTCTTTTTGTTTTTGGTGGTGGTGGGGGTTTTTCGAGACAGGGTTTTTCTGTGTAGCCCTGGCTGTCCTGGAACTTTCTTTGCAGACCAGGCTGGCCTCAAACTCCCAAGTGCTGGGATTAAAGGTGTGCACCACCATACCCAGCTTAACACTTTGTCTTTTTAACACTTATAGACATTCTGTGGGGTGTGAAGAAGTATCTCATTGTGGCTTGGTTTTTTCTTTTTCTTGATGACTAATTTTGAGCATATTTCCATGTGATCATTGGCCACTTGAATGTCTTTTTTTTTTTGAAGAAATATCTACCCAGAATACTAGAGCATCTTAAAATTGAATTATTTGGGCTGAAGAGATGGCTCAGCAGTTCAGAGCAATTACGGCTCTTGCAGAGACTTGTGTTCTATTCCCAGCACCCACATAGTAGCTCCCAGCTGTCTGTAACTCCAGTTACAGGGGGTCCAGTTCCCTCTTCTGAACTTTTCAGGCACCAGGTACATACTTGGTGCACATACATGCATGCAGGCAAAACATTCATCACATTAAAAAAAAAAAAAAAACAATAACCCGGGCGGTGGTGGCGCACGCCTTTAATCCCAGCACTCGGGCGGCAGAGGCAGGCGGATCTCTGAGTTCGAGGCTAGGCTGGATCGACAGCCTCCAAAATAATACAGAGAAACCCTGTCTCGTAAAAACAAACAAATAAACAATAAAAAACAATAAATCTGAAAAAAAAACACCAGAAAAATATCTCAAGTTTCATGGAAAAATTTAAAAAGTATCTGTATTATTGAGTTATAGTCTTTGTTTTCTAGATATAAATCCTGGTATCTCATATTTGTTCTGTAAAAATTATCTCCTAGCCAGGACAGCCAGGGCTGTTATACAGAAAAGCCCTGTCTTGTAAAAAAACGAATACAACAACAAAAAAGAAGCGTCTCCTGTTTTGTGGATTGTCTTTGTACTCTATTGCAATGACGATACACTTCTTTCTCACTGAAGCACAAAAGTTGTTCATTTTGATGACGTCCAGTTTACTACTTTTCCTTTTGTCACATATGTTTGGTCTCATATTTAAGGCTTTGCCTCACTCAACATTATGAAGATTTAACCCAAATTTTTTCTTTTAAGAGTTTTATAGTTTTAGCTCTAAAATTACACATGTAGCCCATTTTGAGTTATATGTGGTATGAGAAAGGGATCTATATTATAGTTCTCCAAGGAGATTGAAACTGTAGGAGACAGATACATTTATAGAGACATAGATAAATTAGACAGGATTTGTCAGGGCAAATTTATCAGCTACCACAAAAGTCCATCTATAAATCAGAAAACCAGAGAGGTCTGTATCCTGGCTAATCTATGTCTGAAGGAGACCTGAGAACCAGAGAAACATAAAGTTTTACTCTGAGGCCAAAGGCCTGGGAGCCTGGGAGGCTGCTGCGATTGTCTGTTGGAAATGTGAATCCCAGAGACCAAAGGCCAAAGAACTTGCAGTTCTGAAGTCTAAGGGCAGAAGAAAGGCGTCCACTCCAGATAAGGAGAGGACTCTTCCATACTCTAAGAAGGAAAGATGTCCACTCCAGATAAGGAGACGACTCTTCCACATTCTAGGGTATATTGGTTTTATCATCCAGCCCCTTGATGGTGTCTTCCTTCTTCCCTCCTTTCTTCCTTTCTTCCCTCCTTCCTTCTTCCCTCCCTCCCTGCCTCCCTCCCTCCCTGCCTCCCTCCCTCCCTGTCTCCCTCCCTCCCTCCCTGCCTCCCTCCTTCCTTCCTTCCTTCCTTCCTTCCTTCCTTCCTTCCTTCCTTCCTTCCTTTTTCTTTTCTTTTTTTGTAGTGCTGGGGAGTGAACCTAGGCCTTTGATGTCAGGCAAGCATTCTACCATTGAAGTACAACCTCTACTGGCACCCCAGATAAATCATCACAGGGTTCAACTTCAGTCTTTTGCAGGTGGATATACAATTGTGTCACTATCATTTGTTGACAAGACTATACTTTGGGCATTGGTGGGGCATGCCTTAATCTCAGCACTTGGGAGGCAGACGCAGGCCATTCTCTGTGAGTTCGAAGCCAGCCTGGTCTACAAGAGCTAGTTCCAGGACAGGCTCCAAAGCCACAGAGAAACCCTGTCTCAAAAAACAAAAACAAACAAAAAGGGGGCTGGAGAGACGACTCAGAGGTTGAGAGCACTGGCTGCTCTTCCAGAGGGCGGGAGTTCTATTCCTAGCAACCACATGGTAGCTCACAGCCATCTGTAATAAGATCTAATGCCCTCTTCTGGCTGCAGGCATATGTGCAGGCAGAACACTCTACATAGTAAATAAATAAATCTTAAAAAAAAAAAAAAGACTTTGTTGAAAATCAGTTGACCATGAACTGGACATGGTGGCTCATACCTGTGCCCCAGCATTTGGAAAGCTGAGGCAGAAAGGTCACTGCAAGTTTGAATCATACACAAGAGTTACTTGTAGACTCAAATCTTATTCCATTATTAATATGTGTGTTTATCCATATGTGTCTTACTGCCTTGATTGTTATCACTGCAGTGAGCTTGGAAAGTAGCAAGCATGAATCTTCCAATTCTGTTTTTGTTTTTTGTTGTATTTGGAAGTTTTGTTTATTTTTATTTATTTATTTTTTGTTTGGTTTTTTGAGACAGGGTTTCTCTGTGTAACAGCCCTGGCTGTCCTGCAACTTGCTTTGTTGCAGGCTGGCTTCAGACTCGATTGGCCTGCCTCTTCTTAAGTGCTGGGATCAAAGATGTGCGTCACCACTGCCTGCCAATTCTGTTTTTGTTGTTGTTTTTTTTTAATGGTTTATTATATTATTTGTGTGTGTGTGTGTGTGTGTGTGTGTGTGTGTGTGTGTGTGTGTGTGTGCGTGCCTGTGAGTTGGCTAGAGAACAACTTGCAAGAGTCTGTTCTCTCCTCTTATCATTAGGGTTCTGGGGACCAGTCTTAGGCTGTCAGACTTGGCAGCAAGCACCTTTACCTACTGAGCCATCTCACCAGCCTTATGAAATGAATTGGAGTGTTTTCCTTCCATCTTTGAGTTTGTAAACCATTTGTATTAATTATAATCACTGAGTCGTCTCTCCAGTCCCACCTTATTTTTAAATCAGTGTGTATGCATGTGCATGCATGTAGCATACATGTGGAGGCCAGACGACCACTGTGCAGTCAGTTTTCTCCTTCCACCTTTATTTGGGTCCAGGGACCAAACTTAGGTCGTCAGGCTGACTGGGAAGCAAGCCTCCAGGGTCTGCTTGGCACCAGTCCCCAGCCCCACCCGGGCAGAGGTTACAGACACACACTGCTGCACCCAACATTGAATCTTTAAAACTTCCAAAAGGAAAAACTGGACCTTAGATGGTTTCCTAAATGAATTACACTTACTTAAAAAATTAAAACTGCATTTATACGTGTGTGGGTTTGTTTGTTTTGTTTTGCCCACTTGTATGTGCTCATGCATGACTGCCATGGCTCACACGTAGAGGCCAGAGGACAACTTCTGAAAGTTGATTCTCCCCTCCTTCTGCCGTGAGAGTTCTGGGGATTGAACTCAGGTTGTCAGACAGGCTTGGTGACAAGTGCCTTTCCCTGCTCAGACATCTCAAAGGTCTTATTTATGTGCCTTTTTTAATGCCAATATCATACTGTTTTGATTAGCACACTCTATAAGAGATCTAAATTTCTTTTCAGTTGTATTTCTTTAATGGTAAGAGCTAGGTACATGGCTCCCCCAATTTTTGCAGAATTAAAAAAAAATGAAAGGGCTAGAACAAGAGAGACTTACATGCCTTTCATCAGGTAAATTAAGCTTCCCGTAATGACGACTTTCTTTTCTCCAGCGCTGTAAGATGAATGAAGACACCGGCACTGATTATTTAGCGCCTTGGCAGCTGTCCCAGGTGGTTGATGGTGGAGGTATTGGAATTATAGAAGAGAGCAAACACCCACACTTGGCTAAAGGCGATTTTGTGACTTCTTTTTATTGGCCCTGGCAAACTAAAGCAGTTCTCGATGGGAATGGCCTTGAAAAGGTAATGTGCGATATAACACTTTCTGATTTTTCTTCCTTTATTCTCATTTCTGCATTCATATTATTTTGTTAGAGAGTGAATGACATTTTCTTTTAGATAGCTGCCAAAATGTGGAATTCCTTTGTCCTTTTTACTGTTAGCTACCACTAATCACCAGAGAATGCCATAATCTCAAATTGAATGTGTAAAGGAGAGCTATAAGCACAAACATACTTAATGCTAAGAACTAGAAATACCCCTACAGTTAAATATATGCTAGAGTTCCCTGAGAAATAGCTACAAGAGGACTATATTTACTTCATGATTGAAATTCATCTCATGTCAGAAATCAGAGTTCAGCCACTGAGCCATGTAAAATGACCAGCATTGTTTTGACCTACGAAACTTCACTACTGCCGGGCGTTGGTGGCGCACGCCTTTAATCTCAGCACTTGGGAAGCAGAGGCAGGTGGATCTCTGTGAGTTAGAGGCCAGCCTGGTCTACAAGAGCTAGTTCCAGGACAGCCTCCAAAGCCACAGAGAAACCCTGTCTCGAAAACACCAAAAAAAAAAAAAAACTTCACTACTTTATGTAATCTGACCTCAGTGATGGATCATAGGGAAGATACATTACTTCTTTCAAACTCACAGACCTGCTGCCTCTGCCTCCTCAGTGCTGGGATCAAAGGTGTCTGCCACCACCACCTGGCTATATCTTATTTCATCCTATTCAAGTTTCTTTTTTTGTTTGTTTAATTTGTTTTGTCTTTGTTTTTTAGAGATAGTCACTCTACATAGCCCTGGCTGTCCTGTCACTAGGTAGACTAGGCTAACCTCAAACTCATAGTGATCTACCTCCCTCTGCTTCCCCAAGTGGTAAGATAAAAAGTGTGCACCACCATCTGGCCAAATTTCAGTGTTTTTGTTTTGTTTTGTTGTTTTTTTTTCAAGACAGGGTTTCTCTGTGTAGCTTTGGAGCCTATCCTGGCACTCGCTCTGTAGACCAGGCTGGCCTCGAACTCACAGAAATCCACCTGCCTCTGCCACCGCCACCGCTGCCACCACCACCCAGCAAAACTGTGATTTATTTTATATGTATGAGTGTTTTGTCTGGATGTGTATCTCTGCACCATTTGTGAGAAATGCCAGAGGAGACCAGAAAAGCGTCTCAGATCCCTGGAGTTACAGTTGGTTGTGAGTCACCATGTGGGTGCTGGGAATTGAACTGGAAGAGCAGAAATGCTCTTAACCACTGAACTCTCTCTAGCCCAAATTATAGTATTTTTATATAATTACAAATTCTTAAATTAGTTTGAGAGAGCTGATAATGCATGTTACCACTTTTCTTTTCCAAACTTAACAATGAATTGGACAGCCATGAAGGAAGGGCTCCCAAGAAACTGTAATTGTGATAAGAACTATTTCAGAGTTGGGTGTGGTGGCACTTATTTAATCCCAGTACTTGGTAGGCAGAGGCAGGTGGATCTCTGTGAGTTCTAGGCCAGCCAAAGCTGTATAGTAACACCTTGTTTTAAAGAGAAAAAAAGAACTATTGTAATGATCCTAAAAACCAAAGCATTGCAGGAAAGTCACCTGTGGGGAAGATGCCTACGTGTCAATTGCTGGCCTCATAGTATCCTAGGTATTGATCATTATAGTCAAGAATAACTGCCTTAAAATGACTTTCCTCATTTTTCCTTTAAAGTTCTTGCCTCAGGGCTAGAGTTCAGTTTAGTTCAGAGGTGCAGCATTTGTCCAGTTCTGGATGAGAGCCCGTGTGTAATCACCAACACTGCAAAAAGCAACAAAATGACAAAACCCTTGTCTTTTGTACTCTTTGAATGTTGTCATGAGCCATATATTAAAAATTATAATTATTTGTTTTTGTTTTGAGACAGTTTTTCTATGTAATGTGGCTGTCCTGGAACTTACTCTGTAGACCAGACTGGCCTTGAACTCACAGAGATCCACCTGCCTCTGTCTCCTGATTGCTGGAATTAAAGGTGTGCACCACCACCAACTGGCTTTTTTTGCTTTCATTCATATATATTGTGGGTCTGTGTCTGTGATGTATATAGGTGCATGTTGGTGTTCATGCACATGTAGAAGTTGGAGGACAACTTTGGGTGCTACCTTCAGGAGCGCGTTACCTCCTCTATCGCCATTTGAGATTGAGCCAGATTGAATGGCCAGTGAGCACTGGGAATCATTCCTCTCGTCTCCGGGTGTTGAAAGTGCAATAGTCTGCCTGAAATTTTTATAAGGGTTCTGGAGGTCAAACTCATATACTCATGACTGCAATGAGCCAGCCATCCCCTTAGCCCTCACTAGTTTTTACTGTTTACAAATGTGCTAGAATCTTAACAAGACCAAAGAATGGACTACTGAAAAACACCGTGAAATCCGGGTAGCAGGGACTCACTTCCTATTCTGAAGTTTAAAACCCCAAGATTGAGGTTCTGGAAAATTCGGTTTCTGGTAAGGTCTCTTTTAGCTTTCAGGGAAATGCTTTCTTGCTGTGTCATCCAGTACCCTGCCAGGCAGTGAGGAGTGTTTCATCTGTTTCTTTTAACAACATACATCTTGATCCAGTATACTTATAGGGATATAGAGACTTGACATATGAAATTAGGTGTGAAACACTATTCAGTCCATAATTCTCTAACTTCTTGGCATAAAATATAACTTCAGTATTGTTTAAAATGTACATCTTCTGTTTTAGGTAGACCCACAACTTGTGGATGGACATCTTTCGTATTTTCTTGGAGCTATAGGTATGCCTGGTTTGACTTCCCTGATTGGAATACAGGAAAAAGGTCACATATCTGCTGGATCCAATCAGACAATGGTTGTCAGTGGAGCAGCAGGTGCCTGCGGATCTTTGGCTGGGCAGGTAAAGTGTCCAAAAATTATTTGACTTTTCTAAAATAGAAGGCATGAACAGATCACAGAATACATGCATATAATTTAGAATATAAAATTGAAGACTGGTGACATAGCTCAGTCAGTAGAGTGCTTGCCTAGCATGCATGAAGTTCCAGGTTTGAGCCCTAACACTACGTAAATCAGGTGTGTGATACACACCTGTAATCTCAGCACTTAGGAAGCAGAGGAGGAAGATCAGAAATTCAAGGTCATCCTCTGTTACGTAGTGAGTTCAAGCCCAGCCTAGAATACATAAAAGTTTGTCACAAAAAGTAACTAATTAATTTTAGGTTAACCGTTTATACGTTGCCCATGATCCAGCAAATAACTGCACATGCAAGCAACACTGATTAAACTTAATGCTTATTTTCTTAAAGACATGAAAGTAGGAGGGGGCTATTACAGTAAAGAAGGAATTCCAGAGGAATGGGAGAGGGTGAGAAAGGAAATGTGGCTGACTGCAGCCAAACATAGGATACACATATATGAAGTTAAGGAGAAAATTATCGTAATTAAGAAAAGATTGGTTATTTTTGTTTGATGCTTTTGTGTGAGCACACGCATGTATGTTTGTGTGTCAGATCCCGTGGGACTGGAGTTAAAAGAGGTTGTGAGTCTCCTGATGTTAACGTTTCAGACCAAACCCAGGTCTGCTCTAAGAGTAGTAAGTGCTCTTAACTGCTGAGCCATCTCTCCAGACCCCTTATTTTAAATTTAAAATTTTTTATTATGTCATTATTTTGCACATTGTTGGCACAAATGCTATTACCTGTTTAGATTCTGTTGATAACAATATGAAAAGACAGGTTTTTGTGTCTCTGTTAACTAAAAGATGTGGCAAATAATAGAGTAATTCTGCCATCCATATAGCGATGAAAATCGTAGAGATCTGTTTGTAATTCCTTGAATTAAAAGACAGATAAGCAGGGGCTAAAGAGATGGTTCAGTGGTTAAGAATACTTCCTGTACTTGCAGAGAACCCAGGTTCAGTTCTCAGCTCCACAGAGTGGCTAAGAACTCTCTACTCCAGTTCCATGTACCCAGTGATGTCTTCTGGCTTATTGGGCACCAGATATGCACATAACGCACATACAAACATGCAGCCAAAACACACAAATAAATACATACACCTTGGGGTGATTTTTTGTTTATGATCTAACAATTAAAGCTTGCCTGAAGATCAGAGTGCAAAGCTAGCCACACTAGTTAGCCATAGAGGCCAGGCAGTGGTGGTACACACCTTTAATCCCAGCACTCAGGCGACAAAGGCAGACAGCTCTGTTAGTTCAAGGCCAGCCTGAGTGACATGAAATTGATTCAGTCTAAAAGAGAAACAGGGCTCATACAAAGGTGATCTCAGCACATGGGATCCCATGCCTTTAATCCAAGAACTAGAGAGAAATATAAGGCAGGAGGAGACAGGAGCTTAGTGCAGTCTGAAGCTTGGTGGAGACAGATGCAGTCTGGAGATACAGTCTGAGGACAGGATCTCCCCTTTGGTCTGAGCATAGGTAGAGGTGAGAACTCTCTAGTAACTGGCTGATTTGCTTCTCTGATCTTCAGCTTTAACACCAATATCTATCTCTGGGTTTTTATTACTAAGAACAATTATAATTTGTGCTACACATCTTTACAAAAAATGACAAGGAGGGATGTTGGATTGTAGTTCTAAACATGCATGAAGTTCTATGTTCAGTTGCCTGTACCAAGCAATAGCATAAAATTAAACCCTTATTTTGTTTATTTTTGAGACAGGGTTTCTCTGTGTAGCTTTGGAGGCAGTCCTGGAACTTGCTCTGTAGACCAGGCTGGCCTTGAACTAATAGAGATCCTACTGTTTGTGACTCTTGAGTGTTGGGATTAAAGGCGTGTGCCACCACCGTCCTGCTAAATTCTTTTTTAAAAGAAATTAATATGAATTCGTCTTCCTCAAGAAGGTTATTTATTTATGTATATTTTGAAACAGAGTCACTTGTCTACCCGGATGGCCCCAAACTTACTCTGTAACTTAGGCTGGCCTTGAATTCCTGTCCTCTTACCTCCACCTTCCACGTGCTGAGATAATACTGCAAAAAGCATTTATTGAATTGTAGGTATGTAATAAATGTTTTGAAGGAACTGTATAAAGTTCAATGTTTTATAAATAGTAGCTGTATTAGTCTTCTCTTTGCTGTAATAAAATGTCTGACAAAGGCAACCCAAGGAAGGAGGGATTTATTTGGTGCACAGCTCCAGGGTATGGTCCGTTATGGAGGGAACGTCATGATGGTAGGAGCTCAGGTAGCTGGTCACTTGCATCAGCACTCAAGAAGCAAACAGCAGCGAATACTTGCACTCGGTTTGCTCTCTTCTGTGTCTTCATATGGTGCTCCAGCCCACAGAATGGTACCACATTTGGTGGGTCTTCCCTTTTCAGTTAGCCTAATCTAGGTAAGTCATTACAGACATGACCAGAGGTTTGCAGTTCTACATCTTGTCACGTTGACAGTCAAGCTCAGCCATCATAGTGGCTGTGTTGCTCAGTTGGTGGTACTGTTTGGGGCTGTAGTGCTGTCTTGCTGTATGTCTGTCCCTGGGGGCAGGCTTTAAGAGTCCATGGCTTCATCATCCTACTTCAGTTTGTTTTTTCCTCTTCCTGCTTGTGGCTGAAGAAGTGATCTCTGTTTCCTGTTCCTGCCACCATTCCCACTGTTTGCTGCCATGCTTCCCTCGGGAAATGTAAGCCCAAATAATCTCTCTCTTTAAGTTGCTTTTGGTTATGGTGTTTTATCACAGCAACAGAAAGTAACTGATACAGTAGCTTTTATAGCATGGGAAACAAAGTACTGTATTTTAGCTATTGAATTATTGAATTTTAAGGGCAATATTTTGGGTCTGATTATTTATTTTGAAAATTACACTAAAGTTCTGAATTTAAAACTACATTTTATTGTTTGTTTAAGAATCACATTATCTGTTCTTAGTCTCTTTGGTTTTATTTTTTTCTCTCCTTTTTTTTTTTTTGAGACAGTGTCTTTCTATGTATCTTTGGCTGTCATGGAACTTGTTATATAGAATAGGTTGGCCTTGAACTCATTGAGATACACTTGCCCGCCTCTCCAGTGCTGGGATCAAAGGGGTGTGCCACCACACTTTAAGTTTTTTAGTTAAAAGCACTGTAATCAAGCCTAAATTGTACGAATACTATATCAGGGTTAATACTGATATGATGAAACATCATGACCAAAAGTAACTCCGGGAGAAGTCTGTTGTGCTTACATTTCCAGGGAACAGTCTGTCACTGAGGGAAGTCAGAGCAGGAACTTAAACAGGGTAGAAACCCAGAGACAGGAGCTGAGGCAGTGGCCATGGAGGAATGCTATCACTGCTTTTCATGGACTCCAGGTCCACCCCTTGCAATGGGCTGGGCCCTCCCTCTTCAGACACTTACTAAAGAAATGCCCTTACAGACCTGCCTACTGTCAGATTTTTATGGAGACATTTTCTCAGTTGAGGTTCCCCCCTCTCAGATGATGCTAGCTTATGTCAAAAATTAGCCAGGTCAGATACTGTCCTCTACGTGTGTACTTTGACATCTTTATGTTTGTGTGACTATAACGTCATTTAATTTTCAAACAATTCCTCCCTAGATTGGCCACCTGCTTGGCTGTTCCAGAGTGGTGGGAATTTGTGGAACTCATGAGAAATGCCTCATTTTGACCTCAGAGCTGGGGTTTGATGCTGCAGTCAATTATAAAAATGGGAACGTAGCAGAGCAGCTTCGAGAGTTGTGCCCAGCTGGAGTGGACGTTTACTTTGACAATGTCGGAGGTGACGTCAGTGACTCAGTGATAAGTCAGGTTGTTTGCTGATTTGTTTCTGCTTAAAACTGATACTATGTCTTATTTATTGTAATTATTTTTGGTTGATACTAAGGGGAGCTATAAAAATATGGTGTTCATTTTGATAAATAACATTATTCTATTTGTTATACAGAAGATCTTCTTGACTTCTTGATACTTTCATTTGATTACACATTTATGTTCTGATTTCAATTCCTGCTTAGCAATATATTTTCACTCTCAATTAACTTTTGTGAAAAATTAAGAGTTGCACTCTTGAAATAGTGAGATTCTGACCTGTAATTCACCATTCACTAATTACCTCACAGCCATAACCCCCAGGTTGAGTGGGGAGGTGGTTTTCATAGATTATAAATGTTATGTATTTTTATTGACAATGTAGTAAAATATCAACAGTTGATAATAAGGATAAATAGATCTTGACTGTATGTAAAATTACTTGCAGGTGAGATTATATTATTTAAGTATAAGGAAATACATTACTGGGCTGGAGAGATGGTTGGTTCAGCGGTTGAGAGTGTGTCCTGCTCTTGCAGAGGACCTGAGTTTGATTCTATGTCAGTGTCTGTGTCAGGTGATTCAAACCACCTGTATCTCAACCTCCAGGGAGAATGGACCCCTTCGGCCTTGTTAGGCACATGCCCTTAATTACATGCATGTATCTGTTGTGTGGGGGGGTAGCCACCAGAGACATCTGCTTGGACATGGGTTTAAGCCAATGAAAGTCTTTATTAGCTGCCCACTGACTACATTGGGTGTTCAGATCCCAGTGTAGCCTGGAGCCTTTCTCAGAGTGAGCTTTTAAGCACAAAAACCATGTTCTGGGTTGACACACACCGGTTAACAAGAGCAGTTAGCCAGAAGCGGAACCACAGAAGCCAGAAAGCAATGTTAGCACACTTAGAGGCTTTCCCAGAACTATGGACTTTGATGGATTAGGCCTTTGTTTTGGAAGGTGGTGCTGTCAAAGTGCTGAGCTTTACAGCCTGAATGGAATCAGTTGTGGTAAGGTCTTGTGGCCTACTGAGGTCTGGGGACCCATTACAGTACCTATACACAGACCCACACATATACATTATTAAAAATAATAAAATTAAGCTTTAAAAAATAAATATAGTACAAAAAAGCAGCAAGGTCAGTGGCAATTAATGTAGTTCTTTTGGTGATTATCAAACTTCTATTCTCCATTCCTTCAGGGTGGACTTAAAACTTGTAGAGGCTGGAGAGATGGCTCAGCAGTTAGAGTGCTGACTGCTCTTATGGAGGACTGAGTTTTCATCCTGACACCCACACCAAGCAGCTCAAAACCATCTGTAATGCCGGGCGGTGGTGACGCACGCCTTTAATCCCAATCCCAGCACTCGGGAGGCAGAGGCAGGTGGATCTCTGTGAGTTCGAGGCCAGGCTGGACTGATAACCTCCAAAACAATACAGAGAAACCCTGTCTCGTAAAAACCAAAAAAAAAAAAAAATCTGTAACTCCAGTTGTAGGGGGATCTGAGACCCCCCCTTTCTGGCCTCCACATGTGGTGAACATAAAACACATGCAGGTGCACATGCATAAACACACACTTAAAAATGTGAAAATACTTTTAAATAGATAAATCTTCAAAATAAATTAATTGGCAATAAAGGTTTAAGTGTGGTGGTTAAATAGGCTTTCATTGATGTAGTCATAAATCCATCGATAGGAAGGGTGTCTGAGGGCGTAATCATCAGCGTTTCTCTATACAGATGAATCAGAACAGCCACATCATCCTGTGTGGACAGATTTCTCAGTACAATAAAGACGTGCCATATCCTCCTCCCCTGGCCCCAGCTACAGAAGCGATCCAGAAGGAAAGAAACATTACAAGGTGTGTTCTTTACCTTTGCCCTTATTACCACTGTCACAGGGGCTGGGGTGTTAAATTTCATAGATGTGAAATGTATTCATTTATAGTTTTTTCCTTATTAAATAAAATTGAAAAGTATATATTTAAGGAGGTTCAATATTTAAATTTTGGTTAAATGGTTCTCAGGAAAATACTTCTGGTGTTGACTGGATGGGATCACGTGAGGGGAGGGGAAGAATGTTATCCACAAAGGAAAAATCACAGTACTGTTGCCAAATAGGGTTGTAAATGATAAGCAGATATAAACAGTCAGTGTTTAGTGTACTTACCCCTTACCTACACCAAAAACTGTATCTGACCAGACTCAGCATGGCTATATGCTAGTTTAAAAACTCACAGGTCTTACCATTTTGAAGGATTTGATTTTGCTGTTTTGTTTTTTATTTGTAAGATGGGTTTCTCTGTTTAATAGCTCTGACTGTCCTGAAATTCTCTTTATAGACCAGGCTGGCTTTGAACACACAGAGATCCCTGCCTCTGCTTCCCAGGTGCTGGGATTAAAGGAGTGCGCCACCTCCACCCTCGGGTTCTCACTCTTGAAATATTCTCTAATCATTATTCTTCTATTCTCTACTTGCAGAGAGAGATTTACCGTGTTAAATTATAAAGATAAATTTCAGCCTGGACTGCTACAGCTGAGTCAGTGGTATAAAGAAGGAAAGCTAAAGGTAAAACCTTTTTTGTTTTTTGAAAACAGGTCTCAAGTGACCCAGGCTGGGCTTGGACTTGACAAATAGCTGAAAATGACCTTGAACCCTTAGCCTCCTACCTCTGCTCCACTAGTGCTAGAATTATAGGCATGCTTTACCATACCAAATTGATGTGATGGTGGGCTTGAACCCAGGACTAACCAAGTCTTCTATCAACTGAGCCACATCCCCAGTCCAAATTTCTATTAACTATAAAGTATATTTTTCTTCCATTTGGCATTCTTTTATTTTATTTGACTTTACTATAGCAAACAATTGTTTCATTACAAAAAATTCTTATAAAAGATGGGCTAGAGAATTGGCTCAGTGGTAAAGAACACGTTGCTCTTGTAGAGGACCCAAGTTTGCTTTCCAGCTTGTATGTCAGGCTGCTCACAGTTGACTGTAACTGCAGCTCTGTGACCTTCTCTGGACTGCCTAAGCAACAGCACTCACGCGCGTACTCCTGTTTGAGAAACCGTTTTATTACCTTTATGCAATATTTTATTAAGCTTGGGATTGTAGAGGCTGCTCAGTGGTTAGGAGCACTTGCAGAGGACCTGGATTTGGTTTCCAGCATCCATACGGCTACTACAAGCTGTCCATAACTCCAGTACCAGGGGATCCAGTAACCTCTTCTGGCCTCCAAAGGGACCAAGCACACAGTGGTACATACATATACATACTCAGCCAGGCGTTGGTGGCACACGCCTTTAATCCCAGCACTTCGGAAGCAGAGGCAGGCGGATCTCTGTGAATTCGAGGCCAGCCTGGTCTACAGAGCGAGTTCCAGGACAGCCTCCAAAACAACAGAGAAACCCTGTCTCGAAAAACCAAAAAACCAACAAACAAAAAAAAAAAAACAAAAATAAAAGTTGTGTAAGCTCATGCCAGAACACTCTTCAAATATTCTATTTTTTATGGGAATTTGTTAAATTTTATATAACTAGAATGAGTCATTACTGCATTTTAGAAAGTACAGAAGAGTTGTAAACCCAGCAGTACAATCATGTTACTTTGGTTTAATATAACCTATTTTCTTTTAATTTTTAATATATAATTTATTTTTATTTTATGTTCATTGGTGTTTTGCCCATGTGAATGTTTATGTGAGGATGTCAGAAACCCTAAAACTGTAGTTACAGACAGATGTGAGCTGCCCTGTGGAAGCTGGGAGTTGAACCTTTGGAAAGGTGGCCAGTACTCTTAAATGCTGAGCTTTCCTTGTGATTTTTATAGATTTCAGTAAATATCTTTCTTATACTCATTTCTTTTGTGTTATTTTGATTTTAGTTGTTGGGAAAAATTAGAAGTACTATTGTTAGGGACATGTTTCTCTGTGTAGCTTTGTAGACCAAGCTGGCCTCGAACTCAGAGATCCACCTGCCTCTGCAACGAGTGCTGGAATTAAAGTGCTGGCCACTGTTATTATTTCTTTGAAACAGAGTTGTCTGTGTAGCCTTATCTGAACTGGAACTTGCTCTGTAGACCAGGCTGGCCTCTAACTCATTGAGATCTAATTTCCTCTGCCACCCAATTACCGGGATTAAAAACATGTGCCACCATTGCCTGAAATTAGAAATTATTAATCTGGGATCCAGGTAAAATGTTCTTGAAACCTTAAAAATGGTAGGCAGACTTGTAAACGTGTCTGATAATTTTTTTCCAAGAGGGCGTATATGGACTGTCGGAATAACTTGGTAAATTACTTGCTTAGCCTGCATGAAGCCTAGTCCACCCCAGCAGGGAAAAACAAAACAAAACAACCAAAAACTGGGTGTAGTGGCACAGGCTTGTCATCCCAGAACTGGGGAGGTGGGGGCAGGAAAGAATCTTAAATTCAAGGTCACAGTCAGTTTAGGAGTGTGTAGCCTGTGTAGTTTAGGAGTAGATGGGGTAGGAGGGCAGCAGTGAGATGGCTCAGTGAGTATGGACACTTGCTGCCTGGTGGGTGAATTGAGTTTGATCCCCATATGGTAGAAAAATAGAAAGAACTGGGCTGGTGATGGTAGCTGACGCCTTTAAACCCAGGAGTGAGGAGAAAAGGCAGCCTGATCTCTTTGTGTTTAAGGCTAGCCTAGTCTACAGAACAAGTACCAGTTGTCCTTGTTATGCCCAGATTGCAGAGTCCCCCAAAAACCAACAAGGAGCCCAAATCCTGTACGTAAAAGCAAAGAGCTTTTATTCAAGTTGGAACTTGGACTCTCCATGTGTCCAATGCATGGCACTATCAGAGAGCCTGGAGCTCAGTGCGGTTTTTATCATAGCAGGTAGGGGTGAGAGATTTCTAAGGTTCAGAACTCCTGATTGGCTGACATTTGTCTAGAGGTGTCTTAGTGAAAGGGATGGATGTGTGTGCTGGGCTAAGGGATATCAGGTGATCCTGTCTACAGTGATTGGAACGTTAGCAATTAGGAATTTCCTATGGAACGTTAGGTACCTTTTCCTTGGATGGTCCGTTCCTGGGTGGTCCCCGGGTGGTCTTAGTTTTCCTGGACTCTCAGGTGTTTCTTTAGGGTAAACTGAAAACTCAAGCCTACGTGAGCTTTGGCACTGCAGCAGTATAGCAAAGCGGCAGGTGTGTACCGAGTTACCCTGGGTCTTACGGCCCCAACTTCACGAACATGCTGCGACACATGCAGTCACCCACAAAACAAACAGTGTAAAACATAGTTAAACGACCGTACAACAAAAATATATGATCAGGATTTTATATTTTTGGTTGTGAGCCTAGCCTTTAACGGCTGAGCCATCTCTCCAGCCCACGATCAGGATTTTATAGAAAAGTGTGTGTCCATTTTTCTACTGTATTCCAAGTTCTAAATTCTATTGCTTTCTTTTATGGAAATCATTAATCCTAAATCTAGCTATTTTGATTTACAGATCAAAGAGACTGTGATAAATGGATTAGAAAACATGGGAGGTAAGATGAAGATTTATTCCATTCATGTGCTCAAATGTATTGATTTTTCAGGAGTTTTCTTCTTCTCATGCTGTAGAGGATGAACCTATGGTCCCTTTCATGCTAAGCCCACTTTACCAGTGTGCTAAGCCCTAGCCACTGCACCCCTTCTCTGTGGAGACAGGGTCTGTGTTAACTGAGAGACAGTGCTTTCGTTAGGCAGCCATGGAGAACTGAACCTGGAGTCCTGTGCGTGGTAGGCAAGGCCCGCAGACTGAGCTGCCTCTTCTTCCCTTTGTTTTTGCTTTTTTTCTCGTTTTTTGGAGGGAGAAGGGGAGTGGAGCAGAGCTTTTCTGAGACTGGGTCTTGTGTAGCCTTGGTTGGCTTTGAATTTGATAGGTAGCTGAGGCTGACCTTAAATTCCTGACCTCTCAAGTGCTGGAATTACAGGCGTTTGCCACCACACCCACCTTATTTTCTTGTTAATAATTTATTGCTGGGGCTGAGGAGGTAGGTAAGTTGGTACTATGAATGAAGCAGTGTATAAATCATGCATATTATCAACCACTGTAACCCCAGAACTCAGATGGTAAAGGCAGTACAATCAATTTAATATCATTATCAGCTAATGAGACTGTCTCAACAATACATAAAATAAACTGGGCAGTGGTGGCCCATGCCTTTAATCCCAGCACTCAGGCAGCAGACAAGTGGAGCTTTGAGAGTTCAAAGCCAGCCTGGTCTATAAAGCTAGTTCTAGGCCAGCCAAGGCTACACACAGAGAAACCCTGTCTTGAAAGAAATCCTAACTAAATTGATTAAATAAAAATTATCTCTTCTTGGGCTGGAGAGATGACTCAGAGGTTAAAAGCACTGGCTGTTCTTCCAGAGGGCCAGAGTTCAATTCCCAGCAACCACATGGTTGCTCACAACCATCTATAATGAGATCCGGTGCCCTCTTCTGGCATGCAGGTGTACATGCAGACAGAACACTGTATACATAATTTTTATTTATTATCTCTTCATGTGAAACTGTCCTGTATTTGTAGGTTTCCTTATGTATTGTAATCAAACACCATTAGAGTTCACTTTAATGATATTTAATATGTGTATTAGTTACTTTTTAATCATTGTGACAAAATACCTGAAAAAAATTTAGGGAGGAATTATTTTGCTCATGATTTTAGAGGGTTCAGTTCATGGTCACGTGGCTCCATGTACTTGGGTAGGGCAGATCATCCTGGTTGTGGGAGTACATAAAGGCAGTCGTCACATCATGGTGGACAGGAAACAGAAGACAGGAAGGGCCCAACTCTACTACCTACTTTTTCCAGTTAAGTCCCACTTCATAAAGTTTCCAGAGCCTCCTAAAATAGTGCCACTAGATGAGGGCCAAGCACTTAAAACATGGAGGTGCTTGTTACAGACATTTCATATTCAAACCATATCAAGAGGCAGTTTTCACATTTCAAATACATATTTCTTTGGTCTATTAGAGAGCTTTTAAAAATACAAGGCCAAGGCCTCCCTCCATTCCCAATTAAAGACATGAAGACTTCTTATTAATTAAGAAAGCTTGGCTTTTAGCTTAGGCTTGTCTCAAGTATTTCTTTTTTTGTTGTTTGTTTTTGTTTTGTTTTTCGAGACAGGGTTTCTGTGTGACTTTGGAGGCTGTCCTGGAACTAGCTCTTGTAGATCAAGCTGGTCTCAAACTCACAGAGCTCTGCCTGCCTCTGCCTCCTGAGTGCTGGGATTAAAGGTGTGTGCCACCACCACCCAGCTTCAAGTACCTCTTATAACTTAAATTAAACCATTTATATTAATCTATTTTCTGTCATATGGCCTTAAAATTCACTCATCTTGTACCTCCTGTTTCCTCTTCATCTGGCTGGTGTCTCCACCTCTCTTTTTCCCAGAGTTCTCTCTGTCTCCAGAAGTTCCACCTAACCTCTTCCTGCCTAGCTATTGGCCATTCAACTCTTTATTAAACCAATCAGAACACACATTGGCAAAGATACATCTTTACAGTGTAAACAAATATTCTGCAACAGTTTCTCAGACATAATATTAATCAAATTCCACTTTTGTTCTTGTTTTTGGCCTAACATAGACTTACATATTCTCTTGCTTATTTCAAATGAAAATACTTAAGTCAAACTGATTTTTTTCCTTTTTCAAAAAAAATATATTTCCAAACCAGTATTTTGTATTTCAACATAAATTTTACTCATTTGGCTTAGCAAGTATATACTATATTTACTCAATATAGTTAAGATTCTAAATTTTTGAATTATTTAAAATTGTTTTGCTAACATTTTAGCCCCATATTTATTTGTCTCTAATTCTGTACCTTTATATGGATACCAGTTAGATATTTCCAGTTTAGGAAGCAGTAGAGTCTTTGTTTTTTTTGGGGGGGTTCTCTGTATTGTTTTGGAGGCTGTAGATCAGGCTGGCCTTGAACTCACAGAGATCCGCCTGCCTCTGCCTCCCAAGTGCTGGGATTAAAGGCATGCGCCACCAACACACGGCCGAGTCTTTGTTGTTTTTCAGTCTTTTTGAGGCCAGGTCTCATGGAGTCAAGGTTAGGATGATCCTGAACTCTGATCTTCTTGCCCCAGGCCCCACAGGAATCACAGTCCTGGTTTATTAAGTGGTGGGGGTTTAGCTCAGAGCCTCTTGTATGCTTTGTATTTTATATTTTACTTGTATGTTTTGTTTGCATTTGTTTGAAATGTGGTCTCCTTTTTTCCCCCTCTTCTTCCTTCCCTCACATTCCAAAATACATTAACCCTTGAGGCCAGGTTGGGTCCGGTCCCAATTTACAAGCTTGGTGTTCCGATGAAATGTTTCCCCAGGTTTCTAAGATACAGCATATCTGAGGGAGGCAGTGTGTGCTCTCTCCTGTCCAACTCTTTTTGGTTGTTTTGAATCTGTGTAGCCAGATGGCCTTAAACTCCTGATCCTCCAGCCTTAGTTCTGGAGTGCTGGCATTACTGTACCTTGAGAGTGTCCTTTTGTGGGTAATATGTAAAAAGCACGGAGAGGTGGCTCACTGGTTAAAAGCACTTGCTGCTCTATCAGAGGATCTGGGTTCAGTCTCTGGCACCTACATGGCAGCTCGTCACCACTTCTAGGTGATCTGGAGCCCTCTTCCGTCCCTACTGGCACCACACACATACTGTGCACTTACATACATGCAGGCAAAACACTCATACAAATAAATCTTTCGTGTGTGTGTGTGTGTGTGTGTGTGTGTGTGTGTGTGTCTTGCCTGCATGCGTGCATGTGTACCACATACATGCCTGGTGTTCATGGAGTTCAGAAGACTATTGGATCCCCTGTAGCTGGTGCTAGGAATAGGAATGGTTATGAGACACCATGAGGGTGCTCAGAAGTGAACCAGTTTCCTCTGTCAGCAAGAGCAACAAGCACTCTCAACCACTAAGCTGTCTCTCCAGCCCCAGATAAAATTAAACTTAGGTGAGCCCCTCCACCTACAGGGTTTCTCCGTGTAGCCTTGGCTGTTCTGGAACTCACTCTGTAGACCAGGCTACTACTGAACTCACAGGTAATCCACTTGCCTCTGCCTCCCGAGTGCTGGGATTAATGGCGTGCTCCATCACCGCCGGACCCAGTGATTTCTCTATTTTAGATTTTTGCCAGGATGGTGGTAGTGCATGCCTTTAATGCCAGCACTAGGGAGGCAGAGACAAGTAAGTATATCTCTGTGAGTTTGAGACCTACTTGATCTACAGAGTGAGTTTCAGGATATCCAGGGCTAAAAAAACCAAAACCAAACAAAGAAAACTCACTGAAGAAATTATTCAAACTAATTTTGTATGTCAGACCTAACAAACATATAGTAACATTTCTCTTTTCAGACAGTCTTTTTTTTTTCTTTCAGTTGCATTCCAGTCCATGATGACCGGAGGCAACACAGGGAAGCAGATCGTCTGCATCTCAGAAGATTTTTCTCTGTAGTCATTGTGTATCTTCATCAAGGAAACCCTACATTTCCTACTGTGTACAAAGATTCTTAAGATCTATTTTAAAATAATCTTACAGCACAGATGGTTCTTGATTTAAGTGTGATCATAATACATAACTGATGGGGAAGTCCTGTGTGTATGTCAATAAAGCACTGTTGGCCAATAGGGAAGCAAGATAGGTAGGGCTAGGAGTTGAGGAGGACTCTGGGGAGGAGAAACACAGGGAGTCATCATGTAGCTGCCATAGGGGTAAGAAGTCTGGACCTTTTTCTCCGGTAAGAGAAATACTTAGATTAACAATTATGGGGTAAATACTTAAGTCAGAGCTAGCAGTAAGAAACAAGCAAGGCCAACAGCTTCATAATTAATACAGCATCTTGTGTGTTTATTTGGGGACTGCAATGTGGCAGAGCCCAGGCGACTGGTGGGTAAAAACCAAAGCGGCTAGCAAGGAAAAGGCTTCACTCAACACATAACCTTTTTATCTTCAATATCATATATTACCTATGTATCTAACGTGATTGCTAAGCATAATACAATGGTTCTCAGCCTGTGAATTATGACCTCTTGGGGGTCACCTATCAGATATCCTGAATATCAGACATTTACATTATGATTCACAACAGTAGCAAAATTACAGTTATGAAGTAACAACAAAATAGTTTTATGGTTGGGGGGGTCACGACAACATGAGGAACTGTATTAAAGAGTTGTAGCATTAGGAAGGTTGAGAACCACTACCACAATAAATTGAAATTAGAATCATCTGTTTTTCTTTTATTTTATTTTTGAGACAGGATTTCAGTATGAAGTCCACACTGTCCTCAAACTTGGGATTCTTGTGACCTGACCCTGCCTCCTGAGTGCTGGGATCACAGGCATGTACCACTATGCCTGATTTATTTTTCTTATAATAATAAATAGTGATAATAATTATTTTGGAAATGGATCTGTTAGTGTAGCTCAGGTTGGACTGATCCCTCAGGTTCCCCACTACCAGTATCTCTGGATTACAGGCACATGCTATTCACTATACTCAAATAGTAAAAAAAAAGCCCTGGATAGTTAATATGGCTGTTAATAGATCGTATATATACATCTTTAAATTATTCTTGAAACTGAGAAAACATACCACTAATTCTAAGATCAGCAGCAGTTAACATTGTTGAACTAGGGGAATTTTAATGTGCTTCTTAAAGTGAGAGTATTAGAATTAAAATGGGATTTCCATATTTTATATGGAGGAGACTTTAAAAATCCTATGTATCAGTCCGGCGTTGGTAGCACACGCCTCTCGGGAGGCAGAGGCAGCTGAATCTCTGTGAGTTCAAGGCCAGCCTGGTCTACAGAGCAAGTTTCAGGACAGCCTCCAAAACAATACAAAGAAGCCCTGTCTCAAAAAACAAAACAAAAAATCGTATGTATCTACATGACTGTCTGTACACCTCATGCATGCCCGGTGCCCGCAGAGGCCTGCAGAGGGCATTGGATCTCTTGGGACTGGAGAGAGTTTTGAGCTACCATGCAGGTGCTGGGTCCCTGAATGCAGGTCCTCTGGTAGAGCAGCAGGTGCTCTTAACTAAAGAGCTACCTCTCCCCAGCCTGACAAAAGAGAGGGGTTTTCATGGTATAAGTACATAGGGTTGGGGGGCAGCATTGGGAGTATCAGATTGTGGAACAGTTGTGGGAGTAGAGGAGCAGAAGTTTTGGGTTACCAGTGGTATGAGAAGGTAAATGAAGTCAGTTGAGTTGATGGGAAACTCAAGAGACCAGATTTACACCTAGAAGAGGATCTATTTATGTTCTGCCAAATTACTGTGTAACAAGCCTAACAAAATCTTCTATTTACTTTAAGAATACTTTTTGAGACGATCCATTACGTAGTTAGCTATGTAGCCCAGGCTGGCCTGGAACTCAAAGACCTCCACCTGCCTGTGTACCTCTGGAGTGCTAGTGTTAAGGCCCTGTACTTTAAGAAACTTATGGAGGGCAAGTAGATATAAACAGCACTTGGAATTCCATTGATTAAAATGGGCTGGAGGAGCGATCAGGGCAGAACACTGCTCAGTAGTCTAGGGGCTTTGAGGTCAGTCCCCAATAGCAACCCCCACTCCCGACAAGCCCCAAGTAAAGCTTCAGAAAATGATAGGACTAAGTAATTTAACCAATGGTTGTAGACATGAAAATTACATAATAGTGATGTTCCTCATTTGTTTTATCAATTGTAACTCGACCTTTAGAAAAGTGAATCTGAAGACGTTTTCTAAGGGTGGTTTACGGTGTACTTTATAGGTGACACTCGCAACAAACATTCAAATTGTATTAGCAATCACTCCATCCAGTTTTGCATCCATCTAACCTTGTTTACACACTTGCTTGCCCTGGACCAGCTTCTCCTTCTGGAGGGTTCTTCATCTATTCATATCCTGGTAACTCCCAAATCTACTGTGTTCCAATTCTTACTTGAACTTTAGGACCTTAGCTCCTAGTAAACATTTCCTTACCACCGTAAGGTTTTTCTCAGATACTGTGTAGCCCAGTTGTCCATATGGCAATCTTCATATGGGATTACAGACATGCTTCTCAGTGCCCAGCATGAAACTGCCTACCGAGGAGTTATTTTCACCCAGAATGTTTCGTGCCCAAACTACTACTGCTACTAGCTCGCTTAGGTTCCTGGTTTATTTCTAAACATGAAAACAAATGCTGCAAGAGAACATTAATTTACATGGGCACTATCTTTAATCCCCTACTCTTATACCACATCATGCGTTTTTGTTGTTTCGGGTTTTGACTGGGTTTCATTATGTAGCACTAGCTACCCTGGAACTCCCAAGTGCTGGGAGTGATGGGATTACAGGTCTAGGTCACCACGTCAGGTCTTCACATTTCACGCCCTCAGTCAAACACAAAAGTTTCATCAAGTGCTATTATTCAGCTTGGAACTCAGGTATTTTAGCCCTCAGGACATCCAAGATCTGGGGAATTGTTAAATGTTCCCAAAGCTGTGCATGTGCCTAAATTCATACCCATGGGCAAGGCAAGGCTTGACTGTGCAGGTCCTCTTCATGGAGTTTTGGTGTTTTGGGAGCATTGTCCCTCGTCACCTGTGTCATAAAACTCCTCAGTTCCGGAGAAAGCTGCCCACCTGTCATTTGCGCCTCGCCACCGCACACATCCACCTCAGCGGGAAGGCGGTGACGTCACGGCCAGTCTGCGCCGACCTGGTTTCAGACTCGTCCGCCCCGAGAGTCCTGAGGGCAGGGGGGCGGGTACGGGTGCAGCGGTTCCGCCGGCCACAGACTGCTGTGTGTGTGTGAGAGAGAGAGAGAGAGAGCGGAGGGGGAGACCGGCACAAGCAGCTGCCCTAGGGTCCGCACCTCGACCTGAGACACACCCGCCGGGCGGAGAAGAAAGCCGGTGGGTTCGCTCGTGGGGGGGTGGCCAAACTTCCTGTCCCGCTCTGGAGCTGCTTCCGGCGGGAGCCGGAAGACGCCGTGTGTGGACGGAATTCGGGACTGACTGACGGACGGCCAGCTGCCCTGGACTGGAAGGTGAGCTCCGGGCTGGGGCTGGCCACGCCCGCTCTGCTAGGTGGTCCCGGAGAGGAAGGAACCCCCTGCAGGCTTGGGGGATCCAGAGCCGAGTGTGCCCCCAAAGGGCACAAGGAAGCCGTCCGCACTTGGGCTTCCCCCACCCCCGGCGTCTGGCGGGCTAGGAGCGACCAGTCCTAGCCCGGCGGCTCCGGCCCTACCCGTCGCAGGATTTGGGGCGCGCTGTTTTGGTTCCTTGGCTTGTTTTTGCGGGAGGGTGCTCGGAAGCCCGATTGCCCCCAGAAACACGGAGTTAGCGAGTCCCCGAGCGGAGGCTCCGGACTGCACCCGCATCGCGGACCTTCGGGCCCTCGACCGAGGCCTTTGTGCTGGCGGGAAGGCTTGCCCGCGGTGCCTCGCCGGCATCTCTCCCACAGCTACCGGTTCCTTTTCCGGCGTCCGCCCACTGCCTTGGTCTGGAAGGGGGACGCCTGAGGACCAGGGCTGGACCTCTCCTCCACCCGCCACTTCAGGCCCGTGTGTGGGCAGCGAATGCTGGTAGCCTGGATGTGTTTTGTTCATTGAACTCGTCCTCAAGTTTCTCAGAAGAGGATCCAATTAGTTTGTTAAACTTTATCCCACTCGTGCATGAGGCTCCGAAATGTACTTAGGTACCACTTGGAAGTTAAATATTACTGAGATGGAATTCAGAATTCATACATTTACATCAGACGTTGGCACAGAAAAAAAATAGAAGTAAAGACGGACAATTCTTGGTGTTTGGCATTGAGAAATTACACTTTGTGTTATCGCAGTGTTTGGCAGAATACAGGGCAATCAAGCATCAGAAGATGTAGGTTCTGATTTAAGCATTGGCCGAGTAGGTGTCAAACTTGGGATAAATTGTGCACTTTCTAGTTTTTCTTGAGGGGGTGTGTCTGTCAATAAGGAGGTTTACCCTCATGGGTTTGACCAATATTTCTGAGATACTAAACTTTGAGTATGAGGGGTGACAAACCTGTGTCTTGGAAAAATAATGAGTGTTTGGGTAAAAGATAGATTGGGAGGAGGGATTTGTTTTGTTTTTATTTTTGGATTTTTGAGACCGGGTTTCTCTGTAGCCTTGACTCTCCGGGAACTTGCTCTGTAGACCAGGCTGGCCTCTAGCACACACCTGTCTCCGCCTCCCGAGGGCTGGGATTAGAGGTGTGTGATGTCACTGTCCTGAGAAAAGGGTAACCTTTAAAGGTGACCAGTAGAAGCCTGTTTTATTAGTGTAGTTGAAAGTTATGAGAAATCTAAGAGCATCACAGTAGGAGTAAATAAGTATTAATGGCTGGGGTCATTTATTATGGAGAGTGAGAGACACTGCTAGGTAGAATTTGCAGATGAGTGGGAAGAAGATTGGGCAGTAAATAAAAGGGATAATTCAAGAAGAACAGGTTTGGGGGGGAGATGATAATCTGGGTTTGGATGTGCTTTGGTTTGTAATGCTGATGGATATATATGTGGAATTTACTCAGCAAGTAATTCATAATCAAGGTTTGGAACTCGAAGAGAAGAGTAAAGGGGCAGGGAATTGGGTATCATTTGTCATGTTACTTTATCCTCTGTCTGAATGTCTATCCATTGCTTTTTATATGCTCACTGGGAAACTTGCATGAAGTCCTTCAGACTCGTAGTAATGACTACTTTAAAAGTGGATAGTACTTCAGGGTTTCTTTTGGAAAAATGTAAAATTAGCCAAGCATGGTGGTACACACCGTTAATCTCAGTTACCGTAAGGTGTAAGGAAGAGACACCAGAAGTTAAAGGCCAGTGTCAGAAACTTAGGGTTCCAGGACAGCCTGGGCTATGCAATAGCCTATCTGAACTCTCCCTCCTCCAAAAAGCAAACACACACAAACAAAACTGATTGTGTATGTGATTGTGCAACTATGAATATACTAAAGACAGTTTAATTGTACTTTTCAAAATGTGTGAGAGTGGGATCTGGAAAAACGGCTCAGCAGTTCAGAGCACTTGTTGCTCTTATAGAGGACCTGGATTTAGTTCCAGCACCCCACATGGTGATTCACAACCTTCTATAAATCCAGTGCCCGAGGATCCAGCGCCCTCTGCTTCCTTGGGTACTTATATACCTGTGTCATACAAACCATTTCGAGGCAAAACACCCATGCACAATAAATTAAACTAAAAATATTTTTTAAAAAGTTTTATATTATGTGAACTGTCACAGTGAAACTTTAAGACGAGGTCTCACTATGTAGCCTTGCCTGGCCTGGAACTCACTATGTAGACCAGGCTGGCCTCAAACTGCTAGAGATGTACTTATCTCTGCTTCCAGAATGTTGAAGTTAAAAGTGTGTGCCATCATGTCTTGCCCAAAACTTTTTTTTTCAAAGATTTGCATTGTCAGAAAAAACTTTACATTGCAGCTTTTGAAATGGATTGACTAGGTAATGGAATTGGAACTAGCAGCAAACCAAGCTTAAGTATTTACTGTTGTACTGCTGGCTAGTTAGTGTGCTTAGCAAGCAAGCTCTTGTGTTACAGATGAAGTCCACATAGAAGACTTGAAAACCACTGTGCTCTAGGACAGATTGTTTTCTTTTCCTTTGAGATATGATCTTGCTGTGTATTCCCTAGTCTCTTGCTTCAGTCTCCCCATTGCTGATATTACAGATGCCTGCTACCACACCTGACTCTTGAACAGATAGATTCCTGAGAGTTCAACCTTTTCTAGTGCGTTCTACTTTATTTGTTTATTAAGTACCTATACAAGCCAGAAATTTGGGTTGTATGACTGATTCGGTTACAATATACATATTGCAGTTCCAGAATAGCTTTACTTGTTTTCAAATATTATTTACTTACTTATTTGTTTGTTTATTGTATGAAGTGTTCAGTCTGCATGTGTGCCTGCACGCCAGAAAAGGGCACCAGGTTTCATTATAGATGGTTGTGAGCCACCATGTGGTTGCTGGAAATTGAATTCAGGTCCTCTGGAAGAGCAGCCAGTGCTCTTAACCTCTGAACCATCTCTCCAGCTCATTTTCAAAGATCATTAAAAATTAAAATACTAAAATCAGGAGATATAGTAGGTAACACCTAATGGTCTGTGAGCTGTCTCATTTCTCAGCGATTCTGTAATTCAGGAATCTCAAAGTTGGATGCACTTTAATGATAACCTAAACAAACATCTGGTATCATCTTGGGTTGTTATGTGATCTGGGATTGGGGAAGAGGAATTGCTAAGCCCTTGAAATTTAAGGTCAAATTTAGATGTAATCATTCCCTGTTTGTGTCAACTATGCATGCCAACTTGCTTATGCAGCTTAATAACGTGATCAAGTGATTTACTGGCCCTTGGTTTCTTCCTCTCATGAAGATGAGTGGATAAGCCCTATTAAGCTGTGGTAGTGCTTGAGGAAGAAAAATGTATGTAGGAAGAAAAATTGAGCATTTAAAATACTTTGTTTTATATAATAAGTAAAAGGAACATTTCATATATAACTTATAAACTGGATTGCAGGCTGCTATTAACATCAACAAATAAAACTTTAATTCCAGTATTTCTCCTAAAACTTAGATGTGTGCACATATGTGGGGGTCAGAGGACAACTTGTGAGAGTTCTCTGTCTATCACCTTGGTCCTGGGGATTAAATTGAGGTTGTCAGGCATGGTGGCCACCTTCACAATTGGGCCATCTTACAGGCCTAATTCTAGTATTTCTTTCTTTTCTTTTTCTTTCTTTTTTTTTTTTTTTTCGAGACAGGGTTTCTTTGTGTAGCCCTGAACTCACTCTGTAGACCAGGCTGGCCTCAGAGATCCATCTGCCTCTGCCTTCTGAGCACTGGGACTAAAGGCGTGCGCCACCACTGCCAGCCACAGATATTTCTTAATATCTAACTTTCAAGTCTACCATGGTATTAATGGAAAACTTCCATCCTAGGTACATTTTTTTAACTGTCTTTATTGATATCAGTAATTACCAGTAATTACTCCAAATTAAGTGAATTCATGTGCCAAAGCACTGGGCTAGAGGGGACTCGAGCAAGGTCTATTCTTAGCATGGATAAACCTTAGGTTCAGTCTCCAGTGGCGGCCAAGGAAGGAGGGAAGATGAGAGGGCGGGCATGGACATGGATTGCTTCTGTACTTACAGCCCACCCCACCGCTGCTGTTGTGTTGGAGGTGCTGCGCCTGTGCTCTACCGTTGAGTTACACCTCTAGCCTTGACCAAACTTGTCTTTGTTTTTCTGAGAAAGAGTATCAGTGCAGCCCAGACTGGTTGTGAATTTGCCATACAGCCCATGCTTCCTGAGTGCTGAGATTCTAGGTGTGCACCACTATGTCCCTACTAGGCTTATGTTTTAGACTATCAAGACAGCATAATTGCCTTTTAGAGCCACGAAAAGAAAAGTGAAGCCACACTGGCCTGTTACACAATATAACTACTCTCACATCTGTGTGGATTCCTTTACTTTTTCTTATGCATGTTGTAATTAGTGTTAAAATGGAAAATAGATTTGTAATCAGTTTACTCTAGGAACTTCACAATATCTGTGTGAGTGTGTGTGTGTGTGTGTGTGTGAGAGAGAGAGAGAGAGAGAGAGAGAGAGAGAGAGAGAGAGAGAGAGAGAGGAGAGGAGAGATGCAGTGTTGTGAAGCTAACCCAGGTATTTGCATATGCTAGGCAGATGCTCTACCACTGAAATATATCCTAGCCAAACTTGTATTTTGAAGTGATAATGCCACATTTAATTATATACTGTGTATGTGTTCAGGTTTTCTACAAGGTAACTGTGTGTTACTTTCAGTTTTTTGTCATTTTTGATGAACATCTTTGGGGATGTAGCTTTTCCATATTTAAGACCTTTTTATAGCCAGGTGTAGTGATATCTATAATCCCAGCACTCGGGAGTAAGAGGTAGGAGAATTGACAGTTGAAGGCCAACCTGATCCATATGTGTAGTTCAGGCCAGTCAGGGCTATGTAGCAAGAATCTGTCTTCAAAGGGGGGAGGACCTTCCTTAGAAGGGAATGGAAGTGGGGACTGAAGATGTGACACTTGCCGTTTGGTTCCCAGCACCCACATAGGGCTGCTTGTAACCACCTGAAACTCCATGAGCCCCAGGAGAATCTGATACTCTTTTGGACACTTGACATAGTGAGATATACATGCGTGAAATAAAAATAACATTTTAAAAAGTAGAAATAGTTTATCAAAGTGTAACACTTATAGGTCTTGATATCTTCTGGGCTTGTTCTATTTTAAAACAAATGTTATAGGCTGGATTTTTTGTCTACTTAGGATTTTTAGATATAAAGGCATGCCTTTGTTTATTTAGCTACATTTTCCTACTGCTCTTAATGCTGTGTCTTTCTCTTTTTTACCCTGTTTTAGGTTAAATTGATTACCAACCTAGTTCAGCATCTTACAAGAAAAGCATAATGTTTCTTAAAGGGCTATGAGTGTAACAGGAAGTTGTTATTGACTGTGAATTAGATTTGAACTTGTCTCTGAACAGCTACAGGATTTCAGAAGCTGAATCAATGTTATCAGATGAGTTAGAATCCAAACCAGAGGTGAGCCCACTTAGCTTTTTTCTTTGGTGGGTTTCCAGAATTTATTCTTAGTTCATTGGTCAGGAAACAACTTCTCTAGTGACTTAATAATAAACATTTTTGATTTTGTGAGCCAAATGATTTTTACTGTAAGTCTTAGTTTACAATTTTTCTGTTACTAGATGTTTTCTTAAAGATTTCACTGTTCTGTTTCTATCTTTTGTGGATTTTTATATTTGTCATTTAAGTACTTAATGAAATACTAAGGTACTTATATAATAAAAATATTCTATATCCCTAAAATGTATTTATATCATATAGTTGTGGTATATATGTATGTATATGTATCTTTTATTTATGCAAATTTTTAATCTTATATATAATTGAAAATATTTTCTTTCTGAACATGATTTCATTAGTTTTCCCACCTTAATTTTAGTAAATCTGTGTTCTATAATTTGGAATCATTACTTAATTTTAGTAAATCTGTGTTCTATAATTTGGAATCATTACTTAATTTTAGTAAATCTGTGTTCTATAATTTGGAATCATTATTTAATTTTGAAGACTGGCACTTTTATCTAGTATGTCACCCTAGACAGTTCAGTGTTTTCAGATTGATTCCTCATTTGTAGAATACATGTTCACTTAGGAGTTTCATGTAAGGATTAATGAACCCAAGAAAATGCTTCGTAAGACATAATCAATACAGTGTAGTTGATTTAAAAAAAGCTCATTGTTTTAAAATACACTTTCATACTTTGGTAGAACATGACAGATTAATTTATATAAATCAAACCATTATGTAGAACAAACACCTTGATAAATGTAGTCAGTTTAGTTTTTCTGTGTATATGATTGAGACCAGGAACAAGACTGAATTGTAGTCACTTGTTTGGTAAATTTAAAAGTTGAGTTTCATTCCTAGCAACCTCTGTTTCTCAGCATCGCTTCTTTTCCCTTCTTCAGCTCCTGGTTCAGTTTGTTCAGAATACCTCCATCCCCCTGGGACAAGGGCTAGTAGAATCAGAAGCTAAAGACATTACTTGCTTATCCCTCCTTCCAGTGACCGAGGCCTCAGAATGCAGTCGACTAATGGTACCAGGTAAAATATGTTCACTACAGATAGGACAAAAAAGTCTGAAGAGTTTAGCCTATTCTGTGGCAAGAGTAGATTGGATAATTGATTTTGAAAGTTAAATTTAACAGTCATGGAAAAAAGTCATAAGTGCCTAAGTAGTTTACACTGTAGGAATAAGTAGACAGAAAGGCCATTGTACCAGTGTGGGTCTCCTTTCGAAGCTACAGTGTCAGGCAAGGGGTCTGAAAAGGGGGGAAGAGTGCTAACATATAGTACTTAGATAAGTATCAGCGTAGCTAGAGGCATGGGACCCAAGGGGAATCTGTGTTAAAGGCCTCTGAGAGGCCGAGGAGGACATCATTAACACTGGCAGAGAAAGGCTGAGAAGCCTGGCTGCAGGGATGAAGAAAGGGTATAAAGTCTGGTACAGGTGAGGTAATGATGGTATAGTTTTCGTTTGGGGGTTTGTTTGTTTGTTTGTTTTGTTTTTGAGACGGTCTGGCTGTGTACCCCTGACTGACCTGGAACTCACAGTGACCTACCTGCTTCTGCCTTTGCTGGGATTAAAGGCTGTGTGCAACCACTGGTCCTCTATGGTATTTTAAAAGCTTTCATTCATTCTTTTTTAAATCTAAGCTATTTGAGGACTGTTTAGAATGTTAATGCTAATCAGAGAAGTCAGTGTTAACTTGTTGATTGATGGTTGTTTGTTAAAAAGTCTGATTACTTCCCTCTGATGATGTTCAGTTAAAACTAACTGGTATATTCAACAATAAACATTCAAGTTTCCCTATCTTGGGCTGGAGAGATGGTTTGCTGGTTAAGAGCATTTGCTGTGTAAGCATGAGGACTGGGGTTTGAATCCCCATAGAAAATAAAGGAGCTGTCACCAAGCCTGGTGACCCTGGTTTGATCCTTGGAACCCACATGGTGGAAAGAGACCTGATTTATGAAAGCTGTCCTCTGACTCCCACATACGTAGCATAGCATGAACATGCAAGCACATACTCTAAATAAATGTATGTAAGAAATCAAAAACAAGAATCTGGCCAGGCAGTGGTGGCACACACCTCTAATACCAGTACTTGGGAGGCAGAGGCAGACGGATCTCTGTGAGTTCAAGACCAACCTGGTCTACAACTACAGAGTGAATCCCAGGACAGTCAGGGCTACATAGAGAAACCCTGTGTCAAGAGGGGGAAAAAATTTAAAAAGCTGTAACTCCAGCTGCAAAGATATGATACACAGTTTTTTGAGAGGAGGTCTTTCTGTGTCCTAGGCTGGCCCTGAACTCAGAGATCTACCTTTTTCAGCTTCCTCATTGCCAAGATTAAAGGTATGAGCCAACACATGGCTTGATACCCTCTTCTGGGCTCTACTGGTGAATAGGCATGCATACCCACACCAGAGTGTGCACACACTAAAATGAATCTTTTAAAGTTTCCCTGTGTGCTCACATCATTTGCTGTGTTTATAATAACATATTGTGAGTCATGTTATCTGAATCTGTTTCAACCTGTACAGAGATTTCTAAGTGCTAATAAATCTGTTAAGTTTCCTGCCATCCTGAATATTCTGTCCCAATTTTAATTTGTTGAATAACAATAATAAAGGGAATTAAAATGGAAACAAGAAGTCCTTGCTGTGTTAGGGTGATTACATATTTTAAAAAGGCGAAAGAGAACAAATGTTGACAAGAATGTGGAGAAAAGGGAACCCTCATGTACTGTTGCAATTATGGGAAATGTATGGAAATTCCTCTAAAACAGAACTAAAAATAGAGCTCTCAGATTTGTCAGCAATTCTCTGTGTGTGTGTGTGTGTGTGTGTGTGTGTGTGTGTGTGTGTGTGTGTATCTCCAAGGAAATTAAAATCAATTGAATCAAATGTTAAATACATGTGCCATGATGTATGTGTGTGTGTGTGTGTGTATGTATGTATGTATGTATGTATGTGAGGAGGTCAGAAGACACCTTGTGGGAGTTGACTCTCTTTTTCCCCACCATACTGATCCCAGGGATTGAACTTAGCTTATCAGGCTAGGTTGTAAGTGGCTTTACCCACAACCATGCTATTGGCCCTCGTGTTTTTTGTTATGATATATGGGTGATACAGAGGAATATAAAGCCATATATGAACCACTTGAGGAATAAATGTAAGGAACTATCCATATACTGACTTCCCCAAACAAGAACAGCATTAACTTCCAAACTAATAGGCTCTCCTAGACACAGAAACTTACTTTCTGTAATATATCATCACAGTTTTTACTTTTGTGATTTTTTTATTTTTTTATTTTTTATTTTTTTATTTTTTTGGTTTTTACGAGACAGGGTTTCTCTGTATTGTTTTGGAGGCTATCGGTCCAGCCCAGCCTCGAACTCACAGAGATCCGCCTGCCTCTGCCTCCCGAGTGCTGGGATTAAAGGCGTGCACCACCACCGCCCAGCGTGATTTTTTTTAAATTAACCATCCTTGTATATATCTCTAAGCAACATATTTTAATCTTAGCTGGTTTATGACTTTAAATGAATGGAATGATATAATCTCTTTAATAGGTGTTTTTGTACCTTGTTTACTCTGTCTTTGTGAGGCTCATTCTTACTGTAGCTTGGTTTGGTAGCAGCCATCATGTCATTCCATACTTACATACCACAGTGTTTTAGTGAGTGTTTCTGTTGATGATTGTTTTCCAATATTGTGCTATGATGAACAGCTCTATTATGAATTTTATGTTTTAAAAATATTTTTGGTGTGTTTGGTAAAATAAACATGGTATAGAACTGCCATTTTAAAATTGTCATTCAGTGTATGTTGTGTGAGGTGAAGAATAGTCACATTATTGTATAACTTCATTAGACCAGCATCTAATGAAAATGGTAGTATTGTCCATTTTTATTATGATCTTATTTGTCATCTGTTTAAAAGAGAAAAAGATGTTACCTGCCTCTTACAAAGATGAATGAAAGCCTCTGGAAATATGTATACTTCATCACACAGTGTAATTCCTGATTGTGTAGAGTCATTATACCTAATTGCTAAATGTTAATTTTCATTTAAAATAGTTTATTCTTAAAAAATTTAAAAATGGGGTGTTTTTGTTTTTTTTTTTTAATTTTGTTTTTGAGGCAGAGTCTCATGATCCCCCCCTTAGTGCAAACTTCCTTTTTGGATTTTTGAGACTGGGTCTCTATGTAGCCCTGGCTGTCCTGGAACTCACTCTGTAGACCAGACTGGCTTGGAACTCACAGAGATCCACCTGCTTCTGCCTCCTGAGTGCTGGGATTAAAGGGGTGCACCACTATGTCCAGCTTAGAACAAACTTCTTTAGAGCAAGCGTTTTAAATTATCTATGTATATTCATTTTAAACCCCAAACTGAAATGAAACATACTAATTATTACAAAATTTTGGTGGTTTCCCATGCTCTTTTACCCCCTGTAGTTATTCTAAGGCAGTTTTTGTATTTGCAAAACTGAGAATGCAGTTTAGTCTCCTAAACCTCTTAGAAAGTAAGTGGAATTTAGCACTTAGGGGGTATTTGTTGAAAAGGTTTGCTCCATGGAGGTGAGAGCTACATGAAGCTGTGGTGTTTTCCTTCACTAGATGATGCTTCAAATCATACTAACTCCTCCAAGGAGGTCCCTTCTTCAGCTGTTTTGAGGAGCCTTCAGGTGAATGTGGGCCCAGACGGGGAGGAGACAAGGGCTCAGACTGTACAGAAGTCCACAGAATTTCTGTCTACTCCAGAGTCGCCTAGCTTGTTGCAAGATCTACAGCCAAGTGATAGCACTTCTTTTATTCTCCTTAACCTAACAAGAGCAGGTATGTTTTCATCTTTTCTGAACTCTACTCATTCTTTAGGGGAAAAAGTTAGAGGTGGGCCAAAATTTAATATTCATAACATGCAAAAATAATCTTTATTATTCGATGACTTTAGAGAGTTGGTATGTGGTATGATCTGGTGACCTGTTAAATATATAAAAGAAGTGCAGACTCAATGATGACTGCATTTCCTCTTGTTTAAGTTTGTGAGATGATTGGCTTTAAATTTTGCCAAGTGTAAGAATAGTTTACTCTTTGTATTTTGCTTTTATCATCGCTGTTGTCTGCAGCATGGAATGCTGTCTGCTCTTGTATGGTGTTAGATGCTGTGTATCAAATGGTAATCACCTTGGATAAGGGTGGTTTCTCTGTGAAGCACTGACAGTCTTGAAATTGGGATCCCCCTGCCTCGTACTGCTGAGCACAAGTGTAGAGTGCCAGTACACCTTCCAACAGAAACTTTTTTTTTGAGACAGGGTTTCTCTGTGAAACAATCCTGGTTGTCCTGGAACTGGAACTCACTCTGTAGACCAGGCTGGCCTCGAACTCACAGAGATCCACCTGCCTTTGCCTCCAGAATGCTGGGATTAAAGGCGAGTGCCACCATTGCCAGGGCAGAAACCTTGTTTAGAAAATTAATGTGGTACCCTTGACCAAGAACAGGTTTGGAGGAGGACGCTTAGTTCCAAGTGGGTCTGTTAGTGTTTTGATACTGGAGGTACATTGAGGAATGAGTACCTTATAGAGTGAAAAATAAGAATCCAGGGTTCTGGGGACGGTGAGGGTGTAAAGTAGGCAGAAAATGTGAAACATGGATCATGGATTCTTTGCTTATAGAGAGGTTTGAAGCATATGTAGAGAAAAGGCAAACCTAGGGCCCTGGGGAGGGGGACATTTAAGAGGACAATCGAACAACAAGGAGAACTAGGAGAGAATGGTGGGTGGGAAATGATACTATAGGATGGATTAATAATATTAAATGTCTATCTGGAGACCTTTGTAAATCGATAATTATTGGAAGATAGGTGTGGGAAGAGAATGGGATGTAACTGAATGGAAATACAAGTTGGAAGATAGAGTTGTTTTAAAGCTTAGTACATACCTGTAGCTGAAGCAGGAGGACAGGTTTGAGCCCAGCTTAGGCTGTGTTGCTCAAACAAAACCAACAAGTTGGACGTCGTGGCACTTGGGAAGCAGGAACAGCCCTGTGAGTTCAATGCCAGCCTAGCCTACATAGTGACAGCTAGGGCTCTTACTGCGGAGCCATCTTTCCTGCCCCAATGAGAGAGTTTAACTGAAGAGTACAGGAGAGAATGACTGAGCATGGGGTTGGAATATTTCAAATGGGAGGTGGCCTGGTTGCCAGGAAAGAACATTGTGCCTCTGAAACAAGAGGCAGCAGGTTAATAATTAGTGTATGGACTGAAGGAAAAAAAGATATCTTAATTACTTATAGGAACAGAAACTTGAAATGAGAAAGAAAGATCTAGAATGATTTGGTTCAGAAGACAAAAGTCTCTGGGTCAGGGCTAATGAAAGGATGTTGGCTGACTTTCCTGTATTATTGTCCTTCTTCCAGGTCTGGGCTCTTCAGCTGAGCACTTCGTGTTTGTGCAGGATGAGACAGAGGATCCGGGCAATGACTTCCTCTCTAGTGAGAGCACCGACAGCAGTATCCCATGGTTCCTCCGGGTCCAGGAATTGGCCCATGACAGTTTGATTGCTGCTACTCGTGCACAGCTGGCAAAGAATGCAAAAACCAGCATCAATGGTGAGATTCCTGTGGCTTTTTCCTTTCTGGTTTTCTGTACAGAGGTTCGGGTAATTCGATAGCTAAATTTTGAATTGTGTGTAATTCGTATTATTTTAGTGATGAGAATGGCAGCCTATATTAAGTTGTGCTATTGTATAAAGTAACTTGGCTTTATCTACCAAATAGTAAACTCATGTTTTGAACTTTCATCTTTTAAGTAATGTACAGAGTGTCTCTTAAAGAACAAGTAGGGCCTGGGGATGGTGGCACAGAACCTTAGTCCCAGCATTCATGAGGTTGGAGCAGAAAGATTTCCAAGGCCAACATTGCTCCTCTCCAAAAAAGAAGAAAATAGTACAGATTCGAAGATTCTTATCTTGAATGTTTTTATTGTAATCACCCTGAAATATGAGCCGGACTTTGGTGGCATGCGCCTTTAGTCCCAGCACTCAGGAGACGGACACAGGCAGATCTCTGTGAGTTTGAGGCCAGCCTAGTCTACAGAGCAAGTCTCAGGACAACCTCCAGAGCAATACAGAGAAACTCTGTCTTGAAAAACAAAAACAAAAAAATCCTTAAATATGTAAAGTATAAATTTTATATAAACTTTTTATATCTAAAGCTCAAAGATGTTAAAATAGTTCTATCAGTTAATAAAAATACAACTATAAAGTTATTGTTGAATCTGACTTATATTGTTTTGCTGAAACCATTTTGTTATTCATGGCAGTTTTGTTGATTAGCTGATTGTGCTAGCTATTTTATCTCTGTGTGTGTGTGTGTGAGAGAGGGGGGGGAGTATACAGACATACATTTGTAGGCTAAAGTACCTTCCCACTACTAGGATTACGCCATATTTGATAAGTGTTTTGGCCGCCTGACTTATGTGACAGGCACTTCACCCACTGAGCTGTTTTCTCAGTTTGTGGTGTTTGTTTTCAGCTTAGCATGTCTGTACAACTTCATGTGTGCTGCCGGTCATTTTGGAATACCATCCCCAAATCATCAGTATCACCTGGCTGCTTTGACGTGCAGCTGTCTTGGGTTGAGAGGAGGCTCAGCAGTTAAGGTGGATTGCTGCCTTTCCAAAGCATTGTGTTTGTTTCCAGAGGGTCCCACACACTCCTCTGGGGTCCACAGGCACTGTACTTAAGTGGTATATATGCAGACAGGCATGTTACCCTTAAGAATCATTGGTGGGGGAGGGAGACTTACCGATAACTCAGCAGTTATGAGCACTGCTCTTCCACAGGTCCTGAGTTCAATTCCCAGCAACCACATGATGGCTCATAACCATCCTTAGTGAGATCTGGTGTCCTCTTCTGGTCTGACCTACAGACAGAAATCTGTATACATAATAAGTAAATAAATCTTAAAAAGACAAAACAAAAAAGAATCATGGGTGGTGCACACCTAGCACTCAGGAGGCAGAGGCAGGCAGATCTATTTGAGTTTGAGGCCAGCCTGGTCTACAGACTGAGTTCCAGGACAGTCAGGGCTGTGATATAGAGAAAACTTGTCTCACAAATCTGGGGGCAAAAAAGTCATGGATATGTAATTTTAAACATTCTGTAGGACGTTGGTGGCACACGCCTTTAATCCCAGCACTCGGGAGACAAAGGCAGTCGGATCTCTGTGAGTTCGAGACCAGCCTGGTCTACTGAGCAAGTTCCAGGACAGAGTCCAAAACAATAAAGAGAAACCCTGTCTCGAAAAACCAAAAAAAAAAAAAAAAAAAAAAAAAAAACCAACAACATTCCACACCAGTCAAAACTTTCATTTATGTAATGTACCCTTAATTATTAGACCTTTTTTGATTAGTTCTCTTTCTGTATATTCTCATTAGCCTGTGATAATTAAGTTATTACTATTTGTGTCAATATTACCACTAGCCTAGCCAAGAATAAACAAGGAATTGTCATTCACAGCTGTTTGGAGTTCTTGCTAATAATAATCAGGAGTAAATTTATGATTATTTTAATTACTGTTCATATAGAAACAAAAAGCTAAATAATATCTCAGAGAACTTAGGGACTCTACAAATAGTAATTTCAGAATATTGCACTTTTATAAACAGTAAATCCTGCATGTATTGTTGTTCATCTCAAATAGTTACTTTGTGACTATCATAGTGCATTATAGTGCCCTTTATTTATTCTAACCATTTGAGGAGGATTTTTCCTGAGATGGCTTTTCTGCTCCTTGGATCCTGAAACCTTCACCATTCTACTTATGTTTAGAAAATAATGCAGCCTTTACCAGTGAGAAGCAGTGCAGGCCTGGGGTCCAGATGTGGCATCATCATTTTCTGATTTCTTGCCTTGCATGCTGTTAATTTTCTCATGTTCAGAACATAAAGATTAATGTCTTAACCTGTTTGAGCCATTGAGGAGACTAAATAATTAGGTATAAGCTTTTCAATATAAAGTATTCCATGAATGTTTTTTATTCTCAAAATATGTTAGCTCACAACCCAATAGGAAATGGGGTGGACATGGTCTTTAATTCCAATACTAGGGAAGCAGGGGACAGTAGATCCCTGTGTATTGAGGCCAGATTAGTCTACCTAGTGAGTTCCAGAACAGACATAGTTACATAGTAAAACCCCTCCAAAATAAATAGATAAAAAGTTACCTTCTATTCTTAACCAAGTGTCTTATTTCTGAATACAAAGTATTGTTACATAGTAAAACCCCTCCAAAATAAATAGATGAAAAGTTACTTTCTATTCTTAACCAAGTGTCTTATTTCTGAATACAAAGTAAGCACAAACATAAGACAAAAATATAGTTTCTCTGTGTGTGTGTGTGTGTGTGTGTGTGTGTGTGTGTGTGTGTGTGTGTGTGTGTGCGCGCGCGCGCCCATGCCCTTTAGGGGTTGGGAGCTGGGTCTCCTACCATGTGGGTCCTAAAAATAAAACAAGGATCTTAAAGTTTGGTAGTAAGAACTGTTACCCACTGAGTTACTTTTTTTTTTTTTTGAAGATTTATTTATTATGTGTATAGCTTTTTGCCTGCATATATGTCTGCATGTCAGAAGAGGGCACCATATCTCATTATGGATGGTTGTGAGCCACCATGCGATTGCTGGGAATTGAACTCAGGACCTCTGGATGAGCAGGCAGTGCCTTTAACCATTGAGCCACCTCTCCAGCGGCCCCATCTCCACCCCCAGTTACCTTGTTCTTAATGCATGTACAAAACTGAATGTACAAAGCTCTGGCTGTTTGCTTGTGTCACTGTCTAGAGTAGCACAGGGTTTTATAGACCTTTTGTTAGAAACTGATTAGCTGGGAAACTTTGTTATATATACTTTAGTCCTAGTTAAAGTTTAACTATTGATTACATTTTTTTTAACAAATGGAGAGCAATATTATGAAAGAAAATGTTAATGTTAGCTAGCTGGAAGCATCCAAAATTATGTCCTGACATATGTCCTAGAACAATTAGTTCTATTACTGTTAGTTTGGTAAAATACAGCAAGTAGAATGTGACGATAGAATAGAGAGAAAGATTGCTAGTTGGGACAGAAACTGCTTTTGATCAACTGTTTATAGGGACTGTGATAAGAGTACAGCACATTATAGCCTACTCTTTGATTTTCAGAGGGAAATTTGGAAATATAAATTCTATTCCTAAGTTGTATGTAATACAGAGAAATTCAGTATGCTTGTGGCAGGAGAAGTGACTATGAGTGTTTTCATCCGTTGCTGTCCAACAATATTTTGAAGCAGTGGAAGAAAAGGAGCATCACCTGCTGGCATGGAACTTGCGTTCACTGTTAAGTTAACTGACTTCTGTAATTTTAATGGAGCCTTGCTTGCTTTCTCTTTGCCTCTATGTGTGGAACACATGCCTATAGATGTTCTCTCTCATAAGAGATAACTAAAGACGGTAAGATAGTAAATTGGAAGATTGTTTTTATCCTTCAAGTGATGGGAAATGCTTAAGTTGAGTCAAAAGATGGAGATCTTAAGAGTGGTATCTGGGATAGAAATCTGCTATAAACTCAGCCCGATACATGACTATTTATTTATTTATTATTTATTTGTTTGTTTGAGATAGGTTTTCTCTGTGTAGCTCTAGCTATCCTGAAACTCACTCTGTAGACCAGACTGGCCTCAAACTCACAGAGATCAGTCTGTGCCTCTGTCTCTCAAGGGTTGGGATTAAAGGTATGTGCCACCATGCCTGACTAAAATACAGGATTTTTTTTTAATCTAGAACTTCAAGTTACCTCTGTAGCCTCCACTCTTGCTGTTACTTCTCTACCAGCTTGTGTCTTAAGAAATGGGGGGGGTGTTTTGTTTGTTTTGGAATGGGGTTCTTTTTGAGACTACTCAATCAAGCCATGCCTGGCTCCCCACAGAATAGTTTTAATTCTGCTTTCTGAAATAATGTGAAAGGGAGACATAATTGATATCCTTACATTTGTCAGAAACTTGGTCTTGTTTAATAAAACATGGTAACTGTGGATAATTCTCTGGATGGGGAATATAGATTACCCTCAATGCCTGTATATAGGAAACACAAGCAGATAACTGATTAATGATCACTAGGAATGAATTGTAGGAATTTTAATTGAATCTAAGTATCTAAGCAGGGTTCCTCCCTGAATTATAAGTGTGTCTCTTGTTACAGGAGAAAATGTCCACCTTGGTTCTGGTGATGCGCAACCCAAAGACTCTGGGCCCCTTCCTCAAGTGGAAAAGAAGCTCAGGTGCACAGTTGAAGGCTGTGACCGGACATTTGTGTGGCCAGCTCACTTCAAGTACCACCTTAAAACTCATCGGTGAGCTAATCAGACAGACTGTGGGAAAGCAGGGACTCCAGCTATGCTGACTAAAATTGTCTTCCTCAGTCAGGGGTGGTGATAAATACACACCTATAATCTCTGCCTTTAAAAGGCTGGCAAGTTTGAAACCAGTCTGGGTGATAGCCAGATCTTGTCTTAAAAACCACAATCTCTAGTTCTTGTTGTTTTTTGATGGAATCCTTTGGTTTTTTTGTTTTGTTTTTTGTTTTTTTTTCCCAAGACAAGGTCTCTCTATTGTTTTAGAGGCTGTCCTGGAACTCACAAGAGATCCACCTGCCTCTGCCTCCAGAATACTGGGATTAAAGGCGTACGCTACCAATGCCTGGCTTTTCAATGGAATCTTATGTTGCCCAAGTTGCTGCAATTTTTTTAACTTAACTGATCTTTCTACCTCAGCCTCCCAAGTGTTGGTTTACAGGCCTTCTACCTTCTGACTCGGACTTTTTCCTTTCTCTTCTGTATATCTTACTTTCACTCTTAATCCGTGGCTGGCTCGGGACTGACCCTATGGTCCTCCTCTCCTCTCCTTGCTCCTCTCTTTTTCTTCCCAGATTTCTCCTCCTATTTATTCTCTTTGCCTGCCATCCCCACCTATCCTTTCCTGCCAAACTGTTGGCCATTCAGCTCTTTATTAGACCAATCAGGTATTTTAGACAGGCAAAGAATCATAATTCACAGAGTTAAACAAATGCAGTGTGGTGGTGTGCACCTTTAATCCCAGCACTTGGGAGGCATAAGCAGGTGGATCTCTGTGAGTTCAAGGCCAGCCTGATCTACAGAGTAAGTTCTAGGACTGTTAGGGCTGTTACACAGAGAAACCCTGTCTCAGAAAACAAACAAAAACAAATAAGAATGCAATACATCTTTGCATCATTAAAACAAATGTTCCACAGCATAAACAAATGTAACTTGTCTTAAGATAATATGCCACAACACATCCTCCTGTTTGGTTTTTGTTTTTGTTGTTCTGGGATCTAAACCAGGGCTTTCTAATCTGTTAAAAAATAAACTGTTCCCTGAGCTATAGCCCTAGCCCCCTTCTTTAAATAATTTACTTTTATTTCATGTGTATTTGTGTTTTGCTTGCATGTGTGTCTGTGTGAAGGTGTTAGAGCACCCTCAACTGGAGTTCCAGGCAGCAATGCACCATCTCTTGGGGTGCTGGAAATAAAACCTGGGTCCTCTGGAAGAGCATCCAATGCTCTTGATAGCTAATCTATCTCTCTAGCCCTTACATATTAAGTTCTCAAATTATTTTGTAATAAAGCTTGAGAATTTTTGCTCTTTAAGATATTTAGGTACCAAATGTCTTATTGAAACATTTATCAGGAATGATGTAATGAGAGGTAGAGGCAGGAAAATCAGGAATTCAAAGCCATCCTTTTCTATACAGTAAGTTTGAGGCCTGCCCAGGCCACATGCATCAAATAAAATAAGTAAATAAGACGACACAATTCTTTCTATTAACATACAAGCACCTTCAACCAGGTATGGTGATGCACACTTATCTCAGCACATGGTAGGCTAAGGATTCAGTACTCTCTTCTGACCTCCTTGGGTACCAGATATGCCTGTGGTATATACATAGACATCAATGCAAGCAAAACACCCATACACATGAAAATAAGTAAAATAACAACAACAATAATAATATATGTGCCTAGACTCTAATTCTGTGACGTTAATGTTGGGTTGGGATTGAGCTTTCATAATTTCAATAAGCTGGGTTATTTTGATATATTCAAGTTTGGGATTTCTTGTGTGTCTTGAGCGTCAGTAGAAATGTTGGCTTTTCTTAGTACCTCCAGTACTAAGTGTTTTCAGGCATGGTTGCTTATGATGTCTTTACAGAAACGAGCGCTCCTTCATCTGCCCTGCAGAAGGCTGTGGGAAAAGCTTTTATGTGCTACAGAGGCTAAAGGTGCACATGAGGACACACAACGGCGAGAAGCCCTTCATGTGCCATGAGTCTGGGTGTGGTAAGCAGTTCACCACAGCTGGAAACCTGAAGAACCACCGTCGCATACACACGGGTGCGCAGCTCTGCATTCCTGGGCTCTGCTCTTGCTTGCCGTTTGCTCATACTTAGGAAAGCAATATAGGAGTAGAAATGAAGATGCAGTGTTGTTCCTAGACTCGGAAGATTTTCTTAATTTCATTATTGGTAACATTATCCACCTTCATATGTGTGTGACGAACGGACAGTATTGATGTCTGTCTCCAGAAGCCTAACTTGAGGGAAGAAATGTAAGGCAGTCATAGATAACAGTGACGCCAGGACATAATGGACAGGTCAGCCTGTTTTCCAGTCTATGAACATTGTATAGCTGCATTTATTGAGTTATTATACAGATGTTACAGAGCACTAAATCCAAGAGAAGATAGAACCCCTGAGCCTAGGTGCTTGCTGCCTTAGAGCTCACAACATGAGAAATAGAATCAATGTCAGAAGGAGAGGAGAGAAAGACAGACAGGTGCTTTTGGAACCATTGTCAGATATGGGTTTTTGCAAAACTTAATCACTGAACCCAAATCACCTGTGAGAATGTGTACCTCTTCCCTGCTTCTGTGCCGCTTTGCTCAAATGACAGGAGGTATGCTCTAAAGACATTTAGAAAATAAAGTCCAGACGCAAACCACAATTGTTCTAGACATGATTCCCTCCAAATTGGCATAACCCTTCAGTATGTTAGTGAATGAACAGTTCTCATTTCAGTGTTCTTGAAATAATAAAAGGTATTTTTTCCAAGAAAGAAATTTGAATAAAAAATTGGAAGGCTGTCTCACGGTCTGTATTCCAGAACATTGAGAGTCAACATTTCCTGGGTACCCAGTTGAAATTATATAGCACAAGTTAAAGAAACCAGAAAGAGTGATTCATTAAAATCAGAACACAGCGATGGTCCATTCTTAGAAGACTGAGCTTCTGTCTCACTTTCTGTCTCTAGGAGAGAAGCCTTTCATTTGTGAAGCCCAGGGATGTGGCCGATCATTTGCTGAGTATTCAAGCCTCCGGAAACACCTGGTAGTTCACTCAGGTACTAGAATCTGTGCTGCTCTTAGACTTCAGACACAGCGAGAGACAGGGGCGGAAGGCTGTGCAGAACTCTAAGAAACACTTTCCATCATAAGCTAATATAGCTCAATAAGGCCCGGAATAATTATATTCAAAAGGTCTTCTCACCAGTTACTGTTCTTGTCACATTTACTGAGGAACCTGCTAATGCAGACCTTTTTCTGAGATCTGTGCTTTCATATGTTAAATTCGATATTGATCCTGTATTGACATTTTCTCTCATCTGGGGGAGGATTTTAAAATCCAGAGCAAAGTGGGAAGAGCTGTGACAGTCCTGTCTTCTGAGAAGGCACTGGTGGTCCTGCTTCAGTCACCGTTCCAACGAGACTGCCTGTGCCTACTAGGGCTTCATTGTAGCCAGCAGTGCAGAAGAAAAGACTTAGTGACCTGTGTTTTGGTTTGTATTGTTAAATTCCATGCAGTTCTATCGATTTGCTTATTCTATGCAGCTGACTTAGTCTCCCCTGATAAAATTGTCTTTCAGACTTTCTGAAAAGAGTCTTTAGCAGCCAGACTTCGTAAGCAAAGTAGAACAATGTAAATTGATACTTGTCTCCCTTCCCTCCTTTCCCATCCTTCCAAACAGAAAGCACTGAGCAGGTGAGGCAGCAAGACTGATTCTGATGACGACAGCAAAGCCCCTCAGCGAGAGTGGGGATATGGAGATGACTGGTCTCTCAGGGATGGGGACTCATAGTTGAGGTCTCAGTGTGGCAGTGTTTTGGTTTTCATTTGTTGAGATGGGTCTTAGGTAGCACAAGATGATATTGAACGTCTGATCATCTTGCCTCCACCTCCCAGGTATTGGGACTGCAAGTGTGGAGTTAGTGCATGCTAGGCAAGTGTTTTAGCAGTTGAGCTCTGTCTCCAGCTGCTAAGCAGTTTTTATATAATGACAAGTTCCAAGTAAAAATGGCAGGCTGAGAGCATATGGGCCAGATGTGAACTTCACATGTGTATTGCTTGAGTCTAGCGTGTTTTGTTGTATTTGTTGTATAAAACAATGTCACCTGTATAAAAAAAGATATTTTCTTATGCCTATTAAATTTAGAAATAGCTTCTTGCTTTTATCTTATTCAGTCCATGTTCTGTTCCATCAAGTTATTTCCAAAATGATTTCAATTAATTTTTAAAATTTTATTTACTTTATTTGTGTTGTTGGAAATGGAGCCCAAAGCCTCTTGTATAATGGGCAAACATTAATTGTTGAACTGCAGCCTCAACCAGAAGGTGGTTCCTTTAAATAAGGATCTCCTGGGGTCTCATATTGCTTACTCTTGGCTATTAAATCTTCTGTGAACCTAAATATTTTTATACTGTTGTTTGTTTGATAGATTATAGAATTGAGTTACCAAGGTCCTATAGTAGCCTCTGGATTTGTCAGCTTCCTTTATGTAATGTTCCCTCAGTGCTGGAGAGTGAACCCAGGGCCTCACACAAGCTGTACAAGAACTCTACCACTGAGTTGTCCCACCACTTGCTTTTTTGTTTTACAGCTTGTTTTCCTATGCTGCTAAAAATAGAATTAAGCTCTAAGAGCTTCAAAACTTGGGGTAAGAATACATTGAATATGGTACAGTGTACTTCATTTATATCACATCAAGATCCACGCAAGGTTTGCTTGACAGAATTGATAATGGGTTCAGGTGGTATCAACTGGTTGCCCCTGCTAGTTAGTTGGTAGTTCCCCTTAGTTCTATTCTTTCACATTAGCTAGAATTGAGACTCTTCATGAAGTAGGGCTATTTGATCGTTTACACAAGTAATGACAAGCTAAATGCTTTTCATTATGAGCTTGCTTTTGGTTTGTGGGTTTGTTTTGTTTTCGTTTTTGTTTTCCTCAAGCAGGACTGGAACAAACCACATATACAGGCAGGCCTTTAACTTGGAGTGATCCTCCTGTCTCAGCTTCAAAAGTTCTGGGATTATTGACGTGCATTCCATGCCTGGTCTTCATTGTGAGCTTTCAGAATAAGGAGCTGGTGCTTTGGTTACTTCTAGTGCAAATTAAATTGGTTTCTTGACTTATTTGGGGGTTGTTTATAGGTAGAACACAGACATAGAACAGAAGGCTGGAGAGATGTCCCAGTGGTTACGAGAGTACTACTCCTATCCTTCCAGAGGACCCAGGTTCAGTTCTCAGCACCACATCAGGTGTCTGACATCCCCCTGTAACTCCAGTTCTAGGAGATGTTTGTTTTGTTTCCTTTTGAGACAGAATCTCACTATATTGACCTGGCTGATCTTCCATTCAAAGTTATAGGATTACAGGCATGTACCATCACATTCAACTGTTTGTGGCTTTTTTTAAATAAGGCTTTGGAAAAGCCTGGTAGTATATTGCATAGCACCCAGAGTCTGATAGAAAAGGAGTGCCATGAATTTGAAGCTAGCTATATATAGTGAGTTCCAGTATAGCTGGCCCTACAGAGTGAGGTGTCTGCAATAAATACCTAAAAGAAAGTAAAAGAATAGAAATGGAGGTTTCAGCTGTAATTCAGAGTGGCCTAGAACTCACTGCTGTAGCCCATGTTGGCTTTCAACATTTTTTTAAACCTTTCTTCTCATATAGTCTCCTAAGGGTTATAGGCACACAACTTTAATCTGTGAGACACTTACTTGGGTTTGTCTAATTGTTAGCCATTTAAAATAGTGGTACAATAAATAACCTATGTGTAGATTATTTCCTGTTGTAACTTAAGGGCAGATTTAGAGAGGTAGAACTCCTAGATGAAGGACAAAAACATCTGTATTGTTTCTATGTCAGATTCCCTACCATGGATGTCGTGGTTTTCTGCATTCTTATCAGCAATGAAAATTGCTACCTAATGCTTTTACCAGTTGTAAGTTGGTTCCCAGTATTTACAGGTTGGAAGATTTTATTTAAAAATCCTCAATTCTAGCTTCTTACAAGAAAAACAAAATCTGGCAGAACAAAGCTTCTGTCTACACATGGCAACACTGGTCAGAAGTGACCAGCAGCTGCCCTTGTACTGGGGAAGCATTCTCTATTAACTCCATTATCCACCTGCCAGGACCCTGGGAACATGCGTGTTTGCCCGTGGAAATTAGCTTTTGGGCTTTGTTCTGAGGGTGGTTGTCTGGGGAGGTGAGTGAAGACTATTGGAGACTTATAAACAGACGTGATAGTTCAGATCACTTATGTTAAGAAAATTGTTGGTGAATGATGAAGATCTTAAATCTTGACAGGAAATAGGATGTGGGATTTTATGAACACAAGGTTGTAACGAACTCTTGAGGTGGATATGAATTCTGATGTTGGTGGAAGACATTGGAAAAGTGAATAAATACTTTGTGCAGGAGGCTGTTTGGAAGGCTGGAGCCAGTGCATGTGCTAAGCGCTCCTGGGGTGGCCTTTGCCTTCCCTGTGACAGAGGTCGTGTGCCAAAGAGGAAACCTAAGTCTTCTGTCTGCTTGGTGGCCATCAGAACTGTATACTGTCTTTTGAGCTGTCCTATCTCAACATAGTTCTTTTTGCAGGAGAGAAACCTCATCAGTGCCAAGTTTGTGGCAAGACCTTTTCTCAGAGTGGGAGCAGAAATGTGCACATGAGAAAGCATCACTTGCAACTGGGAGCAGCTGGGACTCAAGAACAGGAACAAACTGGTGAGGAGAATGGTCATAGTGGAGAACTGGGTTAAACAACCAAGTCATTGGACTGCTTGGCTATTGGAAATGTAGTTAGGGTTAGGGTAGAGAGACTTGGTTTCATTTGATGAATTCATAGTTTGTAACAGCTGTATAGTATAATCATCTGCAAACTTTCAAAGCATGTATTTCCTTATTGTTTGTGTTAACTTGATAAATGAGATGAGTTGACAGCCTTTTACCCTACTTTAAAACTGATAGAACCTCTTTTTTCTTTTCCATGTCTTTTAAAAATTCCAAATATTCTTTCAAAGGATGTCCTCATTTGATCTGTATTATATGCTGGTGGTCACATGATAATTATCCCTAAGTATTGACTTCCCCTGTAGATTTATTCTGTTATCTGAAAGTGAGTGAAATAGGAGATGCATCCAAGACAAAAACTTACAGTTCTGAAAGAGGCAGTCAGCTACCTTGTGAAGGGAGATGAGGACCAAGCACAGCCTTTACTGCTATGTCTTTCACATACTGTTCTCTGTGCAGCTGAGCCATTAATGGGCAGTAGTTTGCTTGAAGAAGCTTCAGTACCCAGTAAAAACCTGGTGTCTATGAATCCCCAGTCCAACCTTGGTGGAGAGTCCTTGAATCTACCAAATACCAATTCTATTCTTGGAGTTGATGATGGTAAGACTTCTAGTTCTTTATTTGGGAGAAACAAGTTGTAACTCGGGGCTAAGGAGTAGATTACCTTCAAAATGGAGATTTTAATCTCTTACATGATGGTGTGACTGAATAGTATTTGAACTTATTCTCTGGGGTGGTTAAATGAATCCTTTTTTAATGACTAAATATGATGTAAACACAAGAATAAAGAAAAAAACTTAAAAGTTAAAATTATCTGTAATCCGTAGCATCCTAGCCCAACTATGTCTGTCTTTCCTGTTGCAGTTATGGAAGAGCTTAACTTTTAAAACATTTAAACAGAGCATAACCAGGTTTTACAGAGGAGATACAAAGCAGTTTGTCCATACCTTCAAAAGCCATATCTTCTGGAGAAAAGAAAGGGCTCTCTAGGAAAACAGTTGCTCCTCTGGTATAGAAATTTCACCCAGCTTACACAGGCCAGGCCCTCTTCTCTGAAAAACTTACCAGGTGAGGTCAGCATGCATTTATTCAGTGCCTACTGTGTACCTGGCACCATGGGAAAGACAAAAGTAGGAGGTAGGGACCATTTTAGTTGAGAAGTTGAAACAGCATAAATGTATGAAACATCATTGAGTAAATAGATGAAATTATATCAGTAAACATTCATTATACAGTACAGTCTCGAAGAGCAGACCAAGTTATGAAGTCTCCATCAAAAAAACACTTTTAATTTGCTTGAGGACTAAGTGGTTTATCTGTAAACTATCTCCAAAAGATTCTCATGGTGATTCCTTGATGAATGTCTACTAAGTGTGAGAACCTGTGTTTTAGTCACTCCTTCTTCACGGTCTGAGGTGTAGCTGACTGTTTTAGTGACTTCAGTGTGGAGCTTACAAAGCCACAGTGTGCTTACCCAGGCCCACCTGTCCTGAGCAGCACTAGTGCAGAGTACACCAGGAGACAGGCGTTGCATGGAGCTCTTTGCTGGCCTTGAAGAAACAAATCCAAGGGAGTGAGGGACACCAAGTATGACTTTCTAAGCCAGGATTAGCTCAGGTTCTTGACATGGACATACTGCTCAGAACCTCAGTATTGACAGCTTCCAGGGCCTGACTATGCAGTGTTTGCCCTATTTCATACAGTCTGAAAAACATAGTATCCTAAATTGTTACATTGAAAAATTGTCTTGTCTTTGACTTCCCATCCTCCTTTTGTTACTACTTTCTAAATCCACTAATGAAGAAAAAAAGAACTTGGGGTTGAATTCTTCAGGGATCAGATATTAACGTGTTTTAATGATTGGCTTGATGTAGCAGTGGGTGTACATGTGGATTCTCTATTCACTGGAGATTAATTTTCCTGTTGTTTCACAGAGGTGCTCACTGAAGGGTCCTCACGCCCCCTGTCTTCAGTGACTGATGTGACACATCACTTGGCGACCATGCAGTCGGGGAGGCAGTCCTATGAAGTTTCTGTCTTAACTGCAGTAAATCCACAGGAGGTAAAGCTGTCTCTCTCCTGCTCTTCCTTTGACTGGCTTACTTTGCTTTAAGTGTTAGTGCAGTGTGACTGTGGTCTGAGTGCTGTCTTGTGATTTGGGAGACTGATCTGATACTCTGAGGCCTGAGCACTCTTACACATAATTGTTAAGTTTATTTTTAATTATTTGTGCTCTGTATGTGTGTCCCCAATACACATGATTGCAGGTATCAGGGCCAACCTGTTCTACAAAGATCCCTCCAGGATTTGATTTTGTTTGTTTTACAATCTCTCCCCTTCCCCCTTTCCTTTCAGTATAATCTTTATGCCCTAGTAAGCCATTTATAGTATCTAAGAGTTAACCATAGGACTTTAAGCATTCATGTCAGCATACTCTTATCAGGGCTTTATATTTGTTGTTGTGACTTGTTTATTTTGTATTGAAAATTCTATTGTTGGCATCATTGGTTCTAAGTTATCCTTTGTAGGTTGCTGTCTCACTTATGCAACTGCCTCCTCTATTTTGCCTCTTCGTTTTTCTTCTTTGAAATTTATCTTATGGGGGGTTGCTGGAGAGATAGTTCAGTAATTAAGAACACTGCTCTTCCAGAGGACCCAGTTCAATTCTCAGGAGCTACATGACAGCTCACAACTGTTTATAATTCCAGTTCCAAGAGACCCGACTCCCGTGGCAAGACATCAATGCACATAAAATAAATTAAAAAAGAAACACAAATTGGTTGTTTTCTATACTGCAATCCACTTGTCTAATGATTTCTATTTTTAAAACTATCTTATGGAAATAGCTTTTATTTGGCATGTTTGTTTTGATTACATGTGTATATGGGTATCTCATGCACGCCTAGTTCCCTTGTGGGCAGAGAAGACATCAGATCCTATTGAACTGGAGTTACAGGTGGTTGTGAGCCACTGTGTAGTTACTGGGAACCAGGGTCATGTTCTCTGCAGGCACAGCAAATGCTCTTAACTGCTGAGCCATTTTTCCAGCCCCTCAGTATTTAATGTTACATTGTTTTTGTGCCAGAACATTGTAAAATATTATAGACCTCTCTATTTTTTTTAGAGTATAACTGTTAATTAAAAGATAAGGATGGGGCTGGAGAGATGGCTCAGTGGTTAAGAACACTAGTTGGTCTTCCAGAGGTCCTGAGTTCAATTCCCAGCAACCACATGATGGCTCACAACCATCTGAAATGAGATCTGGTGCCCTCTTCTGGCCTTCAGGGATACATGCAGACAGAACACTGTATATATAATAAAAAAATAAAAATTAAAAAAAAAAACGATAAGGATGACCGGGCATTGGTGGCCCACACCTTTAATCCCAGCACTTGGGAGGCAGAGGCAGGTGGATCTCTGTGAGTTCGAGGCCAACCTGGTCTACAGAGTGAGTGCCAGAACAGCCTCCAAAGCCACAGAGAAACCCTGTCTCAAAAAACAAAACAAAAAAAGATAAGGATGTAGGAAATAACTATATTTCCATCCCCAAAAAGTTGAGTAATAATTTGTAGCCATCTAATATTTAGTTGTTGTTTTTCATCTCCTGAGAAATGTCTTTGGTTGTCTGACATGAACCAGAGCCCATGTATTGTGTCTGGTTAACATATCACCTTGTTTCTGTGTTGCTGTGATTTAAACACCATGACCAAAAAGCAACGTGGGAAAGGAAGGTTTATTATAACTTAAAGATTAGAGTCCACCATGGAGGGAAGCTAGGACGGGAACCTAGAATCAGGCACTGAAGCAGAGACCAGGGAGGAATGTTGCTTACTGGCATGCTCTCCCTGTTTTCTGGTGGGGCTAGGGAGGTAGCTCATTTGGTCAAGTGCTTGCTATACAAGCATGAAGGCACAAGTTGGCTCCCAAGAACCTTTGTAAAACAGCCAGACATGGTAACACATGCCTATAATCCCAGCATTTCGGGATTATAAAAAAAAAATTCTAGGTTTGGCAACAGGTAGTATATGAACACATCAGCCAGCTGACCTTGCCAAAATCCATGAGTTTCAGGCTTCCAAGAGCCCTTGTCTCAATAAAAAACAAACAAGCAAAAACAAAACAAAAACAGGGTGGATGGCATGTGGACCTCCTTCATGTACATATATACATACACACACAGGTGGAAACTGGTTTCATCAATTATTATTCAAAAACTGTACAGTACAGAGTGGAGTATCAGTGTTTCCTACAGTCCTGTAGGAGTCCTTCAGGCCCATCTCCCTTCACCACAGGAAAGGTTTTAAGCCCAGTGAAACCCTGAATCTCTAATGGGTAGGGTAGGTTCCTGCTTCAGGAGTTGTAGTAGAAACAGCTCCCTTTCCTGGTTTTCTGTGTTTTGGATTGACACTGACTTTATAGCAGTTTTGGTTCCATCACTACTGATTTCATTTTTTGTTGACTCCTCCATCACTGACTGTCAGGTGTGAACACAGTTGCTGAGCCTGTAGATTCAGGTTATTTTATCAGGTGCTGTAGTTAATGTGGCAGCCAGGTGTGGTGGCACACACTTTTAGTCCCAGTATTCAGGAAGCAGAGATCAGCGGATCTCTGAGGTAAAGACTGGTCTGGTCTACATAACAAGTTCCAGGACAGCCAGAGCTACACGGATAAACCCTGTCTCACAAAACAAAAACAAAAGCAAGCTTTTGGGGCCTGGAAAGATGGCTCATTGGTTAAGCACTAGCTGTTCTTCCAGAGGACCTGAGTTAAGTTCCCAGCACATTGCAGCTTACAATACCCTCATGTAGACATATATGCAGACAAAATACTAATACATATAAAGTAAAAATGAATTGGTTTTTAGCTGGGCATTGGTGGTGCACGCCTTTAATACCAGCACTTGGGAGGCAGAGGCAGGTGGATCTCTGTGAGTTCGAGGCCAACCTGGACTACAAGAGCTAATTCCAGGACAGCCTCTAAAACAATACAGAGAAACTGTGTCTCAAAAAAAAAAAAAAAACCTAAAAACAAATGGATTATAAGTAAGTTTTATCCATCATCCTTTACTGAATTTATCACTCCACTCTTAATCCTTTCATTTAGCTGGTTTTTGTGCTTCTGTAATTCATCCATAACCTAAGTCTATGTTTTCAATTTTATAGTTACTAAGCCAAGGAGATTTAACTGAAAGACAGACATGACTGCTGGCTCCTAGAGGAGGAGATCTATCTGACCCGAGAGTGCATGATGGGAACAGATCCAAAGGCTCACATTCTGCCAGAACTAAAATGAATCTGTGAAGGACAAAGACCTCGCCTTGCCTGTGTTCATCCCCCTGGCAAAGAAGAGGGGTGTCTGAGGGCTTCCGTCCAACCCCATCCGGCCCAAACAGAGTGAGGCAGTGACTATGGGCTGGACACCTGTAGCTGCTTCTCTTCCTCCCGCAAAGCTTTGGGCAGACTTCTCTCAAAAGCGAGTTTAATGGTGTGTTGAATGAAGATTCTCATTGACTGTTCAGGTTTTCCTTCAAAGAGTTTTCATCCTAGACCCCCAGCTGTCTTTTCATGTTGTTGAATCATGTCCTGCTTCCAACCACAGAACTTCACCAGGACATTGAATTTTCAAGATGCCTTGTTGCTTTGAAGAAGGGAGTGATGCCAGTTACGCTGTGGCATTCTTCCCTTAGCAACCTGAGTAAGAGACTCTCAGCCATTGGGCTGTAAAAATAAATTACTTGAATCTCCCTTGGCCCAGGCTGAGGTACACCTCTTCTTGGTCATTTTTTGTTTTGTTTATGGAACTTAAAATAGCATGTTATAAGATGGGTTTTTTGTTTGTTTGTTTTTAAGTTAAAAGTCACATGATCTGGAGTTTCAGTTTTCCTTTTAAACAAAACAATGCACTCGGCTCTTTGGCTCTTGTTTTAGACCAGTGGTTCGGAACGTTCCTAATGCTGCAACCCTCTCATGTTGTGGTGACCCCTCAACATAAAATTATCTTCATTGCTAATTCATAACCTTAATTTTGCTACTGTTATGAATCGTAATGTAAATATCTGATATGCAGGATATCTGATGGGGGGGTCACCACCCACAAGTTGACAACTGCTGTTTTAGATAGATGTGTTCTTAAAGAAGAGGCCAAGAAAATAATCCAGTCTTTTTCTTTAATATAAGGCCCTGAAAAGAAAAGAGAAAGGGGCTAGGGATATGAGCTCATGCCTTTTAGGCAGTCAGATCTCTTAAGAGTTTGAAACTACCTTGTCACAAAAGTTCCAGGCAGCCAAGTCTACACAGTGAGACACTGTCTTAAGAAAATAAAAAGTACACTGATTAGCCAGATTTGGTGGTGGCCAACATTCAGAGGACAGATTTCTGAGTTTCTGGCCAGACTGATTTACATAGGGAATTCCAAGATAGCCAAGACTACACAGTAAGAACTTGTCTCCAAAAAGAAAAAGAAAGGAAAAACAGAACAGATGACTTAGCAGTTGAGAGCACCTCTTCCAGAGGAGCCCAGTTTCATTGCTAGCACCCACATCAAGCAGTTCACAACACCCTCTAACTCCAGCTCTAAGGGATCTGATGTCCTCAGCTGGCTTCTGTGGACACCTGCAGTCATGCACATATCTCCACAACACACAGCATAGACATAACCTGAAAAACAGGAGAAAACACTACTACCATAAGACAGTGCTAACTCACTTCTGAGACACTGTAGAGGTAAAGCTGAACTGAGGAGCCTTAGAAAACTGAAAACCAGGCCAGGTAGTGGTGGCCTTTATCCCAGCACTTAGCAGGCAGAGACAGGCAAATCCAAGTTTGAGGCCAGTGTGGTCTACACAGAGAAACCTTAACTTAAAAAAGAAAACTTGACATCAGTGTTTTTGTTCAGAACTGGTGAACCTAAGCTGGTGGTGGTGATGCGGAGCTCGCCTTTAATCTCAGAGCTTCTGGTGAACCTAAACTGGTGGTGGTGATGCGGAGCTCGCCTTTAATCTCAGAGCTTCTGGTGAACCTAAGCTGGTGGTGGTGATGCGGAGCTTGCCTTTAATCTCAGAGCTTAGGAGGCAGAGGCAGGTGGATCTCTGTGAGTTTGAGACAGGCTTTCTCTGTATTGTTTTGGAGGCTGTCCTGGAACTCACTCTGTAGACCAGGCTGGCCTCGAACTCACAGAGATCCGCCTGTCTTTGCCTCCCAAGTGCGAGTGCTGAGATTAAAGGCGTGTGCCACCAACGCCCAGCAATAAATGAATCTTTAAAAAAGAAAAAAAACAAGGCAAAGGGAGCTGGCAAACCTAAATTATTAGAGTACCAGACCCACCAAAAAACCCACAATGTCTAAGTCTTGGAAAATGGCAGAAATAAAGGGTAATTCAGATTCTTTTCCAGAAATGGTTAACCATGAGAAATGGGCTTGTACTAGCCTATTATCTGTCTACAGCACAATTAATTGACAAGAAAGACACACCAAAGATCACCTACTGGTACAAAATCTTAGTGATCAGAGAAGTTTTATTTAAAATCAACTTTATGCTGGTATATCCAAATAGTGCAGTGTTGAATTTGTTTTTGGCATGCACTATTATCCTTTAGTCTGAAGACCAAGTTCATAGCATTTATTAGAGGCCATTTGGCAATATCTGGAAACAGTTTTGGTTGTCAGAAACCCAAAGGGGTGCTGCAGGGCATACAATAGGTAGAGGCAAAGGGGTGAAAAAAACATCCTACAAACAATAAAAACTGACCTGCCCCTGTGTCGGATGCTAATGATAAGGCCTGTGCATAAGGTTGCAGGTGTGGACTGAGAAATGGGTTTTATTTTACACACACTATTCTGCTGCCAGGGTGCCAGATTTTGGCTGCTGCTGGGAATATGTTTCCTAGAGGTCCTGGATCTCTATTTCCTTATTCCTACCTGTTTTCTCCCTGCATCTTGTTTTCTATTCCTACTCCGTAGTGTCAATCAGAAAGCAAGAACCTTCAACATTGGGCCAGGAGCCCTCCACCCTCCGCTTTCTGTGTTGTTTTCTCCCATTCCCTAGCCGTAGCCTTGTAAATCCTCACCTAGTTGTCAGCTTGATGATCAAATGTGATAGTGATGCGTGAACTGCTTCAACAAGCAGTTTGGTTAGCTGCTCAAGCTTTTGCTTTTCCAGTTCCTCCTTGGGTCAGCTGGCTGGTCCGGAGTTTTCTAAATCCTGCCATGAATCTCAGATGCTGAGTTTTCTAGTTTCATGGATGCTGAAAAAACAGTATTTTAAATGGAAAAGATGTATAAGGCTCAAGAATGGTCTCAATGGGCTAGAGACATGGCTCAGACGTCAAGAGCACTGTCTGCTTTTCCAGAAGTCCTGAGTTCAATTCCCAACAACTGAATGGTGGCTCATAACCATATGTAATGAGATTTGGTGCCCTCTTCTGGCCTGAAAACATACACCCAGGCAGAACACTGTACACATAATAAATAAAATCTTAAAAAAGAAAGAAAAAGAAAGGTCTTAACATTTTCATTACTTTATTTGGTAGAAATGGAATTCTAAAACTACAAACAGGAATTACTTAGACTTAAACTGGAAGTAACAGTAATATTCTTCTTTTCCTCTTTGCCTGATACTAGTTATGAAAGAGGTGATGCCAGAGAGTCAGCTATAAGGAGGAGGTCTGCCAGACAAGTGGTTTCGTCATCTCACAAGTAGAGGTGTGTGGACAAGTTGTTATGCAAGTACAGGACTGTAACCTCACAATGAGTAGCTTCTCTAAGTTTGCTTCTGGTGGCATCATTGAGGATGGCAAGTTAGTGCTGTGGGCTGATAGCAGGCTCTTTACCTAGGCGAATCCTTGGCTTTGCCGTTCTCCTTGTATTGCGCAGCCTGTGTGCCTTGACTCTTGGTTTTCACGAACTCTTCCTCCAGGCCAGCCTGCCTCAGGGTGTCCCGATAGCGCTCTTCTGCTTCTTTCCTGGCAAGCGCCTGTGGAGTGGAAGCTGGCTGACTAGCAGTTTCCCAAGATTCTGAGTTACCCAGGTCATCAGTCTATAATACTGGCCCTCCCTCCACCCCACCTGCAGTGCTAGACAAAAGTTGGCACAAAAATTACTTAGAGGCTGGACAGTGGTGGCGCATGCCATTAATCTCAGCACTCAGGAGAGGCAGAGGCAGGCAAATCTCTGTGAGCTTGAGGCCAGCCTGGTCTACAAAGCAAGTTCCAAGACAGACTCCAAAGCTATGCAGAGAAACCCTGTCTCAAAAAACAAAAGAAAAGAAAATTACTTCTTTTATAGCCATAGTTGGTAAAAGGAGCCCCATGGGGATCTTGTTCAAATGTAGGTTTTCATTTCATTTCATGGGGCCTACAATTCTGCATCCTAACACTTGTAGAAGGTGTCAGCTGTTAATTAATTGAGAGCCACACCTTTGAAAAGCACCCAAACTATCATCAGGAAGACTAACATATTAAAAATACTGAGCAGAAGGAAGATGGTCTGAATGTAGCTAGAAGAAGCCTATCTTGTTTTACATATTCAAGCACAAAACTTTGTATTTTATTCTAGATTGCTGAAAGATCTGTTGGGAAAAGAAGAATTAATTTCTTTGACAAAAATGGGCTAAAGAATTCAGCCTGAGTAGATTCTAGACTACCCAGTATGGCGGAGGGGCATCTGCAGCAGCAGGAGATCCAGCATTTCCTAGGAATATCATACATGCTGTTTGATGGAGCTCCCGCCCACAGTGAACCACAGAGCCAGACAGCACATACATTCCTGAGTCTCTCTGGGCATTCAAGAGCTCCAGAGCTCTCCTTAAGGAGATCTCAACTGAACTTACCTTCTCTTAAAGTCTAAAAGCCATTTAATCTGAAGAGTCTTCTGAGGTGCTTAAAGGCACCCTGGCCCTTAAGGACCTATGTTTGGAGTAAAGCAATTAATAAAGCAAATTTCCTTTGTCATTAACTAAGTGCCTGACATCAGCCATGTAAAAAGCTGGGTGTGGTGGCAGAAGGGTGGTGGGTTCAAGTCCAGCCTGAGCTCAATGAGTTACAGGTCAACTTGAGCTACATAAAAAGAAACTCTGGCTCAAATATCTTTCTATTTTAAAAAATGAAAGTTAATACTTGTCTTGCTAATGGTTTCAGAAGTTTGAGTCTGTGGACCCTTGACTTGTCACTTTGAACTCCTGGTAAGACTGAGCACTATGGAGGTCGAAGCCTGTGTCAGAGGCTGTGCATGTGCTGGAGGCCAGGGATAGAATAGAAAGTCTGTGTGCCCTCGCCTTTTATCACGTGGCCCCCAGCCTCTGAGGTCACGCTGCCCATAGTCAGGGTGGGTCGGTCTTCCTCAGTTACTTCTTTCTGGGGACACCTGTACAGATACCCAGACATGTGCTATCATAACTTTCTGGGGCATTTAGTATAATCAAATGGAAAAGATTAACCATCATGGAGTTCAATGTAGAATATCTGAGTCCTAAGGAACTATTTAATAGTCACATAGTAAAATCTTTTCAGAGTTTCTAAGAAGCCTTGACACAAGGCCGAAAAGAGTTGAGAGTCTAGGCTTACCTTGGTAACTTGTTCGAAGAGATAGGGCCTTGTTTGTATTCTCCTCTTCATTTCCTCCAATTCTTTCTTATATTCTTCTGTTCTTTTGCGGTCATTGTTCCTGGAATTAACAAAGTTTCTAGAAGCAACCAATCTTTTTAAATCAGAAAACCATTCACGTTAAGCAGAGTCATTCCCCATGTACACTGAATTCCCACTGCCTGTGAAAATCATTGACTAACTGATGACTCAGTTTACCCTGACCCCATTTTGCTGTTTCAAAGCCAGTGATATGCTGGAACCTAAAACAGGCACCCCTCTGAGCATGGGGGGTCACTGACCGGTTCTCTTTAAGCTTCGCTTTGAACACCTCTTCCAGGCTTCTATGGGGATCCATGGCCTTTGCCCGCAAGGTCACAGATTTAGACATGGCTTGACAGTTCTTTCTGTGCATTTCCAACCACTGAATGCTCTTGTCTGCTTTGTCCTTTTTTTCAAGTGACATTCTAAAGGAGAGAGCAAAAGTAAGAGATAACCTGGGTGATTTATAAACAATCTTAGTAACTTCTCTGGAAAGTTAATTAAGTGTTTTCTTTTTTAAAGATTCTTGTTTGTTTATGTGCATTTTTGGAGGGTAGGGATGTGTGCAGGTGTGCGTGCAGGTGCCCCCAGTGTTATGAATACAGCACGAGGTGGCACTGCAGATCCCGTGGCAGGGGACAAACAAAAATGCCATCAGGCAGGACTTATGTGGAAGCTTATTGGGGAAAGCAGGGAGAGACAAAGAGACTGACCTGCCGCCTCAGAGGAACACAGGAGGGGTGGTAGGGGAGGTTTGTCTCTTAAAGGGACCTATGCACCTTTGTTCAGAGCCAGGGTGCTGCCTGCCCTGTGCACAGGTGGCACACTCTGCCAGGGCCCCAAGAAGCAGGGCCAGGTTTGCCTGGATTATAACACTCGAGGTCCAGAGAGGGCATCCAATCTGGAGCTGGAGTGACAAGCAGTTGTGAGCTGCCCGGTGTGGGTGCTGGGAATCATATTCAGGTCCTCTGCAGTATATGCTCTTAACCACTGAGCCATCTTCAGCCCCTAGCTGGTGTTTCTGTGAGTAAAATATGGTGGCACACACCCTGAGATCAGGGTCGGATGTTCAGGATGTCCCAGCTACATAGTAAGTTTGATGTCAGCCTGACCTAAATTGGACCCCATCTCAACCAACAGACAGCTACTCTGGGGTGGAAAGCAGTGGTAGATGATTCCTTTCCAGCACTGTGGGTCCTGTGATTTCCCACCAAGAGATACCCATTTTTTGAACAGAACACACAAGTTAAAATGATCTTGCATAGCTAGAACTCAATATATTGGTTAGGCTTTTCCCTTACCTGAAGTACTATAGCTACCACATACCAAGAACCAAAGACCATTACATTTCATGTAATTCTCACAAGGCCCTGACGAGGTGGACAGGCGAGCCCCCCACCCCTACCTGCCCAGACACAGGCCTGAGAGGCAGGAAGCCTCTTGTTCACAGCTACTCAGCAGATAGAGAGAAAGCCAAAACCAGAACCAGCATGGCAGTTCTCCTTGACCACTGAGCTATAAACAGTGGTCAGTCAGCAACTTAAGTTCTCAGTTCTTTGAGAGGTCAAATCCCTTTGCATAAAGGTCTGGAAACAGGCTTTGTCCAATGTAGGCAATGTGGATTTAACTTGGAGCACTTGGTTCATGTTATTCTAGAGTTCTGTGGTGCATTCCACCAAAAACACAAAATAATCAAGGCTCTACATGTAGAAATACATTCAAGCAGATCAGAAAGAAAGACACAAAAGCTTACTCTGCTAAAATGTCCACAAGTCTGTCATTGGACAGCAGATGTGACCTCCCTCTGGGCCTAGGGACACTGATACACTTGGCCTGGGGGTAGTAGCTGTGAAATCTGAGCATGTGGGGGGGCTATCTCTGTATCCAAAGTATATTCTTGCAGGGTCCTGCTATGCCCTGGGAGCCTCCTGGAGGCACTGACAACTCAGCTTCACACTAGGTCACAGCTCCCTGGCTCACTTCAGAGTCCTGGCGTAGGACTTCCTGCTGACTGGATGAGAACAGTACCAGAGTCAGGCAAGCTGGACTATTAGAAAATCCCCAGACTTGGAGTGTAACTCGTTTGCGCAAGGCCCTGAGTTTGATCTCTAGTACTGAACCAAAGGGGAACAGAAAAGGAGGGGAAGGGGAGAGAAGGAAAAGAACAGAAAAGGAAAAAAGGAACCGCTTCCCAGCAGACCTGATGTTTCCCAAGATGCGACATCTTGACTGTGGTGGGCTCTGTCCCTGCTATGATGCTTGAATCTAAATTTGTATTCCCTATAGCTACCTTTGCTTTCACACACAGGCTTTGTTTTGCTTTAGAAAGAAAAGGTTGCTGAGCACACTTCAAGAGACAGCAGGCTGGACAATAACAGACAATACTACTAATGGTCTCATAGGCAGGGTTACACAACACAGTCTCTTTCTCTGGAAAGCCCTTCTCTCTAGCCTCTGACTGACTTGTTCCTCTGCATCCTTTGGAGGGGCGGTTCTCACAGTGCACATGTAGAATTTGGGGACAACATGCAAGGGTCAGTTCTCACATTCTCCCATGTGGGTCCTGGGGTTGGACTGAGGCTGGCAGGTTTGCTAGCAAGTACACTTATCCACTCTGCCATCTGGCTGGCCCCACCTAACGTTCTGAGACAGCAGCTGCTCACTGAATCTGGAACTCCCTTTTTGGCTAGACTGGACGTCCAGCAAGCGGGAGGCTCTGCCCCTCTCCACCCACTACCGACCTGGAAGTGCAAGAGTTGTGGACATACTGACCTACTTTTACGTGGAATTTGAACTCAGGTCCTCATGCTTGCACAGCAAACGCTTAACCAATTGAGCCTCTCCCCAGTCCCTTCCTCCTTATTCTTACTTTTCATGTTTTACCTTAGACATGTGATCCACAGGTGTGGTCACTACCCCAGGCTTCCCTGTGTCTTCATAGTCCTCTCTATACTTGCACTGCTCATAAGCAGGGCAACCACCCTGAGAAACCCCACGTTTCAGACTTCACGTCACACTGTAAGTAAGCCAGGGCATCTCTGGCTTGACTCTGTGTCTTACGCCGACTAAGTCCCTAAAAGGATTTGCTGGATCAGAGTACATATTCTCGCCCCATCAGAGAATTCCTTCAGCCCCTTGAGGTGTTTCTAATAATGGCAGAAGGGGCCCAGCAGCAGGGCCAGTTCTAGTATTTGGGGCCAAAACCCGTCAGGAGTCTGCTATGGCCCCCTTACCCACCTGACTGCAGATTCCCTCTTCCTGGTGGCATCTGAGATGTGCACAGGGAGGGTGTTGGCAGAAAAGGAAGCAAGGCCACTCAGAGAATGCCTCCTTGGCGGCAGGGCAGCTGCTGGCTGAGGGGACTTCTGCAAGAAAGGAGGGCTGGCATTAGCGACAACATGTAATTAGTTCCCATCCTAATTAGGATTCTGTTTCAGTGAAGGACTAGAAATGATAATCTTTATTTCCCCCACCCCCTGGGGACAAGGAGAACAAGATCTTGTTTAGTTACAAGGTCCATACTTGCATATCAATCCTAATGTTTTTAACCAAGTGAGAAGACTTCTAGGAATTGTGTGAGTGGCTTTGTCAATTTAATACACTCTAGAACTATTTGGGAAGAGAATCTCAATATGGAACTGTCTAGACCAGGGGCCATGTCTGTAGGGGTGTGGGGGATTACCTTATTAAGGTGGAAAGACCCCCACCTGCATGAGTGGAGGAATCCAGCACAAGTGTGCATTCACTCACTTTGTTCTTGACTATAAATATGGTGAGCTGCTTCAAGTCCTGTACAGCACTGTGACTTCCCCCTATAACAGACTGCAGTCTGGGAACATAAGCCAGAATGAGCCATTTCTCCCTAAGCTGCTTTGGTCAAGGTATTTTATCATAACAAAAATTCCTCTAGGGAGATGCAAGAGGGGATGTTCTTGTTTTCAGTTTACAGGTCAATCTGTGTGCAACTGAGCAGATGTTCAAAAAATAAAGACAGAAAAATGTCAAGTGCCTTCTTTTGAGACCTGGGCCTGCTCTGTTGTACTTCAGGCCTCAGACCCCGACCCTCCCTGCTACCTGCCTGTGTTCTGGTCCTGCCTCCTTCAGCAGTAGCGGCATCACGAGATCCTGGAGTGTGACACAGGTTAGCAGTCCGGAGCAGGAAGGGCTTGTTTCGAGTGGTCTCCCGGGTCTCCCTTCTCTTGGCAACTCTTTTCTGGAAAGCCTGGTAAAGGCCCTCAAAGTCAGGGACCACGGAGTTCACCCGAGGCCGGAATTCGAACTTGGTCTGTAGGAAGCTTAGTTTTTCCTCCCGGGTTCGGGTAGCGGTGCGGGGAGCCCGGTGGCTGGTGGTGCTGAAGGGGGAGGAGGCCATCTGGAGCATGTCCATGGCTCGCATCTGGATTCGAATTGTCCTGAGGAGCTCTGCTTCTGTGAAGAGGGCAGTGAAGGAAGAGGGGAGGCAACGGGTCTGGAGAACACTCTCCCCTTCTTTTGAGACAGACTCTCACTATGCAGCCTAGATTGATCTCCAGTTTATCTAAACCCTCCTGCCTTGACCCCCGGAGTAGGTGTGATTACAGGCACAGGCAACCACAGGCCCAAACTACTCTCATTTAAACACTAAGAGTAGTCAGTATGCCAAAGCCAGTGGGAAATAGTGGGAAAAGAATTAACATTCATCCCCCAAGTGATTAGATCCTCTCCAGGATGAGGGAAGGAGGGTGGCCTTCCCAGAGGCAGCAGGCCGGACATGGCACTGGCTGATGGAGGTCCCTTATGTCGTGATCTTTGCTTCCACACTTATGCTAGTTCAGAGACCTGCAGCGTGCTTACGGAGACAGGAGGCCATCGAGCTGAGTCTGGGGGCGGGGATGGAAGGGGAGAAGTAGAGGAGGTGTTGCTGTAGGACCTCCCTATAGAGCCCATCAGGTGACCTTTATATCAGATATGTACATTATGATTCATGACAGTAGCAAATTACAGTTATGAATGAAATACTCTTATGGTTGGGGGTCACCACAACATGAAGTATATTCAAGGGTGGCAGCACTGGGGGGGGGGTCAAGAACTCCTGTGGACAGACCCAACTCTCTGCTGGCCGACATGGGTAATCTCCATAGCAGTGTAGCCACTGGTCCTTCATCCTGCACCACTGGGAACCCCAGGCCAGAGGTAGCCAGAGGTGCCGAGAGTATCCTTACCCTGGAGTTTGTCCCCGAGGGCTGGTTCCAGAATGGCCTTGGGGATCCTTCTAGTGGCCTTCTTCGGGGGGACCTTGGCCTGAGCCACTGCGGCCGAGTCTGTCTGGGCAGCAGCTTTCTTTTGCTGTTCTTTCTTTTCAAGGAAGCTGAAGGGCTTCAAGGAGGATAGAAGCAGCTCCTTCCTCTTCTGGATCCCTGCTCGCCTCCGTGCCTCGCTGCGCTCCACCATCTCCTGGTAGAGCGGGAGGTAGACATGCGCCGGCACGGGCTGGGCCCGGAACTGCCGATAGCACTCCGCCTCCTCCTGGCCCTGTTTCTGGGCCTGCAGACGCTCTAGCTCAAAGGAGGCAGGCGAGGCCAGCCACTGGGCCTTCTTCCGGGCCTCCCGCAGTGTCATGCGGAAGGGCTGAGGGACAGTGATGGAGGACGCCCAGGAGCAGACACTTCTGTGCTGGGAGGGAGGCCCAGAGTCTGAGGTCGGCGGGATCGGAGCCTTGGGGATGTCAGAGGGAAGGCTGCTCATGGAGCTGCAGCGCCTCATGGAGCCATACCTGGAGGAGAAAGCAGAACTGTGTAGGGACCCAGCTGTCAGGAGGCCAGGCTCCTCTCAGAGCCCCCTCCCCACCCTCCATGCCCAGCACATCATAACTAAGAGGCCCCAAAGGTCTCTAAGTTCTTAACCTTACCAGCTAAGCGTCCCTTCTTGCCACAGGCAATCCCATCAGCCCAATGGGAACTGCCTTCTAAGAATTCATGCAGGAAGCGGCACTTTGCATTCTGATAACTACTTAAGACAAGGAGGGTAGTGGGGGTAGTACAGGGCCCGGTCAGGGGATCCAGTTCAAACCTTGATGTGCTTGGGTTTCCACGTAGAGTGGCGAAAATCATGTCTGCTTATAAGGTTATTGGGAAGAGAGTGCATCTTAAATGAGATAAATGGTAGTGGTGGCCTGTAGCCCTTGAAAGGTGTAGCTGGGAAGTTCAGGAGATTAAGACAAGCCTGGATTACATGCGACTGTGTCTCAAAAAGAGAGAGAGGGAAAAAAACCCCAAAAAAGCACATAGGCATTTGCAGACTTGGCCACAGATAATGAACTTCGTCATTCTCACAGGAAGGACGTCCCTTTGGTCGTTTCAGTGCTTCAACTAAGTGCTGCCCAGAGTTACTTAGGATTTTTGGCTAAGACTCAAAACGTGGGCTGGAGAGATGGTTCAGCACTTAAAAGCATTTGCTGCTCTTCCAGGGGACCTGGGTTTGATTCCCAGTACCCACATGGCAGCTGTGTGTACCTTCAGTTCCAGGGAATCCAATGTTCTGTTCTCCATGGTCACTAGGCATGTAAGTGGTACGTATACAAGCAGGCAAAATACCCATAGACAGAAAATAGCATTTTAAGAAAGAATCACAAAGTATGGTTGGATCCAAGAGCTAATTCTGGGCTGGGCCTTGTAAGTGACAACTTGCAGAGTCGGTCTTACAGATATGGCATGACTGGCCTGGAGTGCTGGAGTGTGGCTGCCCAGAGTGCAGGTTCTTACCTGAGAGGTGGGGGGTCCTGAACCTGTGGTTTCCCCCTGCTCCTGTCTTGGAAGAAACTCCCCCAGTCTTCCTCGTCGTCAGAGCCATTCTGATCACTGTCTAGGTCAGACTGAAAGGGAGACTCCAACAGACTCCACCTGCCGTCCTGCTTTTCAGCCTGTAAGGTCCTATAAAAGCTCCCAGTGGAGTCAGAAGTAGAATGTGTTTCCTCCTCTGGGCTGAGGAACTCATGGAGTTTGCCGGCTCTGGGCAAAACCAGTCCTTCTCCGGCCTGCTCATCTTCTGTCTCGGTGTCTGAGGAGGATTTGGGGGGAAATATCTAAAACAACAGCAATCAGCAATAAGTTAAACTCTAGTTTCAAAGGTACTCAAAAATGACTTTAACTTTGCTTTGAATAAGCCAGTATATTAGGAACTAAGAAGGAGCAAAGAAAAGTAAGGTGTGTTCTTCACTCAGAAGACATTTCACAATACCATGTATTATGTGCCTGACTGTGGCCAGCAAAGGTGGCAGATGAGCTAACGCCAGGTCCCCGCTCCGTTCAGCACAGAGAGCACGCTGAGTACTTAATCAGAGCCACATTCTGTTCCCACTGCTCCAGGAATTCTGCCCATGACCTTGGCTACACTCTGTTCCCAGGTTTACTTGGGACTTATGTAATTGTTACCCATCTTCCATTTTCCCCCCATCAACATCCTTACTTTCCTCATATCCTAATCAATTTCCACACCGTCACCATGAATGGATGATTAACAGGAGGGATACTGTGTCTAGGTGAAAGCGCACCTCACTCTCACCACTAGACAGGACTACCAGACAGAAACTTAACAAAGAGGCAAAGGAACTAATAGAAGTTATGACCCAATTGGGATTAACAGATATCTATAGAACATTCCATCCAAATAAAAAAGAATATACCGTCTTCTCAGTGCCACATGGAACCTTCTCAAAATCGACCACATACTTGGCAACAAATCAAACCTCAACAGGTACAAAAAAAATCAGAATAACTCCATGCACCTTATCAGACCACCATGCATTAAAATTAGAATTCAACAACAATACAAATTGCAGAAACCCTACAAACTCATGGAAATTGAATAATGCACAATTGCAACATTCCTGGGTCAAAGAAGAAATGAAAAAAGAAATTAAAGACTACCTAGACTTCAATGAGAATGAAGACACAACATACCCAAACTTATAGGACACTTTGAAAGCAGTGCTACAAGGGAAGTTCATAGCACTAAGTGCCCACATGAAGAAACTGGAGAATACTTATACTAGAGAATTAACAGCACAACTGAAAGCTCTAGAACACAAAGAAGCAAACTCACCCAGGAGGAGTAGACGCCAGTAAATAATCAAATTGAGGGCTGAAATCAATAAAGCCGATACTAGGAAAACAATACAAAAAAATCAATGTAGCCGGGCGGTGGTGGTGCACGCCTTTAATCCCAGCACTCGGGAGGCAGAGGCAGGCGGATCTCTGTGAGTTCGAGGCCGGGCTGGACTGATAGCCTCCGAAACAATACAGAGAAACCCTGTCTCGTAAAATCCAAAAAAAAAAAAAAATCAATGTAAGGAAGAGTTGTCTCTGAGAAAATCAACAAGGTAGACAAACCTTTATCCAAACTTACCAAACAACAGAGTATGAACATGCAAATTAACAAATCAGAAATGAAAAGAGGGACATAACAACGGGCACTGAGGAAATCCAGAGAATCATCAGGTCATACTTTGAAAACCTGTACTCCACAAAATTTGAAAATCTAAAGGAAATGGACACTTTTCTGGATAGATATCACTTGCCAAAATTAAATCAAGAAAAGATAAGCAATTTAAATAGATCTATAACCCCTATGGAAATAGAAATAGTTATCAAAAGTCTCCCAACCAAAAAAAGCCCAGGGCCAGATGGCCTCAATGCAGAATTCTACCAGAAATTCAAAGAACAGCTTATACCAGTTCTTCTCAAAGTATTCCATGCAATAGAAGCAGAAGGGTCTTTGCTAAACTCTTTCTACGAGGCTTCAATAACCTTGATACCCAAGCCACACAAAGACACAACTAAGAAAGAGAACTTCAGCCCAATATCTCTCATGAACATTGATGCAACAATAGTCAATACTGGCAAATTGGATCTAAGAACACATCACAAAACTCATCCACCACGACCAAGTAGGCTTCATCCCAGGGATGCAGGGATGGTTCAACATATGAAAACCCATCAATGTAATCCACCATATAAACAAGCTGAGAAACAAAGATCACATGATCATCTCACTAGATGCTGAAAAAGCATTTGACAAAATCTAATACCCCTTCAGGATAAAGGTCTTGGAGAGATCTGGGATAACAGGAACTTACCCTAACATAATAAAAGCTATATACAGCAAACCAACAGCCAACATCAAATTAAATGGATAGAAACTCAACGCGATTCCTCTAAAATCAGGAACAAGACAAGGCTGTCCCTTTTCTCCATACCTCTTCAATACTGTACTTGAAGTTCTAGCTAGAGAAATACGACAACAAAAAGAGATCAAGGGGATACAAATTGGAAAGGAAAAGGTCAAACTTTCACTATGTGCAGATGATATGATAGTTTACATAAGTGACCCAAAAAACTCTAAGGGAACTCCTGCAGCTGATAAATACCTTCAGCAAAGTGGCAGAATACAAGATCAACTCAAGAAAATCAGTAGCCCTACTATATACAGATGATAAAAGGGCTGAGAAAGAAATCAGAGAAACATCGCCCTTTACAATAGCCACAAACATAAAATACCTTGGGGGTATTGCTAACCAAACAAGCAAAAGACCTGTATCACAAGAACTTTGAGTCTTTAAAGAAAGGAATTAAAGAAGACACCAGAAAATGGAAAGATCTCCCATGTTCTTGGATAGGTAGGATCAACATAGTAAAAATGGCAATTTTACCAAAGCAATATATAGATTTAACACAATCCCCATTAATATCCCAGCACAATTCTTCACAGACCTTGAAAGAACAATTCTCAACTTTATATGGAAAAACAAAACACCCAGGATAGCCAAAACAGCCTTATTCAACAAGGCAACATCCAGAGGCATCACCATCCCTGACTTCAAGCTGTATTACAGAGCCATAGTCCTGAATACAGTTTGGTACTGGCACAAAAATAGACAGATAGACCAATGGAATCAAATTGAACACCCTGACATTAACCCATATACGTATGAGCACCTGATTTTTGACAAAGAAGCTAAAATTATACAATGAAAAAAGAAAGCATCTTCAACAAATGGTGCTGGCATAACTGGATATTGACATATAGAAGACTGCAGATAGATCCATGTCTTTCGCCATGCACAAAACTTAAATCCAAATGGATCAAAAACCTCAACATAAATCCAGCCACACTGAGCCTCTTTGAAGAGAAAGTGGGAGGCACCCTTGAATGAATTGGTACAGGAGACAGCTTCCTGAACATAACTCCAGTATCACGGACACTGAGATCGACAATTAATAAATGGGACCTCCTAAATCTGAGAAGCTTCTATAAGGCAAAGGACAGAGTCAACAAGACAAAAAGGCAACCCACTGATTGGGAAAAGATATTCAGTAACCACACATCTGATAGAGGGCTGATCTCCAAAATTTACAAAGAACTCAAGAAGCAAGTCTCCAAAACACCAAAGGATCCAATCAAAAAGTGGGGTACAGAACTAAATAGAGAATTCTCAGTAGAGGAGTCTAAAATGACTGAGAGACACTTGAGAAAGTGCTCAACATCCCTAGCCATCCAGGAAATACAAATCAAAACAACTCTGAGATACCATCTTACTCTTGTCAGAATGGCTAAAATCAAAAACACCAATGACAGTTTATGCTGGAGAGGATGTGGAGAAAGGGGAACACTCCTTCACTGCTGGTGGGAGTGCCTACTGGTACAGCCACTTTGGAAATCAGTATGGAGATTCCTCAGGAAAATGGGACTCAGTCTACCACAAGACCCAGCAATTCCACACTTAGGCATATACCCAAAAGATGCACATCATACAACAAGGATGTCTGGTCCACTATGTTCATAGCAGCATTATTTGTAATAGCCAGAACCTGGAAGCAACCTAGATGCCCCTCAACTGAAGAGTGGATAGAGAAAATGTGGCACATTTACACAATGGAGTACTGTTCAGCTGGAAAAAAAACCAATGGAATATTGAAATTTGCAGGCAAATGGATGGCACTAGAAGAAACCATCCTGAGTGAGGTAACCCAGTCGCAAAAAGACAAACATGGTATGTACGCACTCATTTATAGATTTTAGACATGAATCAGGGGAGTGCTAGCATACAACCCTATTGCCAGAGAGTCTGGGAAACAGAACCTTCATCCAGTAACTGATGAAAGCAGAGGCAGATACCCACAGACAAACACTGAACTGAACTCCTGGAATCCAGTGTCAGAAAGGGAGAAGTGATGGGCAAAGGAGTTAAGACTGAGCTGGTTTAACACACAGAAACAGTTGACCTGAACAAGGGGGAACGCTTGGACCCCAGATTGATGGCTGTGTGGAAAGCATGGGACTGATCTAGACCTCCTGAATGTGGGTGTCAGTGAGGAGGCCTAGGTAATCTACGGGATAGTATTTATCCCTGGCGTACAAATAGACTTTGAGTGCCCATCCACAATGAGAGATGCTCTCTCAGCCTGAACTCTTGAAGGAGGGCCTAGACCCTACCCAGGATGACATGACAGACTCTGGAGATCCACCATGGAGTGCCTCACTCTACTTGGGGACTGGAGTGGAGATTGGGTGGGGGACTGGGGGGCCCGGTGGGAAGGGACAGGGAGGAGGGGAGGGAGAGGGAGCTGGGATTGACATGTGAAACAAGCTTGTTTATAACTTAAATTAAAAAAAGAAAACAAGAAACACTATAGCCTTTAGTATGTATTTTTTATTTCTCTTAACCCTCCCATAGCGTCTCTGACTCTGTCAGTCCTAAGCAACCACCAGTCTGCCTTCTCTCTTGATAGATCTGGGGGCAAATTGTTAAATCTATCTGCTTTCTTTTCTAGAAAATTAGGTTGATAGGAGACACAGATACAGGTTAATAAACTTTAGTATATTATCAAAGCTGCGTATTCATCACCACAGTAAGTTGTGGTACATTTTCCTTACTCTAAAACAAGCCATACGTGGTGGCGCACGCCTTTAATCCCAGAACTTTGGAGGCAGAGGAGGCCAGCCTGGTCTACAGAGTGAGTTACAGGATAGCCAAAGATACACAGAAAACCCCGGTCTCTAAACATATAAAACAAAACAACAACAAAAACCCTGGAAGCATTTAGAAGCTTCTCCCTGTTTCCTCTCCACCTCCTCGGTCCCACACAACGCCTTGCCCCTTAGATTTGCCTTTTCAGGATAATTATATGCAGATGAAGATCACTTTAATATTTTCAAGGTTAATTCGTGGTTTGTTATTGCAACGCTCCCCGACGTCAGAGCCTGGTACAAGAAGCAAGAGGCTCAAATCCCCAAGACAGGTTCTCTCAATGTCTAAGCACAGGCAATTTCAATTCCACGCCCTTCGGTGACACGCCCCTGACTCTGTCTCCACGGCAACGCCAAACAGTTTCCTCTCTTGGGGCTTCCTTTGTGAGGCATGCTGCTTCCTCCTTTCTCCTCTCACCTCACGGCTCCACTCGGCGCATTCGGGTGCTCCGGCAGACCTCCCCACAGTCATCTTCCTAACCAGAGGCAGAAGCGGCGGTGACAGCGGCGGTGACAGCTGCGGTGACAGCAGTGCGGCTGCCCGGGCACCGCTAGCAACGCCCACTCACAGCCTTAGCCTCCGATTGGCTTCCGGTGTCCAGTCTGTCAAGAGGCGCTTTGTGATTGGCTTATTCTCTTCGCCCGCCTTATTTCCGGTTCTAAAGAGAAGGCTAAAGCAGTACAGGGTTGAAGGCCTCTGCCCCGGAAGCACTATCTCGGAGGGGGTCCGTGAGGAGTCCAGAGCGCAGGCGCAGCTCACTATGGCGGCCTGCATTGGCTCGATGACCGGCTTGCTGAGCGTCCGCTGGGGGACGGCCGGACGAGGCCCTCTCGTTGCCTGCCGGCGATGGGCGGGCTCCTCGGCCGACACCGTGTACGATGTGGTGGTGTCAGGAGGAGGCCTGGTGGGCGCTGCCATGGCTTGTGCCTTGGGTAGGTGCATCTCGACAGTGGCAGGTTCTGGGCTGCAGAGGGACGATGCTCACAGGGGGAGTCGGGCGCTGTACTAAAGCCCAAGCGTGCCTGTCCCGGTGGTTTGCCCGCCATCCTCCCAGGGGCGCCCTCGGGCTCACAGGAATGAGCGTGACGCTTCGGTCCTTGGGATCAAAAGTGGGCGGGCCTTGTAAGTCAGTCTGACCCTTGAACTGCCCAGGATTTATGAGCACCATGTGAGGAGGCATTGTTAGGCTTTGTAGTATTGAATAGTCGACCAGTTTGGAGTGGAACTCACAGACATCGCCTGCTTCTTTCTCCCGACTGCTGGCATTAAAGGCGTGCACCACTGCTGCCCGGCCCCAAAGCTGCTTAAGATAGAGTTCACATGGTTGTAAGTCGTCCCGCTTAAAGCATGCAATGCAGTCCAGGGAGTTTTTAGTGCATTCGCGGAGCTATACAGTCACTACAATACGTTTTAGTACATTTTCCTTACTCTACGAAACAAAACAAGAACCTTGAAACTCGTTAATAGTTACTCCGTTTTCCCTCAGCCCTAGATAGCGACTCTTCAACTTTCTATCTGCAGATTTGCCTTTTCTCGGTAGTTATATGTAGGTGAAGATGTACGTAAGTGTTCTCAAGGTTAGTCCACGTTACGATATGTATTAGAATAGCGTTCTCTTTGAGGGCTCAAGCAATACTCAGCTGTGGGTATGTGCCACATTTAGTTGACTCATTTATCAACTGATGAATATTTGATTTGTTTTCACTTTGGCCTATGACAGGCAGTACTACCAGGGACATTCCGTGTGCAAGTTTTGATATAGACATAGTGTTGGTTATCTTGAGTCTGTTCAGTGGAGTTTTGGGGTTATGTGGTAACTGTTTAATGTTTTGAAGAGCTGCCAAACTGAGAGATTGAACCATTTTACATTATCACTAGGAATATATGAATGTTCCTGATTGGGGGTGGTGGTCCCTCTGTATGCTGTGAATATGAGTAAGGCCGTTTTGGCCAATGAACAGGCAGTATGTAGCCAGGCAGGAAGTATAGGCGGTGCTGCCTCTTCTTGGGAGAGGAATGAAGAGGAGGAGTGCGAGGGAGCAAGAGGTCGGGGCATCACCCGCAAGCCGAGACCACGTAGAGACACAGATTAAGAGAAATGGTTAATAATCTTTTTGTTTCTTTGGTTTTTGGAGACAGGGTTTCTCTGTGTATCTCTAGCTGTTCTGGAACTCCCTCTGTAGACCAGGCTGGCCTGGAACTCAGAGATCCACCTGCTTCTGCCTCCCTAGTGTTGGGATTACCCAGCCACATTATTTCTTTTTAGCTTTATTGCCAATAGCAAATTATCTTCTGGTTCTTAGCTTTCTCAAATACTGGGGAGACTGCTGTAGGGCTTCACCCAGTAACCTTTCCAAGTTCCATTTCTCACTACAGGCCAGAAGAGGGCACCAGATCTCATTACAGACAGTTGTGAGCCACCTTGTGGCTGCTAACTGAACTCAGGTCCTCTGGAAGAGCAGCCAGTTCTCTTAACTTCTGAGCCATCTCTCCAGTTCTTTTTAAATTTACTTTTTTAAATTTTATGTACATTGCTGTTTTGCCTTATTTTTGTCTGTGTGAAGGCGTCAGATCCCCTGGAGCTGGGGTTACAGACAGTTGTGAGCTGCCATGTGGGTGCTGGGAATTGAACCTGGGTCCTCTTGAAGAGCAGTCAGTCCTCTTAAACACTGAGCCATCTCTCCAGCCCCCTCTTGCCAGTTCTTAAACCATAAACTGTTTATTCTATCTTTAGGCTTCAGCGAATTTGTCACCTTACGATCCTCCATTGTTGTGTGTCTCTGTCCCCCTCCTCACTTCTGTGTGTAAGTGCTCAGCCTCAGCTTAGAGATGAAGCCCCAGGCCTGGCTCACCGGAAGCTAGTGCTGTGTGCGCTCTTGAGCCGCCTGCATCCAGGCATGAGCTGTCCGTTTTAGTGACTTCACTCTGAGGTTATGAAATAGATAGCTACATTTTATTTCTTCACTATTCTTCCTAGAGAATTCTACTTGTTAATAGTTTTTTTCCACTGTTCACGTCTTTGTGTGTGGCGTGTAGTGAACTTTATCTGGAGATGCCGTACAGTTGTGTGGAGGGTGGCTGAAATTGAGGAATTATGTTATTATTTATGATAGTGGTTTTTTCCCTCTTAGGAAATTGGAATTGTTATTTTTGCAGTACTGAGATTGAATCAGGACCTCAAATTTGATAGGCACGCGCACCACCACTGAGCTACATCCCCAGCCTAGAAACTTAATTTCCAAGGCTAAGAGACTAGTTAATCTTTTGTCTTTTTGTTCAAGTTTTGTGTTTTGTTTGCTTTTGAGACATGTTCTCATTCTGTAGCCTAAGCTGACTGCAAAGTCTTGGCAGCCTTCCTACCTTAACCTTCAGGCACTAGGATTATAGGTGTCAGCTACCGTAGCTGGTTTATATTTGTTTCTAGTTGAAGACTTAAAACATAAAATCATACTTATTAATGGTGTGTCTTGTGATCTTTTGATACATACATATGTTGTCTAATTTTAAATCTGCTTAAACATTTAACATTTATTATTTCTCTATGATGAAAACTTTCAAACTTCTAGCTTTTAGAAATGTGTAATGTGGTGGCACACTAGGGAGGCAGAGGCAGGAGGATCTCTGTGAGTTGGGGGCCAGCCTGGTCTACACACAGAGAAACCCTGTCTTGAAATAGAAAAAAAGAAAAAAGAAATGTGTAACACATTTGTTATTAGCTGTAGTTGCCCTACTGTGTAATTGAATCCTTGGCTTTCCTAAAATGATTTAAAATGTTAATTCTTTTTCCTTTTTAGGGCATGATATTAATTTTCGTGACAAGAAAATCCTGTTGCTGGAAGCAGGTCCAAGAAAAGTCCTGGATAAATTGTCAGAAACTTACAGCAACAGAGTCAGCTCCATTTCCCCCGGTTCTGCAACCCTTCTCAGTAGTGAGTAGATGTGCCTGTCTCCTGGGACCTGTCTCCTTTCTTCTCGGCTTCCCCATAGGGCATAGAGCAGTCCCATAGGATGGTCACCAGAGCCTGTGAATTAAAGCACACAGTGGGAGTGAGCAGGTGGGCTTGGTATGGTCTTAGCTGAAGATGAGGACTGCTGGAGTTGGCAGTGTGTCAAGTCTTGATCTGAAGAGGCCATCTCGAGACATGTCTCCCTCATTTATGGTGTTAGGCCATTATTAGGTCAACTACATTCCCTGTAGTCCAAGTCAGTCCTCAAGTGGGCTGGAGAGTGCATTTTACCAGCCTTTTTTGGGTGTAGATGAATTGTCTTTCTGTTAGTGCTGCATGGCACTGTCAGGCTGGTCTACCTAGAATTGAGTTCTTTAGTCACTTTACAGCTTGCTTGCCCTTTCTTTTCCTTTCTCAGTTTTGGTTTTTTGAGACAAGGTTTCTCTGTGTAGCCCTGGCTGTGCTGAAACTCACTTTTGAGACCAGGCTGGCCTCAAACTCAGAGATCTGCCTCCCCCTGCCTCTCAAGTGCTGGGACTAGAGGCGTGTGCCACCACTGCCTGGCTTCTTTTCTTTGTTCAAAGTCAGGATCTGGCCTTGAACTTGATCTTGAATACTGGTCCCTCTGCTTCCACCTTCCAAGTGCTGGGACGACATGAGGCATCACCACACCATTTTATGTGGTGCTGGGGAGGTCACCCAGTCTTGTTTGAGGATGACTGCTCAGTTCCTACAGATTTTTCTTTCTCATTTTTTTTTTTTTTTTTTTTAGTTTCTTGAGACAGGCTTTCTCTGTGTAACTGCCTTGGTCCTAGAACTCACTCTGTAGACCAGGCTGGCCTCAAACTCCCAAGAGCTAGAATTAAAGGCGTGTGCCACCATGCCTGGTCCTACAGTTTTGTATTTATGACATTCTACCTGACATTATTTTCATGTTTATGTTGTCTGTCTCTCCAGCTAAAATATCATCTGCACAAGGGAATTTGTTTGTTCTGCTCTGAATCTAAAAGTATAGCCGGCCCTTGATGCTCAGTAAATGTTTCTTCAAAGCACAAATCTACTCAGTGCCATGAAAAGTTGAAAAAAATAGTCTTTAGAGAGTTTATAACTACTAAGCTAGCAAGGCAAAAGGATGGTGCTGGTTTAATTTTTCTTCTTTGGTTTCACTGCTCTACTGCGATCTTTTGATTCTTCTTCATGCTCTATAAGCTGGGACTGAAAGCAGAAGGGCTTAATCCCCGGCAGCATGCAGCTTTTCCCTTCTGATTTTGGAGACCATTGGAGGGCAAGTCCATGAGGTCACTGTGTTTCTTTTGTAGGTTTTGGTGCATGGGACCACGTCTGCAACATGCGGTGCAAAGCTTTCCGGCGGATGCAGGTGCCTCCTTTCCCTTAACTTTATGGGGATGTCTGGGTCTGTCTCATGTTACCTTGTTAGAGTTCACTTTCTGTGAATCAAATTTTAAATTCAGTGTGTGGGGGCATTCTTGAGAATCTGCTTACTTTTTAATTAATTAATTTGGTCCTTTTTAAGTAAGGGCTCAGGCAGCCTAGGCTTGTCTTGAACTTGTGTGGTTGAGGCTTGCCTGATCAGTGCCCTGTGTCCATGTCCCAAGCATTGGGCTCACAGGTGTGCCCACTGTTCCATCCTGCCAAAGAGGCTGCCAGACTGTGAAATGCTGCCTCTGTCCCCCTCTGGAAAGCCACGTTCAACCTTGGCTTGGAATTCTGTTTCATTTTCTTTAGTGTTAATGCACTTTCCTTTTGTGTTTGCAGGTGTGGGATTCCTGCTCAGAGGCCTTGATCATGTTCGATAAGGACAACTTAGATGACATGGGCTACATAGTGGAAAATGATGTCATCATGCATGCTCTCACCAAGCAGCTGGAGGCTGTGGCAGGTGAGCTGCCATCCCCATGCCTCTGGGAGTGATTGCCTCTGTGCTTGCCAGAAGAAAACACCCTTTTATTCATAGATACCGAATAGCCTCTACTGGCAAAACGTGGTGGCAGCCAGGAGGACTGCATAGTGAGTTCCAGGCCAACCAGGGATACATAGTGAGGTCTTGTCTCCAAAAAAAAAAAAAAAGAAAGAAAGAAAAGAAAAAAACGATAAAATCCTTTTAGGCTTTCTCTTTCTTTTTACCAGCTTTATTTAAAACAAAACCCGAAAAACTTATATACCATAAAATTCTCCCATTTTATGTGTGTGACTCAATGACTTTTGTTGTTTTTATAGAGTTGTGCAACTATCGCCACAGCATCCTTGGAATGTTGCCATCACTCGGAAGGAAACCTCACACCTACTTGTTGCCATTCCTCATTCTTGCCTGAACCTGTGCTTTCATCTCTCTAGAGCTGTCTGTCCTCAGCCGCTCAGAGGGGTGACTCACAGTGGATTAGTGGATTGGTTAGATCGCTCTCAGAATGTTTATGAGAAACAGTCACATTGCAGCATGAGCTGCTAAGACACTTCTTTTTATTGTTGAATAGTGTTCCATTGCATAGATATATCAGATTGGATCTGTTTATTCACCAGCTAATAGGATTTGGGTTGTTTCCACTTGGCAGTTGGTAAATAGTGTCGTGACTGTCTTGTGTGATGGATGGTTGGGTTCTCTCCAGTGCTCAGGACTGAATGCAGGTCTTGGAAGCTAAGCAATCTCTCTACCCCTCAGCTACTTTCTCAGCTCCCTGTTACTTTTTGTTTTGGACAGGGTCTCGCTAAGTTTCTCATGCTGGACTTAAACTCACTCTGTATTCCAGGCAGTTTCTAAGTTATAACTGCTTGTCTTGCACACAGACAGCTCGCACCAGCAGGCCCAGCAGCATGTGTTCTCATGTGTCCTGGTGGGCACGTTGAGGCAGAGTTACATCGTTGTATAATACATTTGTATTTAACAATCTCAGGAATTGCCCAGATGTTCGTCATTTCCCCTCCCCCTAGGTTAAGCAGCTCAGTTTCTCCGCAGCCTTCTCAGAGCTTGCCTTCTTCTAAATGACAGCTGTCCTAGTATGGCCTGCTGTGCTCTTGAATCTTACCTACCTAAAGAGTGATAAAGTTGTATCTTCTCATGTGCTTATTTGTAATTTGCTTTGGAGAAATGTCTATTGAAAACTTTTTGCACATCTAAAAATGGGTCGTTTATGTTTCTGATTTTTCGCTAGAAGAGTTCTTTGCATATTCTTGCTATAAAACCTGGAGAGAGATGAATTGCTCTATGTATAGTATCTTGGGATTCAAGTGAGAGAAAAACTGGAAGCAATTTACATGAGTTTTGCTCTTCTTTTTTTTTTCTTTCAGTCTTTTAAGACAGGATCTCATGTAGCCCAGGCTGACTTTGAACTCACTATGCTCAGGCTCGCCGTTAACTCTTGGTCTTCCTGCCACCACTTCCCAAATGCTAGAATTAGAGGCATGTGCTACTGTAGCCAGTTTACCAGGTGTTTTATATGGGATATTGTTCATTCATTCATGTAATGGGCCACCATCTAGCTTTTAAAATAATTTTGGGCTGGGCAGTGGTGATTGTGCACACTTTTAATCCCACACTTGAGAATCAGAGGGAGGTATATGTATGTGAGTTTGAGGCCAGCCTGGTCTATAGATTGAGTTCCAGTACTACACAGAGAAACCTTGTCTCAAAAAAAAAAAAATTAGGACTGTTGGTATGATTCAGTGGTAAATCAGTTGCCTAGTATGTAAGGCCTTGTGTTCCATCACCAGAATCACAATCACACTCTGTGTGTGTGTGTGGGGGGGGGGTTTGACTCAGGATTTCACTGTGTATCTCTGATTGGCCTAGAACTCCCTATGTAGACCAGGCTAGCCTCAAACTCATAGAGATCCACCTGCATTTGCTAGGATTAAAGGCATGCTCCTCTATGCCCGGCTGGTGCTTTCTCTTTTTAACTTTCTGACATTGCTCTTTACCAGCAGGTCCTGGGCCAGAATGTTAATCATTTGAGTTAATTTTAGACCTTGCTTTTCTTACTTGCCAGTGACAGGACAGGGCTGTCCAGGGTCCTTGTTTTTAGACTACTTACAGGACAGGGCTGTCCAGGGTCCTTGTTTTTAGACTACTTACAGAGGGACAGGACAGGGCTGTCCAGGGTCTTTGGCTTAGACTACTTACAGTTTGTGCTGAGTCCTTTACCCACCTTTCTGATGTTTTGCCTCTTTCTCTTTTGACTTCTCCAGACCGTGTGAAGGTTCTCTACAGGAGCAAAGCTGTTGGCTATGCCTGGCCTGGTCCATTTTCCATGGCAGACTCCAGCCCTTGGGTCCATATTACCCTAGGTGATGGCAGCACCCTCCAGACCAAACTGTTGGTAGTTGAAGATTCTTCCTTTGTCAGGGGTCTTGCATGTCCATACTTTAAATTCTAGAGTATATTTTCAGATGAAAACCATGGGTTGACTTTAGGGTATTGTTTATAGATCAACCAGCCCCTATTCAAGGCAGCCCGAGCTAAGATGTCTCACCCCTTCTGTATGGGAAGCAAGCTCATGGTCCAGCTGAGGCTAGGGAGCCAGGCCTCCCAGGACAGGATGGAACAGGACTGTTGGGAACTCAGGCTGTGTTCTTTTTTCTGTTCCAGAAGTCCCAGTGCCATTCATCTCCTTGTGGCTCTCATTTTCTTGTTTCTGTTAAACTCCAGTGCCCACTCTGTGCCCACCTTTCCGTGTTCATGCATGGAGAGACTGGTTGAACATGGCTGTTTCTGGCACCTCTTGGTTCAGATAGCCACTTTGGTCCTATTAGCTCAGCCTGAGGTCCCATTTTGTAAGGCTATCCCTATAGGGCTGTTAGTGGAACAGGCCTAATGGTTTCCACTCCAGTTGGGACTAGAAAAGGGGGCAAAGAAACTGGAACATTTTGATTTTGAAGTGGTTGTGAGACTTAGTAGGCCCTTGTATCCATGCAGATTGGTGCTGATGGGCACAACTCAGGAGTAAGGCGAGCTACTGGGATCCAGAATGTCAGCTGGCCCTATGACCAGTCTGCTGTGGTGGCCACTCTGCATTTATCAGAGGTAAGCTCTGGAGCTGCCATCTGGGGACCTTGTCCTGAGCACTCAGTACCCCTTACAAGAACTTTCCTTTTATTTTAGGCCACAGAAAACAATGTAGCCTGGCAGAGATTTCTTCCCTCTGGGCCTATTGCTTTGCTTCCGGTAAGAGATCCTCTGGTCAGTTAGCTCAAAGCCTTGGTCTCTGACTTCACTTTCCTTCAGCTTGGTATAAAGGGACTGTGCTCTAGGCAGGCATTGTTTCTGTTTCTCAGTTTCCTTTATGCTTGGAAATGTCCAAGTTCAGAAGAGGCATGTTTTTGTTGCTGCTGTTGTTTTTATTTTAGAACTGTCCCCCAGGCTGGCCTGACACTCATCCTGCTATGTGCTGTGATTACAGGCATGCGCCACCACACCAGACTGATGCTCTTCTTTTGTACAGCTCTCAGATACCTTGAGTTCCTTGGTTTGGTCCACATCCCATGACCATGCAGCAGAGCTGGTCAGCATGGATGAGGAAGAGTTTGTGGATGCCATCAACTCTGCCTTTGTGAGTATCACCTGCCCTACTCCTGCGGTTGAGGAAAACGGAGTAATCATGCAGCTCCTCTTAGCGAGTACAGTCCTTGGTTTAGATTCTGGGAGGGCATACAGGGAATGCAGAACAATGGAACCTGGGCTGCTGTGCTGATAGAAAGGCCAGCCAAGTAAGTGGGTCATGTAGACATTCCTATGGCGTAGCCCCTTTGAGTAGTGCCTTCTATGTAGTAGGTTCTGGAGACAGACTGCGCAGACAGCCCCTGCCTCCAGGAAGTACACAGTCAAGTGAGAGGCGATGACAAGTACAGTCCAGACGGCTGTGTGCATAGGATGATGTGGGACAGGGAGGAGGGTGCAGAGGTGTTCAGTAGGTGTGCAGGGCGCTCTGTGCTTTACCTAAGCGCAGAGGCAGAAGGATAGACAGCATAGGGTGGGCTTCACTCTACTACTTGGTAGCTACTGCTGGGGACTAGTGGAAGGTAAAGTTCACTCTTGTCAGGGCCAACCTAGAAATATTGTGAGAATGCTGGAAAATGGAGTTTTGCAAGTGTTTTAAGGGCTTTGTCACTCATGAACAAGATCAGTTTAGGCGTGCTAGGATGTTAGGTAGCATCACCCTTAGCTTTGGTTATAAAGGGTTGAGTTTCTAATTGTTTACTAATAAATCTCACCATGTGGGGGCTGATGGCATGCAGTGGAGTGACGCTAACCACACAGACTTCGTGGACTCGGCCAGCACCATGATGCACTATGTTGTCTCCCTTCTGAAGCCAACTAAGTTCTCAGCTCGTCAGCTGCCCCCAAGTATAGCCAAGGTGGATGCTAAAAGCAGAGCCCTCTTTCCTCTGGGGCTGGGACATGCCTCGGAATACGTCCGGCCTCGGGTGGCACTCATTGGGTAAGACCATAATGGAGCAGGCCACTCCTTTCTGTGTTGCTGGAGGCCACACCTGAATGCTGCTTTATTCTTAGTGATGCAGCCCACAGAGTGCATCCGCTTGCAGGACAAGGAGTCAACATGGGCTTTGGGGATGTTTCCAGCTTGGTTCGTCACCTCAGTTCAGCGGCCTTCAATGGGAAGGACTTAGGTAAGGTCAGGACTGCCAAACTGTGCTTGGTAACAAATGTGGTAGTGTCCGCCGGGGGGAGGAGGTCTTTTATTACTGGAGTAGGGGTTTGAGTTTTCCTCCTGGTTTTTAACTCCAGGTTCCATGAGCCACCTTACAGGCTATGAAACAGACAGACAGCGTCATAACACTGCTCTTCTGGCTGCTACTGACCTATTGAAAAGGCTCTATTCAAGCAGGGCCACGCCACTGGTGCTGCTCAGGACATGGGGCTTGCAGGCCACGAACGCAGTGCCTCCTCTCAAAGTAAGTGGTCACTTACAGCTCTCCAAGATTCTCCTTACTGTGGAAAGACTGCAGAAATTTTAAAGTTCTTGCTTATAGCATTATTTTTATTGTCGTTACTTTTGAGGTAGGGTCTTAGTATGTAGGCCTGCCTAGCCTGGAACTGACGAGGTAGACCAGACTGTTTGAACTCAGAGTGACCCATCTGCTTCTGCCTGCGGTGTGCTGGGATTAAAGGTGTGTGCTGTCATGCCCAGCCGCTATCCTCGGTCTACCTTCCCAGCTGGTTATGAATAAGAGTATCTGCTGGGTTTGTTGGTGCCCACATCTCGGGAGTAACTTGAAATACATAGGAAGGGCTTAAGAACACAGGGCTGAGGGCTGGAGAGATGGCTCAGTGGTCAAAAGCACTGGCTGTTCTTCCAGCACCTACCCAGTGGCTCAAAGCCATCTGTAACTCCAGTCCTAGGGGACCAATGCCTTCTGGCTTGACTGGATTAGGTAAGCATGCGGTATCTAGATGTACGAGTAGGCAAACACCCACACAGATATGAATACATTAAAAATACAGGGCAGGAGAGGCGGTTTAGCAGAGAGTGCTGCTGCTCTTGCAGAGCTCAGTCCCCAGCACCCATGTTGGATGGCTCACAGCAGGCACTGGTGTTCATGGGAGTACATACGACAGCAAACATGCGGAGACTGAAGAAAACTTCCAGGAGTTCATCTCTCCTTCCACGGGGGATTACAATCATCCAACCCGATTGTCGGGCTTGTGTGGCAAGTGCCTTTACCTGCTGAGGTTCTTACAGCTGAAAGAAATCGGAGTCCTGGGAGGAGTGTGACCTGTGCCATGTTTCTCCCTTAGTCACCATGGACGTTTCATTATGAAGACACCTGTCCTCTCCCTGCCATGACCAAGTACCACTCACCCTTTCCTTTTTCTCCAGGAACAGATAATGGCCTTTGCCAGCAAGTGAGTGCTCCTCTTCTGGAGATCATGTTGATGACAAAGAACATCTATCCCCGTGTCCATCACATGTGCTCCCAAGACTATTTAATAAATTTACACTAGAACTTGTGTCTGTTTCCCTCTTCTGCTTAGTGGGCCTGTGGAGCCAAAACAGTGAGTGACAGCTAAGGAAAACCCTGGGGGAATTATTTGATTGAAAGGAGCTTTGTATTACTAAACAAATCACTGAGATGCCCTAGCCCTCATTTCACGCGGTAACAATCTTTTCTAAACAGAGTACTTTAATGCTGTCACAAATTTATACAATTATCTTGACAGAGTTAGAAATACTTGGCACATTTTGTTAGAGTGTTGTTTTAAAATTAACACCGGCATGCCAGTTACACACAAATGGCCTTGACAAAGTACACGGGGCTTTAAGGCGGAAGCGAAGACAAGTAACGGCCAGGTCTTACTCACACTATAGACCTTATCACAGTACCGCAGCTCAGCTCTGCTTACGCCTCCTCTGTGACGTCATCCTCTGTTCATCCTGCTACTAAAACAATAAACAACCACACTGCACATGCTGCTGCCGAGGCCTCAGGAACAACCCGTCCATGTGCAGGGCAGGCGGCTAACAGGGAGTGCTTTGTTACTTGGACTTTTGAAAACACTTACTGCACAGCACCAGAGAGGCCTCCAGAAGAGAACTTTACCTGTGTTACATAAGAAAGTCTTGCCCAGAAGGGTTTTGAAAAGATGAAATAAAATCTCCTTTTCAATCAAGCTAAACTGTTTTGGAATAGTTTTTGAAGGGTTAAGACAGCTGTTGCAACAAGACAGCTTTTTAAACAATATGGAAAACTTAGTACAGATGTCAGTAATGTGATGTCAGTAAACCCAGAAAATGTCCCTAGAATAAAAGATTGCAGCTGCTGGGAAAAACTAATGGCCAGAGACTATCAGGACAAGGTCACCTTTTGCAGAAAGTTGGCCCTGATAAGAATACTGACTCCAATATATGTGTGTGTGGGGGGGGGGGAGTTAAAGAGATGAGAACTTTAAGGCACACTTTCAAAAGGACATCTATAATGTCCTTCATATAATAGTGATAACACATACAACATCCACCACGTACCAGACTGCATCCCTAATAGTGAGGATGACAAGGTCGGCATCTACCATAGACAAGACTACATCCCAGGTATTTAAAATATATTTACATTTTCACAGAGATGAGACTTGCCAGCAACATCAAAACACATAGGACCCCCTTAGAAAAAAAAAGGACCATGTTGCCAGGTGGTGGCAGCACACGCCTTTAATCCCAGTATTTAGGGAGGCAAGGCAGGTGAATCTCTGAGTTCCAGGCCAGCCTGGTCAACAGAGTGAGTTCTAGAACAGCCAGGGCTACACAGAGAAACTGTTTCAAACAATAACAAAAAAAGGCCCATATCTTTTTTTTCTCCCCTAAGAAAAGTTAAGACTCCAAATTGTATTAAAAAGAACAAACTGGTAAATCTCCAGACACTGGTCAAGATTAGCAGGATATATGCAGAAAATTTCTGAGGTGACAGTCCACCAACATCTATTTAAGAGGCAGCTGGCAGTATCCAAGGTAACAGAAGGAGTCTGGGACACTATTCACTTCACAGCTGCGGTGCCTGTGTCTGAAGCTTCAGATGCCGTCTGTGGTAGAAAGACCAGGAACTCCCGTGTCAGCTGGAGCTGTCTGCTTTGTTATTTAGTGCTGGGGACTGAATCTAGGACCTAACATGCTTTGCCACTGCAGTCTTTTTTTTTTTTAATCTATGTATACAGATTTCATTATAGATGGTTGTGAGCCATCATGTGGTTGCTGGGAATTGAACTCAGGGCCTCTGAAAGAGCAACCAATGCGCTTAACCTCTGGGCCATCTCTTCAGCCCCACTGAAATCTTGAAACCCCTCTCCCTTTCAAAATTTTGAGTGTCTTACTGAGTTTCCCAATGGCTATGTAGCAAGTCTGACTTGTAATCCTCCTGCCTCAACTCCAAGTTAGTTAAAATTACAGGCTTGTGCTTATAAGGCCTGTTGTAGCGCTTACTCTTGGGGGAAGCAGCTTGGTTTCTCTCAACTGACACAGCATTTAGTGGACTATGACAAGTCTAATAAATTTTTTAGTAGACCTGGTAAACAGTCTACAAAGTATGCCTCATTTTTTTAAGCCTAAAAGCTTAGTTTCTTCAAATATTCTAAAAGGTTTTGGAGTAGGAGACAGGAGACGACGGAAGGAAAGGAGGTAGCCCTCAGCTAATGAAGCTATAAAAACCAGTGACCTTCTAAGTGGAAAGGAGCTGCCTGCAAACACGTAGCAAGTTGGATGGAGAACCCTGCTAGATACACAGAGTAGGCATTACATAGGAAATTGGATTTTATCTTTGGGCTGTTTCATTATGTGTGAGCATTGTGGGTTTCTTGTTTATTTTGTTTTTTTGAGACAGGGTGTCTCTATGTAACAGCCCTGGCTGTCCTGGAACTCATTCTGTAGACCAGGCTGACCTTGAACTCAAGAGATCCCCCTGCCTCTGTCTCCCAGATGCTGGGATTCAAGGTGTGCCTGGGAGCATTGTTTTGAAGGAGACAATAAGTGAAGGTGAACTTAGTAATAGAAGTTTGTGCCAGGTTCAGCATATAGTCTCTGCTACTCGGGAGTCTAAGGTGAAAGATCACATGTGTCCAAGAAACTCAAGGCTAACTTAAGCAACAGTGAAACTGGTCTCAAGACATAATTACAGTGTGAAAATCTGAAGAAATTCCACATTTAATCAAAATATAACAAAACTCCTAAAATTGGGGGGGTACACATTTGCCTACTTTTTTTACGCAGCAGTCAATAATACGCACTGACTGAATGCAATGGCTTCCAAAAGAAGCTTCCCAGGGCCTGCCAGGGGCCAGGCCTATTCACATCCTTGGGGAGGAGTGGAAGGGAGGGGGTGACTTCCCTGCAAAGAGAAGAGGAAGGGTAAAGTGCTGTGAGAGAGGAGCTGGGCAGCAGAGACGTTTCAAACCCAGGGCTGAGCAGGAGGCAAGCCAGTGACAGTCACACAAGAAACGGCATGGTGACTGTTTGTTTTTGTTTTTTCAAGACAGGGTATCTCTGGGCAGCCCTGACTGTCCTAGAACTCACTCTGTAGACCAGGCTGGCCTCAGACTCAGAGATCTACTTGCCTCTGCCTCCCAAGTGCGAGAATTAGAAGTGTGCGCCACCACTGCCTGGCAAAAAAATTTAAGATAATGACTTTATAATGTAGTAGAGCACCTGTGCCTAGTATGCATTTCAACCTGTGTTCAATCTCAACACAAAGCGTGGCCTGAGAGAAAAAACATGGTTCTCTAGAAGTATTAGTCCTTGTTCTGACATGGGCCAAAATAGCCAATGAAATCAAATGTTGGGTCTCACTGGAAAGGGGATATGAAATCCTGATCTAGACAATAAATTCAGAAAATAGTAGCAAAAATCGGCAAGGGCCCAGGCAGGAAAGCACTACTATTAAGAGCAAAGTGGTAGCACATTGTGCCTAACATGCAAGAAGTCCTGAGTTCAATCCCCAGCACTTTCCATACCTGACCCTCAAAAGACAAAGTGACAGTGTTGGTAATCTCTAGACTCAAACAGCACACACACTAACTTCTAACCACAGACCAAAACTACAGTGCAGATGTATTTCACAGAAATACAAAGATACTAGTTCAAACCCACTGGCCTGGGCAGCAGTGCACTGGGCATGCACACATCTCTAAGCCTGTGTGTGCACTAGCCCAGAGTGGACTGAGAAGTCAAGGTAGTAAGGAAGCAACAGCCACGCTCTGCAACAGCTGTCCCTTGCCGCTGGGTGGCCCTCTTTCTTACAGCTCTAATCTAGGCACAGTGAAAGAGGTACTTTCTCCATCTTGCTAAGATTTAACATGAGATGAGCATGATGACTCACACCGGTAACCCCAAGACTCAGGAGGCTGAGGCAGGAGAATTGATAATTCAAGGTAACCTGGGTTACACAGTAAGTACCAGCCCACCCTGGGCAACATAACATAACCCCTATCTGAAAATTAAATACCCAGGACAACTTTAAACTCTAAACTGGTTGGTTGATCTACTGTGTCATAGTCATCACATAAATTCTAATATAGTATCTTTTTCCCCTTTGATTACAGATGGAAAACAAAACTAGGTATTTCCCACCTTGGGTCTTAGGGTAGGAATGTAATAAGGGTAGGAGAAAAAATAAAATAAAATAATACCAGTATTGATAGGTTATGGGACTTCAATAAGTCAGCTTAATTTAGCTGATAAGCAAAAAACTAAAACATCCAAAGGAATGAGGCACTCCAAGGGTTGAAATGAGATTTTTCTTTGGTTCCCAATGACCCATCTCTGAACTCGCAATCTAACATGGAGTTCCAAACCTACTCTTTTTTCTTCACAGACTCTGTGACATACAAAGAATCTCAAAAGATTTGTACTCTGGCACCAGCTGTGCACCTGCCAAGTGGTTAGGGAGCTGTTCACATTAGATGTGCAAAACTGATTAAGACCAAATCACTAGGCTCAAGGGGCAACACTCATTATAAACCCCCTCCCTCCTAATAAAGCCAGTCAATGGGTTTCAGGCCAGGCTTTCGCCAGCGTAGTTCAGAAAATGCCCGAGTCCTCTCCTTCCTGTAAAAAGAAGTTCAGAAGTGCAGGTTTCCAAGGGCACGCTGAGCCTCAGCTGGAGATGCCCAGAGACTGCAGCAGGTGAAAGGTGGCCCCCAGGGCCCAGCCCGTCTCTATGTTGTTCACTTTCTTTGTGAGCTGTTGAAGAAGAAGAAAAAGTCTTCACATTTTCATCCCATTTTCAACATAAGCAAGCATGGCCTTTACCTGTAAAGAGTACTCAGGGACGCCCTAATTGCCCCCATGTCAGCGTGCTCAGGCCTGAGTACTTTGGGCCCAGGAAGCAGTACTGTCCAGACATTTCTAGATTTTGTCAGAAAAGGATTCAGGATTGCCTTAACCTGCTAAGGCAATCGTAATGTAATGTTCGTGGATGTGGTGGGAAGGGGCCTGGCAAGAGCTGGCAATGTATTTAGAGTAGAAAAGCACATTCTCAGCTTTCTGATTCTGGGTGAGGCATTCTTCACCACACTGTCTTGATAGCTCAGTGCCTTCAATGCTTTGAACACAAGTTTAGAGCTGGTCCCTCTGTTACAGAAAGGGGGATTAGGTTAGTGTTTACCAAACTGTTTTCCTAAGACTCCTTCCTCCCCTTCCTCATTGATTTCAGCACGTGCAGGCTCTGCTTCATCTGTAATAAACTACATGTAAAATAGATCTTTTAAAAAATATTTTTCAGCTTTATTATGTTTTTAAAATTATGTGTGGATGTGTCTGCCTGTGGGTATGTACTTATGAGTGCAGTTGCCTGTGCAGGTCATAGGTGTTGGATCTCTTGGAGCTGGAGTTACAGGTAGTTCTGAGCCACCTGCTAAATGCTAGGAATTAAACACTAGTACCCTGGAAGAGCACTGTCGTTGTATGAATGTAATTGGCTCCCATACACTCATAGGGAGTGGCACTATCAGGAGGTGTGGCTTTGTTAAAGTAGGTGTGGCCTTGTTAGAGGAAGTGTGTCACTGTGGAGATGGGCTTTGAGGTCTCCTATGCTCAAGTCACACCCAGTGTCTCAGACCACTTCCTGCTGCCTGTGGGTCAGATGTCAGAACTCTGAGCTCCTTCTCTAGCACCATGTCTGCCTCCATGCTGCCTTGCTTCCCACAATGACAATAATGGTTTAAATTTCTGAACTGTAAGCAAGCCACCCAATTAAATGTTTCTGGCTATGAGTTGCTGTGGTCTTGTCTCCTCACACCAATGGAAATCCTAAGACAAACAGCAATATTCGTAACTTCTGAGACAAGCAGCAAACTTCTTAATTTCTTTACAGCCTCTAAAATATACATTTTTGTTTGTTTATTTGTTTTTTGAGACAGGGTTTCTCTGTGGCTTTGGAGGCTGTCCTGGAACTAGCTCTTATAGACCAGGCTGGTCTTGAACTCACAGAGATCTGCCTGTATATTTTATATATCATGTTTTAACTACAAGTATGTATGTGTACTGTGTGTGTACCTAGTACCCACAGAGCAGAAGACAGTGTCAGATCCCCTGGAATCATAGTTACAGGGGCTGTGAATCAACATGTGGGTCCTGGGAACCAAACCTGGGTCCTCTGCAAGGGCAGCGAGTACTCTTAACCACTAAGCCATCTCTCCAGTCCCTCTAAAATATATCTTATGAATTTAATACAATTTATTTTCTTACTTTCTATACCACTATTGATTACAAATTATATTTACAAAGATGGTTAAAATGTTATCCTTGTCCTCAAGCTGCAGAGTCTATTAGAAGAGATTCAACTAACTCTCCAGCAGACTTAGAATACACAGGATATACTACATATGCTTGAGACACTGATGAGGTCAGTCACTCAGTGTTAACATCATTGTGTAAAATAAGACAAGGGGTAAAGTAAGCCAGTTACCAGGCAGGTGTATCTGCCTCACAGCCTCTCTGAATACAAGTCTGTGATGACTCCAGCTACTTTTTATCTTGTGCTCTCTTGATCAGGTGTCAGCTTAAGTTCTTACATAATCGGTGGCAGTTGAGGACATACAAACCCAAGATGAGGAACCTGGGATCCAGGAAGTGCGGCCCTTCCAACTTGCTTGCACTGTATTCTGATGTTTATTTCTCCCATCTCTTTCTCAGTGCTGCTTCTCACTGAGTTCTAAACTGACTTCATAAACAATGTGACTTGAGTACCTTCAGTGGGCTCCAAGTCTTTCTGTCCTGCAGGATACCATGCCTGGTACTACACTCAGAGACTATAACTGCATCCTAGTGTTTCATGTGTTTGTGGTATCTAGCAGGGTACCCTGGCTTCAGCCCAAACAAGAACATCTGTTACTATGATTACTAAACAAGTTCTTTCGCAAAGCAACAAGACGGTTGTAAGACTCCAGTGCTCATTCTTACCTGTAAAAGGGTGCCATCTGCAAAACCAAAGCCATCTTTTAATAAAGCCGTGATGTAACTGAGATCCATGCATAGGAAAGGACTGCCTGAAGTGAAGCTCTCCAAGTTATCACACACTAAAAGTAAGAGAGCAAACAGCATTCAAGTTTGCAACTAAGAGATGGAGGATCTTCTCTAGCTGTAGACAGGGCTTGAGTAAGCAAAAATGTCACCATTTAGGTGGTGCCGGGGCTTCCTGCAGACTAGGCTGTGTACCATACACTTCTGTATACGGTGTACTGTATACTTCTGTGTACTGAAGCAAGACCATAGCCTCTTTAGAATCTGCACATTCCTGGTAAGAAATCATCTATTCTCCAGTGGCAGTGGTTGCCTTTAATACCAGTACTCAGGAGGCAGAGGCAAGGCCAGCAAGGTCTTCAGAATGAGTTCCAGGACAGTCTGTCTTGAAACAAAACAAAAATCATCTATTCACATTTACGTGCATCTTAGTTGACTTGCCAATTATGGGTGTGGAGGGGAGAATAAGCAGGGGAAAGGCTCTGCTGGAAATCAAGCCCAGGGCCTTGCACATACCAGGAAGTTCTCAACACCTGAGTTATACTCTCAGTACCCTGCTTTTCAGATTTCTATGACATACTGTGACCACTCAATACCAAGCCCCTAATTGAGGCTCAGAGGACAGAGAAATACAATGTAATCCTCTCCTGTGGCCACTGGAAAAGATCCTTTGTATTTTAGATTTATTCTCTCAAAGATGTGCCATGCATTCTGGTGTTCAGTCTTTTATTACTGTTGATAACCCTGGTTCCAGTTTAAAGAGAGAAAGAGAGAGAATGCCAGGCTGAGTGCATAGCTACCTCAGGTGTTAGAATGACTTCGTAGCATTCATGAGTCTGGATTCCATCCCAACTATCACATTAATTAGTCACAGTGACTCATGCCTAAATCCTAGCACTTAAGAGGTGGAACAGAAGTCAAGGTTATCCTCAGCTACCCTGCAAATGTGAGGCCATCCTGAGCTACATAAGACTGTCTCAAAACAAAACAAGAGAAACACAACAGATAATAGTATTGCAATAATAACAATAGGGAAAGTGTAGAAATTTTGTTTTTTTATCTATTTCCTGAAGTGTCTTAGATCCCCATGTTCTTATTCGACAGTACCTAATGCATCTTCCAGCAGACGAGAAGGCTCAGAAGGGAGACAGTCCCAAGAGACCCTGCACTGGCAGCCACACCTGACAACTCAACTTTAAGAATTTCCTGACACTTACCTTCCCTGGCTTTTCTTTCAAAATCTTCAACTTTTAAAACACCACCCTTTTCATAATCTAAAGTGAAACAGATAGCTATTGTCAAAAACTTCAAGGAAACAAGAACATTTATCCTAGTAATAAAAACTAGAAATATACAGAACTTACAGCATAAAAGACTGATAAACATGATATCTGTACAATACAAATCATGCTGCCTGTTTTATTTTATTTATATACAATTAATGCATGTCCCATTTTGTATTACATATTTAACCACAATAAAAATGTAGGTTCATTTAAAATTTTAGCAAATGGGGGAGGGGAGGCACTGGAGAGACTGCTCAATGGTTAAGAGCACTCACTGCTCTTGCAGAGGGCTTGGATCTGATTCCAGAACCCACACCAGGTGGCTCATAAGCCCCTGTAATTCTAATCCCAGAGGATTTGATGCCCTCCAGTCTCTGCAGACACCTACACACATGGTACTTATAAAGACACACAGGCACATACACACAAATTAAAAAGTACAGTAAGCAAGGCAGTAAATCATCTCTCTCGGGTCATATGTATACTCACACCTAAACAAAAACACAACTTCTGCGATAAGAAAAAAATATTCCTAAAAGAACAGGAACTTGGGGTGATGACTGTAAATCTTGAACGCGGGGAGGTTCACAGCTACATACATGGCAAGGTTTGACAAACAGTATGAAAGCAACATGTGCACTTACTGTATGTCAATTTGTTACGATTTGGATAGGAAATGTCTCCAGTAGGTTCATGTGTTGAAGGCTTGGTCTCCACACAGTGGAGTCCCCAGTCACTCCCTCAACAAACTAAACTACAGATGCATTCATAACTTGATAGTATAATTGGGAGGTAATGGGAACTTTTGGAGTGGAGCTTAGGTGGGGAAAGTGGGTGAATAGGAATGTGTTGTTGAGGACTCTACTCTATTGAGGTCCCATCCTCTGCCTCCTCCTCCTTCCTGGCTGCCACGAGGTAAGCAAATTTGCTCCTCTACGTCCTTCCACCATTACTTTTTGCTTTACTGTCACAGAGATGAGAAAGTTGCTGACCATGGACGGAAACCTCTGAAGACATATTCCAAAAGAAACCCTTACTCCTCCAATGTTTCTCTATGTTTAGACACAATTACAAAACAGCTAACAACATATAATTTTGTAATAAAGATAAAAAGCAAGTTGGGCCTGGTAGCACAGCTACTGCAGAGGCTGAGGCAGGGGAATCATAAGTACAAGGCCTACACAGGGTACATAATCTCAAAGCCATCTCCGGCGACTTGGAGAGATCCGTGTCAAGATGAAAAGTTAAAAAGGGGGCTTGAGATACAATGAGGTGGTAGAGCCTAGCATGTGCAGAGGTTCTGGATTCAGCCCCAGTACTGAAAAACCAAAGTCAAGCATGGAGGCACATTTGCATAGCCCTAGTACCCAGAAGGCCTGGGCAGAAGGATGGCTACTAATTTGAGGCCAACCTGGGCTACATAGTAAAACTCTGCCTCAAAGGAACAGCCTTTATGAACAGTTAGGTCATTTTCCACTTCCCAAAGATCCCGAGGATATTCACCTTTCCATTCTAGTGGCTGGTGTAACTCTCCTGGAGAAGCTGGTCAATCACTCCAGCCAACACGCCCTGTAATGCTCTTGACCTTCCCGGGCATAGTCCCACTCTCCCTTCGTGGCCTGGCCCCAGGCAGGGAACTCACCAATCAAGTGCGTATCGGCAGCTCGGTCATAATAGTAGGAGAAGGCATAAAAGGAGCTTCCCCGAATCTCTTCCGGCTGGTGCAGTTTCCCTTGCACCACCCTCAGCACTTCTGCATAGCAGGGCTCGAAGCCCATCTCCCCTGCGAGGGAAAGAGTCTGTCATCTGAGAGTGAGGTGTGGCGAGAGTCACCTTCTGTGGCAGGCAGGCGGATGCATGGAGCCAGCCTTTGAGCAGCAGTAGTAGGGCCTGCACTGCTGGGGCTGAGCTTAGGCCTGAGCCCTTCCTTCACAGCCAGGAGGGCAAGGAGCTCTTGCAACAGCTGGACAATCTGAAGGGGGCGCGGACCCAACTGCTAAAGTGACAGGTGTCGTGGGGTCCAAGCTGTCCAAGGCATGAGTTGTCCACAAATGCACTGACTGGACCCTTGTAATCGTTACATTCAGAGAGAAAGGGGCAACAAGCAAAGGCCCCGGGCCTGCACTCCGGGAGGACTGGAGTCAGGTAGAGCTGGCTATCTAAGCCTGAGAAACTGAGGACAAGACGCCACAGCAGACCTCGGTAACTGCTGCAAGGATGCAGTGAAGGCCTGGGATCCCCTCAACACCAATCAGTCCCTGGGGCTGAAGGCTCAGTGAAGAGCACTGGCTGCTTGTTAAAAAGCTTATTATTTTATGTGTGTAAGTGTTTGCCTGGATATATTTCTGTGCACCACCAATTATCTGGTGCCTTCAGAGTCCAGAAGAGGCATTGGATCCTCTGGAAATGGATTTTCAGACAGTTGTGAGCCACCATGTGGGTACTGGGAATTGAACCTAGGTCCTCCGAAAGAGCAGCCAGTATTCTTAACCACTGAGGCATCTCTCCAGTCCTGCTTCCTGCTCTTGTAGAGGACCTGGGTTCAGATCCCAGCAACTATGTGAAGGCTCATAATTAACTGTCTATACCTCAAGTCCTAGGGGATCTGACTCCCTCTTCTGACCTCCATGGGTACTAGGCACACACATGGTACACATACAAACATGCAGGCAAAACACAAAACATACATACACATAAAAAATAAATCTTGAAGCCGGGCGTTGGTGGCACACGCCTTTAATCCCAGCACTCGGGAGGCAGAGGTAGGCGGATCTCTGTGAGTTTGAGACCAGCCTGGTCTACAGAGCGAGTTCCAGGACAGCTTCCAAAACAATACAGAGAAACCCTGTCTCAAAAAAACAAAAAAAAATCTTGAAAATGACAAAAACATGAAATGACTGAAGAAAACACAAAAGGTCTGATAGGTCTTAAAAGCCACCATGCTCCCGCTTGCCGTTATGTTTCAGGGTCTTTGTGAGCCATTACTCAGAAAGCTTGTTTCCTTCTCTGAGCTAACAGAATTCCCCGTCTGTGCCTTCCACAGTCCCTAAAATGAATGGTTATCACCTCAGTTTTGGTTTTACTGTAACTGAGATTGTTAAACACACACTGGACCCAAAACAGGGATTCCTACTGCAGCACTAGGCAGATCACAACAGGTCTCTACTCCTCTGATTCTCTCTGTCTCCCTCTCTCTCTCTCTCTCTGCCTGGCTATTACAACAGGTTTCTAACACCACCACGGGACTCAGAACAAGATGCTGATTAGTTGCTACCTTGCTTGCTGGTCTCTGAAAATACCAAGAGTAAGTGTTTTCAAAATAGTAAGTCTCTCCTGAGCTCTGGAACAAGTGCCTATAGGACTTTCCCAGAACATGAAGGTAATTTTAACCACGGAAGAAACACCACCATTCACCTTCTTGGTTGCCACCATACTGATATTTCACACCCCCAAAGATCCACTCTGCTTCCAGCCATCTTGGTAGACAGGCACTTCGAAAAGTATGTCCATCGGTCCCTGAAAGAACCGCAGCACAAGAAGGCAAGCGTGAGAGAGGGAGGCAGAAGCAGGCCGCACACGAGAGGCCGAAAGGAGTCAAGGCGACTGGGCCTTGAATCCTACAACATGAGTTCTTTGGCCGCATCCTGTGACGTGGATTCTCCCCGGGTTTGTGGCAGAGGTGAACCCTCTACGATCAGAGGCAAACTTTCATGCATATGCACATTTGGCAGAGGATTTATAACTTTTATCACATCCCAAAGAAATGAAAAAAAAAAACATAGTAAACTGAGTACTGAGTTCCTTTCTTTAATAGAGGAAAATTCTTCCACTGGTTAAGAGGTTAAATGGAATAGCATTGAAGATATTCAGTAAACTCTGAAATGCTATATATTCCTCATTCCAGTACCAGCTTACTGTGAGCAAGGTGCTGTTCGGAATGCATTAGATACAAAATCATGTTTAAGGGCACAGGAAGGTCAATGATTTATTCCCAATCACAAAACTGGGATTGCAGCCAGTCTGCCTGAGCCCAGCTGTGAAGACAGAAAGGGAACTGCTCAGTCATTCCACTTGGCAAATAGAACTGACCTTGTTTCCTGACAAAGGCTTGTGCAAGTTCCTACCAAACACTGTTGAGGCTTCAGCCTGCAGCCAGGTTTTTACCTCGATATAAGTAGCCCTCACCCTCAAGGTAACAAATAAATACCACAGCACCAGCCATTTTTATGTCTGTTATGCAACATTTGCATCTCAAATCAACACAGCCCTTTGCTCCAGGGGATGAGTGCCGAGGAAGGGAAGAGGCAAGCTGCATTTGGCATCAATCACTCTCACTATTTCCCTCAGACAAACCTTCTGTTTCCAGGGCTCCCAGGGTTGCCAGTCTTGCAGCTTTCAATCCAAATCCCAAGTAACTGCAAAAGACAGGATTGACCGATGTCAGGCTGTCCTGGATGTTTTCAGCCCACTGCTGCCTTTTTCAAATGTGACATGGTTTCTCTGCCTCCCTTTGAAAAGATGGAAACTTTGCCCTATCTCTGTGCCGTATTATTCACATGACCAATAAAGGAAGACTTCTGTCGTCTGGACCAAGGATATGCAGTAAACTCATAGGTGTGATGCCAAAGAATAGGATTGTTCCTCGTGGTCCAGCCTGAGAACCAGTCCCAGAAAAACTCTCATTATTTTAGTTCCTATGAATTCCATACTGGTCTGGAATCCCTGGAGCCCAGATCACATGAGTTGGTATGGAGCTCCGCTGAGTTCTGTGCCTTCTCCACAGGCTCCCATCTAAAGAAAAACTGACTCTTACAAATCACATACTTTCAGGCCAAAAATGGGGATGCCACTTAAGTTTCTCAGGTTTGGTGTATGACTTAGGTTCCAGTAGACAGGGCTTAGGGGACTGGCAGAGACTTTCTGAGGCTGATAAGACACAGTAACAAATACAAAAATGCTTTGAAAAGTTAGGAGAAGTAATGCAATATGAAATATTTTCTCCCCTACCCCTCCTCACCTATGTGTATAGAGCTTAAAAGTGCTGTTAAACATCTCAAAGGAAGTGAGGTAGTCCCTAGGTGTTTGTTCCAGGGTTTTCTGAAAATCAGAAAAAGCAAAAAGACTTCAGAATCTGCAATTATATGAAGATTTACCACTATCCACAACCCTCCCCCCCAAAATCAGAGACAGGGAAGATTAAACTGCAAGTTTCCGAGGCTTGAGGAACCAGAGACTTTCTCCTGTCATTAACTGACTACTTAGCCTGTTCACTGTAGAGATAATGTCTCAAAACAAAACAGGGTGCCAGTTTCTTATCACCACAGTGCTTTCTAGGTGTGTTGCCAACATGGCCATAATAAAAACAACTCACCGAAAACTGGGGTAGAAATGTGATCTGGGTGGAGGCACCCCCCAGGTCAAGGGTCCCCATAGTCTCCTGGCTGTGGCCATGCAGTTGACCTGTTAATGAGAGCAAGGCATGAGTGCCCAGGCCATCCAGACACTCTCTGTCTGCAGGCTCTCTCCTGCTCTTATTGCACACCAAAGGTATTTTGTGAGGGTTCACTGTTCCCTGAACCCAGAGGGTGCAGGCTAATGGAAATTCAGAGGGTCTCTTGTGGCAGCTGAAGCCTTGAAAGCACACTATAAAATTAGCTTATCCCCCTACCCTCTTCTTTTTTAAAAAAGAGATTTTTTCCATTTTAATTTTGTGTATATATAGGTATATACACATGAGTGTGGCTGTCCAGAGGCTAGAGGCCAAAAGCTGAAATTACAGGCAGTTGTAAGCCACCCAAGCATCCTTGGAAAAAACTGTAAGTGCTTTTAACTGCTGGGTCATTTCTCCAACCCACCCGCCTCTTTCAAAGAAAGAAAAGTATAGGAAGAGAAGTGGACTTTACCCTCCTGATAAATTCAAACAAACAAAGAAACAAAAACTGTAAAAGTCAGGTAAGGTAATAAGAAAAACTTCAAGATCTATTTAATTTACCTGTTAGAAAGTTCACAGTGACCCAAGCTAATATGCCTACAGGAGAGAGAAACAAAGATTACATTCTAGATCATCTCCCCCCATTCCCTTTCCTCTAAACTTCATGTCTAGATCATTCTAGATCATCTCCCCCATTCCCTTTCTTCTAAACTTCCTGTCTAGATCATTCTAGATCATCTCCCTCTATTCTCTTTCTTCTAAACTTCCTGTCTAGAGCATCGTCTCCCTGCCCCATCCCTTACTTACTCCTTTCTTTCATGCGGGAGCCTATTCCCAGATCCTTTAATTGGATCTTTCATTGACTCTACCCCCTTTCCCCAAAGGATATATTTCGCCATCTGTCTCACCTTCATAGGACCCATCCATGATGCTAACACTGTCATCTGGGACCAGGAAAGGTGACATCTTGAAGATCTCCTCTACCTAGGGAAAAAGTGGACAACCCTGGATTCTGGGAAGCAGTAAAACAAGATCAACGACCATCCCGTTGGATGTACTCTCTAGAAAACAACCCTTGTTCTTTTCCCTAGATAAAGTCAGCAGCATTACTCCTTTCCCCAGTGAAGCCAGAGAAGGAAGTAGGCAAAGAACTGTCCTTTTCTTGGAAAAACATAAGCACGTGGATTCCTTAAGAGACCCATCTAAACTTATTATCAATGAATTGGAACTAGGGAAGAACACACATTTGACCATTTCAACTCAAATCAAGAACCTGTAGTTTTGTTAGCATCCTAACTAACTCCACCTGGACATGCAGCGAACACTGATGAGCCTAAAAAGAGCCAAGGCACTCTACTTCTGCTGGGCTCTGGTGCACAGCTAGGACTATAGCGACTTAGGGGGACCTCAGACCTAGCCCTATGGAGGTAGGATTGAAGACCTTACACAAATGCTCCCGACTCGATAGGCCACTGATACATGCATTATGGCCGTAAGATGTTTTAAAATGACATTTATGGACTTTTGTGTGAGTGTGCAAATATGTGTGCATTCATGTGGGCCTGTGCATGCCACAGCACATGTCTGGAGGGCAGAAGACAGCTTTCAGGGGTCAGTTTGATCCTTCTACCATGTGAGTCCTGGGGATGAAACTCAGGTCACCAAGCATGGTGGCAAGCGTCCCTAAGTAGAGTCATCTACTGGCCTATATTATAGTTTATTTTTACATTACTATTATAGGTGGGGGACATTCCCATTATAAATAAAAAAGATTCTACTCAGGTTGCTGTTCTCAGGTCAGATGGGATGAAACACATCAAGCAGTGACCCTGTTTCAACCAACAAAACTGTCTAGTTGAGTGACCTTAGACAGGCTTTAAAGAAGAAAAGCATGCAAACAGAATTAAGCAGATTCTTCTCTAGTCTTCTCCACTCCCACCGGTTAGTATTCAGGATACACCTCAGCTGCAGCCACTAAGAGCTCCACCTGTGCACATTCACTATGTTCCCTTTTGAAAGGGCCCTGCCCACCCACCCCCCAATAAAAAAACCCTCCACCCAAGCTCTGTCGTCGCAGGGCGTCTTTCTCTCATGTGCTGCCTTTTAAAATTATATGATCATCTTCTGCTGAGTTTATTCTCAATGCAGCAGCCAACATGGTATTTGTTTATTTATATGTATTTGTGTATGAGCACGTGTACGGAGGCCAACCTCGAGTGTCTTCTTCAATCACTCGCCACCTTATCAAATGAGACAGTGTCTCATGAACCTGAGGTCAGTGAATGGCCCCCCCTGCCTCTGTCTTCCCAGTGGGGTCACAGGTGCACACTGCCATGTCTGCCTTATGTGGATAAGAGAAACAGGAACTAAGGCCCTCACGCTCGCACTGTTTCCAGGATGGTCTTTTAAACTGTACAACAGATTGTTTATCCTGATAGCTTCCTTTACAAAAAACAGAACACAAACAAACAAAAAAAGGCCAGGCTGGAGAGATAGCTCAGCAGCTAAAAACACTCGCTGCTCTTCCAGAGGACTGGGGTTCAATTCCCAGCAACCACATGGCGGTTCACAACATATATAGATAAATAAAGAAAAAAGACTATTTGTCTTTTAGTACTGATGATTACTCCCTGTCACTCAGCTTCCTAACTGCCTCCCTTCCTCTCATGCCAGCCACAGGACTTCCTGGAAGCTGTTCCTGACCCCAGGCTTTGCATCTGCTTTTGCTTTAGTCTGCAATAGTCTTCTTACAAATGTCTTATATTAATTTGTTGGGCCCCAGCCCCACGGGGTCTCTGTGAGTTGCTGGTCAGCCTACAAGTGCAACTTGTTTTCCAGTCCAAGTGCTTCCTGTTTTCTAGTCCTGGCTTACTGCCCTGGCCTTGACCCTCTGACATCAACATTCAGCAGGAGGCTCGTCTACCTGGGGTTTTTCCACTGTGCTGTAAACCTGTATATAAAGCTCCTCCCTCCTACAAGGGAAAGACCTCTTAGCACTTGCAATGAAGAAACACACACACACACTCTCCTGGCAATAAAGGCAGCACATGCATTCTCTTAGTACAAACAAGTGGACGTCTGTCTCTCTTTTCCTGATACCTCGGACTTGCTTGTGGCATAGGCAACACATTAATTCTCCTCAGATCTCTGATCAAAGTAATTGTATCTAAGAGATTTGGCTAGAGAGATGGCTCAGTGGTTAAGAACACATATTTCAAGGAGCAGTGGTGGCTCACAAACTTTTAATCCCAGCACTGTGGAGGCAGAGGCAGGTGGATCTCTTTTTTTTTTTTTTTTTTTTTTTTTGGTTTTTCGAGACAGGGTTTCTCTGTAGCTTTGGAGGCTGTCCTGGAACTCACTTTGTAGACCAGGCTGGCCTCAAACTCACAGAGATCCGCCTGCCTCTGCCTCCCGAGTGCTGGGTTACAGGCATGCGCCACCAACGCCCGGCTGCAGGTGGATCTCTTTGAGTTCGAGGCCAGCCTGGTCTACAGAGCGAGTTACAGGACAGCCAGAACTGTTACACAGCGAAACCCCTGTCTCGAAAAACAAAAACAAACAAAACATACATATTGCTTAAAGAGATCTTTGCTCTAATAAAAAAACAAACCCCAGCATGCTTTACCCTTCTTATATCTTTCCACAGAAACTACAGTGCATGAAGTACTATATATTTTGTAGCTTTTTTTTTTGTCTTCCTAAAACTAGAATGTAAGCTCTATGCAGGCACTGACTGTATCCTTTTTGTTCCTTGTCTATAACTTCAGTAACTTCACTTGTGCCCAAAACATGGCCAGCACTCACTAAGTAGATGAATGAGTGGATGAAGATGAAGAATTGAGATCTTAGCAGTTGAAGAGGCGAAGAGCACTTGTTGCTCTTGCAGAGGACCAGATTCTATCCCATCACCCACACAGTGGTTCACAACCATCTATTACTTCAGGTTCAAGGGATCTAACCCCCTCTTCTCACCTTCAGGGGAACCAGCCTTGCATTTGGTACACAGAAATGCATGCAAGCAAAACAATCATAAAATAAAGAAATCTAAAAAAAACTTCTCAATAAGATTTAGGATTTGGGGGCTGGAGAGATGGCTCAGAAGTTAAGAGCACTGACTGTTCTTCCAAAGGTCCTGAGTTCAATTCCCAGCAACCACATGGTGGCTCACAACCATCTGTAATGAGATCTGGTGCCCTCTTCTGGCCTGCATGTTAACAGGCAAAACACTGTATATAGTAAATAAATAAATCTTTTAAAAATTAAAAAATATTTAGGTTTTGAATTCTCACAGACATGCATGGACAAGGAAGGGACTTAAACCCTATGTGCTGAGAGTCAAGAAAACCTGTTAATAATAAGACCTTGTTAATGACTCACCACAAACTGGAGGCTTCTTTAGAAGGCAGAATCCCACTCTACTGTGATTTTTGTTTTAATTATAATGAGATTCTGCCTATAAATGTTCTTTACAACATGGTATCTAATGTTTATTATGTCTTGTAATATGTTTATTATATAAGTACATATATAAAATATTATACTTAAATTTTTTATTTGAAGGACAATGTTTTAAAAAATATTCCCAACATTTTATGTAGAGGTCAACTTTTGAGTTTCCTTTCTTAAGGTCTGTCACCTTTTTCTTTTTTCTTTCTTTTTTTTTTTTTTTTTTTTTTTTTGGTTTTTACGAGACAGGGTTTCTCTGTATTGTTTTGGAGGCTGTTGGTCCAGCCTGGCCTGGAACTCACAGAGATCCGCCTGCCTCTGCCTCCCGAGTGCTGGGATTAAAGGCGTGCGCCGCCGCCACCACCACCCGGCCTGTCACCTTTTTCTGAGGCAGTACTTCTCACTGGAGGATTAGATTAGGTTGGCTGGCTAACAAGCCCCAGGGATGCTGTCTCCATTTCCCCAGCACTGAGACCTGGAGCGTGTGCCACCATGCCTGATATTTTTATGTATGAGCTGGGGATCCAATGCTGAGACCTTGGGCTATCGGAGCTCTATAAATAGGCACATTTCATTATACATAAAGTTTCTTCAATAGAGTTTATTTAAAACCATATCTATATTATACTTTCAGAAAATTCAAATAAAGAATATATATATAAAGAGTATCTTGGAGGGCAGGTGAGGTGGCTTAGTGGGAGTAGACACTTGTCACCAAGCCTGATGATCTGAGTTTGATCCCTAGGACTCACTTGGTGGAAGGTGAATGAAGTGCAAGTTGTCCTCTGACCTCCATGCTGTGCTGTGACACATGCTGAGTGCACACACACAAACACATTCAAAACAAACAAATAAATCCCAGAAAAACATCATGGAGGGAAGTGCACACAGACATTCAAAGCAAACAAACAAATAAATGCAATAACACTATGGAAGGGAGTGCAAACACACAAACACATTCAAAACAAAAGCAAAAACATCTTGAAAGGGAGCATTTTGAACTTGTTTACGGAAACATCTTTAACTTTAAAGGTGACAATTTAAAATGTAAATGGTCAGCTACTATCCCAGGCACCACGGTGATTGAGCAATGATGGGATACTGAAAGCAACAGTCACTCCAAAAGACTTCTTAGAAGAAGAAGAAAAAACAACCCAAACCAAAAAATAGCATTATCCAAGACTCAGATTCAAAAGTCACCTCTAAGAGCAGAGCCTGGGCCTTCTGTTCAGGCAGTAAACGCAGTCCAGCTGTTGCTTTCAGAACCACTGGGGTCCTTTTCCAGTGACTTCTGGGAATTGAGTCTTTGGCCACCTCTAAGAGTGCATGAACAGTCTGAGCACCCTTTAAAAGAGAAAATGCGTTAATCCAATGGCAGGCCACTTAGCAGCACTGGTCTATTCCTTTCCAGTGAAGCCACAGAAGTAATTTGATAGTGAGTGCTCCACCCCTCTATCTGCAGAAGCAAAACCTAGAGAAACCAGGATAGGGGTTGAGGAGAGGTATAGGGGTGGGGAGGGGGGAAGTAGGGGTGGAGTGGAAAGCTTTTAAAGGAGACTCCATTTTTCAAGAGGCATAATTAAACTTAATCTTTAAAAATTATTTATTTTTATTTAATATGCATTGGTGTTTTGCCTGCATGTATGTCTAAGTGAGGGAGTTCGATCTTGGAGTTACAGACAGTGGTGAGCTGCCATATTACTGAACAGCATGAGATGTTTAATGATAGAGGTGTTGTAGACTTATCAAGACAATGAGACCCTAAACATCAAATTAGCCAGGCCTATGGGTCGGTGGGGGGTAGGGGAGGAGGAGAGGGAGAGGGAACTGGGATTGACATGTAAAACAAGCTTGTTTCTAATTTAAATTTAAAAATGGGAAAAAATTAGCCAGGCCCAGTTTTGTTGTCCTGGTCACAGCTATTCAAGAGGGTGAGACAGTAGGATCACAATTTTAAGGCCTTGTAAGGCCACTAAGTGAGTTCAAGGTCAGCCTTGTCAACTGGGTGAGATGTCCCAAATAAGAAGTGAAAGGGTTCTTGGGCAGAGCTCAGCCACAGAGCATTCACCCTGGGTTTGCTCCCTAGCATCTATAACATGGAAATAAACCTGTCAATCATAACACTCACCTGCTTGGGTTGGTCTGCAAAAGCAGAAAGTCCTGGCTTCACAGAATCAAAAATTTCACCTTCCAGAAAGGGGAGCTGTCCTATTTTGTCCATGGAAGAGAGAGAGGGAAGGAGAGGGAAGAAAAAGGAGAAGAAGGGAGAGAGAGGGAGGAGGAGGATTACCAAATATTAGACTGCTTCAGATGCTATTATTCTCTAGATACTGCTGTATGAATTAATAGACTAAAACAGTCTCCATCCGAGCAGAAAGGAATGCTTTGCAGAAGTGTTAGGAAGGGAGACCACGGGGTAATGCAACCCTAGAGGGTCTCTGGCTTTTTCTCCTTGCCCCAACTCTCTATTTTTTTCAAACTGCTAATAAATTTTAAGACAGGGTTTCACTATGCAGCCCAGGCTGGCCTTGAAGTCCCTATACAACCTCAACTGGCCTTGAATTGTGGTCCTCCTGCCTGAGCTCCCTGGGCTCTTCAGATAACTCAAGGAAAGAAAACTGACAATTCAGAAAAAGTCAGTTTTCAAGGTCCCCTGGGTCCCCTTTCCAAGGATGACAGTGAAGACTCACACAGATCCTTCTCCCCAGAATCACCACCAACATTCTCAATATTCTGGGCCTCTGGGGTATTTACCTTTAGAGAAAATGAAGGACAAATTACAGCTACAGTTGGGTAAAACTCTGTCTCATCTTTTTGAGACAGTGCCTGTTGTGTTGCACACTGGTCTCAAATACCCTGTGTGGTTGAGGATGACCCTGAACTCCTGATTCTCCGCTTTCACCTCCCAAGTGTCTGGATTACAATCATGCATCACCATGCACAATTTATGTGCTGCTGTGGATCAAACCCAGGACTTGAAAGGTAGGCAAATGCTCCCCCAATTGAGCTACTCCCCTGGTGTGTCCCACATGAGTGTCTCTTAATACCACATTAAACTAAACTATGTGTTCATTCATATCTCTGAAGAACTATATCCAACACCTGGAAGGTTCTCTACACCACGACACGCCCAGCACATCTGTTTCTGGGAGAAGATGCTAAGGTGTAGACACATACAGACTGCAAAGGGTCCCAGCTGCTCTTACCTGCTGCTTTCTGCACGAAAGTATAAACATGAATCCGAGTTCCCGTGCTGCCCGCATCAAACATAATTCCATAAAAGGTGCTGGCACTGACATTAGCGGGGCACATGGAAGACAAGAAGACGCCCTCGAACCAAGTCTGCTGTTCTCTGTAGAAGACAGTGCTGCCAGCACAGGCTATCATGAGCAGGAAGAAGACAGCACCCCAGGGAGTGGCCATGTCCTTCCCAGGATGTGGGCCTGAGCCTTTGCTGCTGCAGCAGTGTTGCTCACACTCCTGTAGAGGCTTAGGGAACAACGACACGTGGGTTAGTTGATTGGCTTTCATGGTTAACCTATTTAAAAACAAATAAATATATAAATAGCTAGCGCATTATGGAAATCCTACTGGTCTTCAAGGTGAGGGTTCCCTCTCTATTTCTCATAACCAGTACAACAAGCTAAACCAGGGCAACACAGGCTCTTAGGCCCTTCTTCTGAAGAGTATCTGATTCCAAGAGGAAACTGGGATTTAAAATATACTTTCCCACACTTTGTCTTGAATTGTACGGTGGTTTTCACATACTCAAAAGCTGCCTTCTTCCCTGCTTCTATATGTTTTGGCTTAATGTTTTCTTTCCAATGTGACAAATTTGCTTTTATATCACACAGTTGCACGCCTCCCTCCTCTTGGTTTTCATCGTCACATAAGAAGCCACATTCAACTGGGTCTGATGGTATAGACCTCTAATTCTAGCCATTCATGAGGCTAAGGCTGGAAGGATCACAAGTTTGGGGCCTATCTGGGCTACAGAGCAAGTTTAAGGTCAGCCAACTTAAGTAGACTATCTCAAAGTGCAACATTTTTAAAGGGGGGCAGAGGTCAATAAGCATGCTTGACTAGCATGTATAAGTCCCTGAGCTTGATTCTCAGCACCACATGAACCAGGCATGGAAGTACAAATTTGTCAACTCAGCACTCAGAAGTAGAAGCGAAAGGGTCAGAATTTGAAATCACCCTTGCCTACTGTGGTTTTTTTGAATAGGTATGCTCCCACCCCCATAGACTCATGCGTTTGAATGCTTGCCTGTAGGAAGTGGCCCTATTAGGAGGTGTGGCCTTGTTGGGGGAAGTGTCTCTGTGTGGGTGGGCTTTGAGGTCCCCTGTGCTCAAGCTACACTCAGTGACATAGTTCATTTCCTGTTACCTTTGGATTAAGATGCAGAACTCTCAGCTAACTCTCCAACACCATGTCTCCCTGCATGCTACCATGTCCTACCATGATAATGAACTAAACCTCTGAAACTGTAAGCTGCCACCTCAATTAAGTGTTTTCATTTGTAAGAGTTGCAAAGTGGTGTCTCTTCACAGCAATAGAAACCCTAACTAAGTCACCTACACTATAAGTTTGAGGCCAGCCTGGGATATATGTCCTAAAACGAGACAACAGCAGTGGTGGCGTGGAGTTGCTGGGGATATTTCCTATTATTCAAGAGGCCCTAGATTTAGTCCTTAGTGCTGAAGAAAAAAATGCTTAACTTCTAAATTAAAGTTGTAAAGATAGTAGAAAGTTCAGGACTGACGGGCAGCTCAGTTGGCAAAGTGCTTGCACAGTGTGCATGTTTGATCCAGACACCACATAAGCCAGGTGTCAGTACACGCCTATAATCCTAGCAAAGTCAGGGAGGTCAAAGTAGGAAGATTAGTAGGAGTTCGGGGTCATCCTCAGCTAGGTAGTTCATTTGAAGCCAGCAGGGCAGGATGATCAAAGTTCAAGGTCAGGGAGGCTGGGGCAGGCCTACCTCTGTGAGTTTGAGGCTAGCCTGGTCTATACAGTGAGCTTCAGGCCAGCCAGAGCTACATAGTGAGAACTTGTCTCAGAAAAGAAAGAAAAAAAGAGTAAGTCCAAGGTCATCCTCAGCTGCAGATTCGATTTAAGTCAGCCTGGAATCAATGAGACTTTGTCTCAGTAACAGAAAAGTTACATAACCTCCATCTTTGTGTTTATGGCCTTCAAAAAGTAGGTCACTGAACTGCCACCTGTTATCAATATTGATAGTGGCTTTCATGTACATTTTAAGGAAATAAATCAACATAATTTAAAAATACCTAACAAGACCACCATGGGCTTTAAGTTTCAGATCATGTTATTGTCATGAGAACTTAGTGAATGGACAAATTTCTCATGCGTTAATCTCTTTTGCCTGTATACAGTTCTGTGTCCTATGTTCGTGCTCCATGACCAGGGAGGCCTGAACAGGAGTCAAATAACCTGGAACTGGAGTTTCCCAACAGTTGTTCACAGCCCTGTAAGTGCTGAGCATTGAACCTGGGTCCTCTGGAAGCACAGCCTGTGCTCTAACTGCTGAGCAGCCTGTGAATAGACCAATTCCTCCATCCTCTGAATAGACAAATTATGGTAGAGAGAGTCTATGTCATGCTGGAAGTCATAAAGCAATTCAGTGGCACAATCCTGACCAGAAATCAGATGTTTTCTTTTTCTGATTTCAAACTCTCCTCTTTTGGCAAATGTATGTGTTCATGTGTTAAGACTGGATCTATTCAGCCCCTAGGCGTCCTGGAATTCACTATATAGACCAGGTTGTTCAAAAACCTACAGAGACCCACATGCCTCTGCCTCCCAAGCACAGGGATCAAAGGGTGTGCCACCATACCTGGCCCTAGCAACCGCATTTTAAAATGTGCCCTCAGAAGAGACAAACCAGTAAAGGGTTAGATAACTGTTTTGATTTGTTCAAATGCTTCTGGAAACCTAGCATAAAGGCATGGAACACAGCAGAGAGAGCACAACTGTCAGGTCGAGTCCTGGCTTTCAGTCTGGCGCTTGTATCTACTGGGAGCTACACAATCCTGAGGGAGTCCCTCAGCCTGAGCCTTCCCTGCCTTGTGAACAGGAGAGTAAGAGCAAGCGTTCTGTTTTCTTCCGTTTTTGAATCACAAGATACTGTCTGAAGATTGATTATATAGTATCTTCTAATCTTTTCCTAGGACTGATGTTATGGGAAATGGGAGGAGACAATGGATTTGTTATTATTATTGTACTATTATCAGTTATTATTATTACAAGAGACTTTCTTTTTTCATCATAATGCATCAAAGCCATTGAAGGAAGTTGTGAATCTTCTTGAGATCTGTGGAGAAATCACTCAGTAGCAGGGTTGGAGACACGGCTCACATGTTAAGGAAACAACTGTCTACATTATTACAGAGGGAGGACCTGAGTTCAGTTCCCAGCACCCACATAGTAGGGTATTTTATAGCTGCCTGTGATTGCAGATCCAGAGGATCCCACTCTCGTGCATGTACTCACGACAAAATCTCATTCCAAACCTCAAACCTTTAGTAGCAGCATTCAGTGGAACAATGGAGTCTATTCTATCTGGTCGTTTTAAACATTTATTCCTTCCTACATGGACATTGCATGAAAACCAAAACAAACAGGATGCTGTTTTGGTGACTTGTAGCTGACCTAAACTGTAAAGAGAACAAGAGGCCTTCACGTTGGGGTCTCTCAGCCTTGGCACTAACATCTGGGGCTAGTGGTTCTTAGTCACAGGCTGTCCTGTGTATAGTAGGTTGTTGAGCAGCATCTCCGGCCTATACTCACTAGATGCCTGTAGAAGGCCACACTGCAGCCCTCCCTAGCATACCAACTGTGACAACCAGAAGTGACTCTGGACATTTCTAGCCATCTCCTGGCTGTTTGCTCATGCGTTAGGTCATACATTTTCCTGGTAGTAAAGAAAAATGCTACAACTGTCCTCTACAGTTAAGTCTTGCTTAGTCTGCTATTATGTATTTACTCCCAACAGTTCTGAGTCTTTTTTGTTTGTTTGGTTGGTTGGTTTTGCTGAGACAGGGTTTCTCTGTGTAGCTTTGTCTATCCTGGAACTCACTCTGTAGACCAGACTGGTGTCGAATTCAGAGATCGGCCTGCCTCTGCCTCCTGAGTACCGGGATTAAAGGTGTGTGCCACCAGTGGCCAGCACCAGCACCAGCACCACTGCCCAGCACCACTGCAAGGCCCAGGTATCAGCTTTCTCAGTCTGTCACTTAATTCTTTCCAGGGTCACTCAGATTTTCTGTATTACCATGGTTTCCATAAACCTCTCCAGCAAACCTCTCATTAAGCAAACATTTGTTTTCTTCCAGAAGAGATTAAGAAGGGGGAGACACTCGCTAAGTAGATCTGTTTTCAAGGAGTGAGAAACTGCAGAGTCATACTTGTGTAAGCAGAAAGTCAAGCAAGGGTTTACAAGGAAGCAAGAGGTCACACGGGGTGCCCTTTGCCCTCACCACCTTCCTTTGAACACCTTCCTTTTAGCACCTCCCTTTTCTCTAGGACGTTGAAAATGGTGTTAGATGGGCTTTCAGTGTGGGAGTTACAAAAGGCGCTGCATTTCACAAGACTTGCTTGCACAGCTTGCTCATCCACTTTTTAGTAGACTTAACTCACATGTCACTTTCTCAGTGAAGTCCTCCCTGCCCTCCTGTAGAAACAGTGCAATTCAGGTTCATTCTTTCTCTGTTTTTCTTCCCAGTGATTTTCTCCTCCCAACACCCACTCTACTTCAATTTCCATGTCCCTCCTTTCTCTACATCTGTCCTCCATGTGAGCCTCCCACCTACAGGGGTTTTGAGTTTTGCTTCTGATGTGTTTATTGCTAGAGCAGTGATAATGCACAGTAGGTGCTGGATAAATGCCCTGAAGGGAGAAAGGTAAACCTAATAGCTCAAACGCAGGTCTGGACCGTCCAGCACAGTATAGGAGCTTGACTTCTTTCCAAAGGATTAATCACCCCACACCGGATATGATTCCCAGCTGACTATTTTTCCAAATGTGTAGATTACACAGAGGTTTCATTTTGCCCAAATGAGTTAAGTTTTGTATGCTACTCAAAATAATGTAGACAGTTGTTTCCTTTTACAATATATTTAAACCCTCGTTTTCCAGAATTGTTTCCTTCAATAATCTGTTCCTCATTCTCTTCTCCGCAACACAGCCCCTTCAGCTGCTCTACGCCTTTGGTACCAGGTATTGTAAGCCCCTCTCCTGTTGCAGGCTTTTTGGTTTGTTTATGATAAGGTCTCGTTATGTGGCTCAGGCTGGCCTCTAAGGCAGATCCTCCGGCCTTCACCTCCTGAGCTCGCTGTTTCTTGATAACCAGCACAAACCCCTGCCCAGCCTTCCCGGAGCTTCCCTTTTTTGCTTCTTCCCATCTTCTGGGCCCTGTACAATTGGGAGGCCCTGGGCCCTGAGGTACTCACCAGATCCTGTCTGCCGG